AGGTATTCAGATTGGAATTGAGGTGGAAAGCAAATCAGTAAAAAGCCATTGAATGAACTCGGCATGACTCCAATTGGGTGGACCATTGCAGACCTTCGCACCTTTTTGTTATGCTCAACAAGGAAAACAAAACAATTCTGGATTTTCTACCAAAAGATAATTTACAATCCACTCAGTTTCGAATGTCGAATGATCTCAGGGGTCCCGTATAGCTTCCACATGCACATCCACCTTCTGAGTAAAGACCAACAAACAACCCACCCATGTATGAATTTCGGTTGGCTGTAGGCTGGCTGGGTGTTCTGCTCAGGTGTGTGTTTTTTGCTGTGGGACAAAATCAGATAAAATCGACCCTGTTTAAAAAATGGCAGTATAGATACGTCGAGCGTCGTCGTGTATCTCCTTCTGAGAAGTGTGTACAGTCGACGAATAAAATGGTTTTGGTAAAACACCCCTCTCGTCATTGCCCTCATGTGGGCTACGAAAGTATTTTAAACTAAACACGACTTTTCGTTTTAAATCAAGTGTTGAAACCGTCGTGCGTTTGTTTGTCCATGATTCGTGACGTGACCCGATTTCGTCAGGCAAAGGTTCTCGAGAACGAGAGAGACCTCGGATACTTTACACTTGAAGAAATCGATACGCGCGTTGGTTTCGTTCTTGAGCTTGTGATAAAAAAGTTGGAGGCAGAAGAAATTAACAAAACAAAGCATCCAAGTGCATATCATATTCATTTCTCATATAGATTACGCTTCATCTGAGTTTTACGAAAGGAGGAAGACACACGCTCCCCTTCTTCCCTATGTCCTCACAAGTTTTTTGAGGGTTTCAAGATCCCAGTGCTTGAAGAAAGATACTGCGTGTAACAGGATTTCATCTTACAAGGCGACTTGACTAATGGCAGTGGGTCCACGCCCGATTGTCCCCTTAAATTATACGTTCTCTTAAAAATAAGGAGGGAGACTTTTGTTTTTACTTTTTAAATAATGTCCAAAAGAGAGATGATACTGAAAACATCATCCTCGTATCTTCTCTGGCGACCCATCCCTTCTCATATGTACATGAATTCTTGCACGGGTTGGTAACCTGTCCTTTTCCCTCGTGCAATATAGTATCACATGTAAAAAAACGACTTGAACTTTACAGGACGCCTTGAAGGGATGCAGCTTATACCCTTGAAAACACTGACCAATGTACAGAACTATGTTTTTATGTACATATCTTTTTGCTTCCTGAAGACCTGAATTTTCCCTACATGGAGCTTTCCGACAGGAATTTACAACCAACTTAAAATCCCATCCTGAACGGATTAGCTTTTCAAATAGTTATAATCTTTTAGAAAAAGAAGCCAAAATATAAACTTTAACTCGCTGGGATAAATTTCAGCATGCATAAATATTTAGGAATCATGTACTTTTCATTCATTAAAGCGCCCGGCATTTTCTTACTTGGCCTTCTCCTTTTTGTTTTTATTAAAAGTATGTAAATTATATTCACAGTCTCGTTCGTAGTGCTGCTGATGACTATTGTCTTGCCTCGCAAATTTATACAACCTGCATTGGAGTGGATTTCGAGTAAACGTAAACTAATTTATTCAGAATCAAGTTTTTTGAACAATGCATGGGTAGCAATTAGGCAAATTCATGCTCATCTAGCTCTAATTTTTACGCAAATGACTTTTCATTTTCAATGAATATTGATTACACGAACGAATCCTAGCAATTAAATCATTGTGATTGAAGGGAACACCTAAGTCGGGGCGGGTTCAGAACATCATTATCAGTTAAAGTATTTTTTCATGTAAGCGTTTTAGAAGGCTGGTCGAGTAATGCAGATTGCGTCCGACTGGGCACAAGTGATTGGGAAAGTGAGACCCTCTTAAACCTGAGCAAGTCAACAAGGTCTCTAAAAAAGGAAATGAAGGCCTCACTCCTTGCAGTCACATTGCATTACAGTCAATGATATTGAACTTGACCACTTTAAGGTCGATAATAAATTGTGGACTTGAGGCGGAAGACTTTGCTGCTTGCTGGCTGATCACTGGTTAAAGTTAGACATGAAGGTTCACTTATCACAATTAGCAACACGCAAGGAGCTCGCTATCCTAAAGGGATGTTTGAATTTTAAAGAAAAGTCGTAAATTGACGAGTTTGGAAACCACCAACAGACAAAACGTCAATAAGCAACATGTGATCCCAAAAAAGCCTGTAATACAATCTGATTTCGTGCAGATTCAGTCTCATCTGCATACATTCAAATATTTGATGGTTTTAGATTATCCACGAAAGCAAACGAAAAAACAAGTTTCAGTTTTCCTCGTAAAAGTCATTCTTACTACGTTCGCTTTTATTATTGTATGCAAAAGCTACAGCCCACACTGACAAGCTTTACGTGTGTACGCTTGAGCTTTAGTTTGTGCATGTAAATAATTCTGCTGGACATGAAACCAAGTATTATAATTGGGTGCAGTACATACGCGCTAAAAGAGTTACCTGAAAGGTTGAAAATAGTTTGAATGGTTCGTTTGAGCCTGTCGTCAACTTTCCTCGACGACGCTTGGGTTCTTTCTTGGTGGTCCTTTTTGCGAGATATTTAAGAATTTACAACCAAACAAACCAACCAACCAACCCAGTTTTGGTTCCAAATAGCACAAAAAAGTCATTTGGGTCATTGCTCATGTGTACATATGCCAACATTTCCGAGTGAAGTAAACGATGAAGGGATGAGTACAACAATACGGATAATCCTACCAGCTCCTTAATAACGCTCCTTTTTAGGGTTGAATTGTCTCTAGCTCGTGTATCTACCAGGCAGAAATGGTCGTGTCCAAAAACCCAGGCGGAACAGCATGTGCCAAATCATAAAACTCGAGTCAAAATATTTATTTTATGACAGGAAGACGACAAGACAATTCTGTGCACATTTTCACAGTAACCTTATAAAATTTTAGTGCCGAGATTTGAATGAGTATCGTGTTTTGAGTTCACGTTTGATCTTCGAAGATGCATAGGTCGTATTTATTCCTCTCGATTTCTGGTTCCCCTGTAAAGACTTAAAAAATGGAACAATAGCCATGTTTTGAGTTGGGCACGGTCACAGGTTAAAGACTGACAGACATTTGAGATGAAGAAAAGGCGTGCACAAAACAGCATAAATATAAAAACTGGAGTGGTAAAAGCTACTTTATGTTCATAATAACAATAGCAATAATGCTACTCGACTCCTCGACTTGTGTTGATGCCTTTGAAACCTTTTCTTCCTCTCATTTTATTCACTTTTGCCACTTAAGTAAGTGGAGCACTTTTCCAAGGCTTTGTCTCTCCTCTACTTTTACCATACCAGTTCCACATAAACCGTGTACTTATTGACCCGAAAACAATCCCATTTATTTAATAAAATTGTGGTGTAAACCATGTAAGCCTCCGACTAAGTCCTCCTAATAGGTATCCATTTCTAGTCATTACGGATTTAGAACTATTATTGGCTGAGCTATGCAATTACATGCAACGAATGGTTTAGATATTGTGGGGGAGAAGTTACCTTTTAAAGGCTGCTTTGAGTGATACCCATTGGGTTTTGCGCAAGGCAGTTATTTATAATTTTAAACTTTAAAAATGATCATCCAACTAACACTTTCTCAGTGGCTGCGTGTAGTTCATATTCTACATGCTTTGTGGAACAACGCCAAAGAAGGAAGCCACTAACTTACCAATAATTCCAGTCAAAGTTTTTGAGGTTCTTTGTGGTTTCTACCGTCCGCCTAAATCGTGAAAATCAATAGCCCTTGAACTCGAAAGGCGCCTTTGAAATGTGACCATGTCAATTTACACGTACTTGCTGACTACTGAGGAAGTGGATGAGTGACAATGCAACCTCTATCTTAAGTAAATGTACCATTTACTCATAACAAGCAGTTATCTCAAATATTGTGCTCCCTCGAAATATTAGTAGAAGCACGTGAAGAAGATGAACCAAATAAGTAAATAGACCAAAGTGACGACTTTCTAAAATGCTTTCAAAACTCTAACAGCAAATGTCACAGTTTGTCCATCTGCTAAATCTTTGTTCACTTTATTTAGGATTTCATTGCATTATGATAAGAAATTACAAGTACATACATATCTCTGACAAGTAAGTATGAATTGGGAGGACGTAAAATTTGACTTGACGTCACCGTTTCCATACAAGCACTTTGGGGCATGACATGACATGCAGTCCTTGCCTATTTTGACTACTGTTTGAATAGCTGACTTTGGGATAGCAGGGCAACAGCACTTGTTTGACCTTCTTTTGTCCATCACTTGAAATATTTCCAACAAAAGTTGCACCAGAGGACCTAATTTGTTGGCAACTGCTACAAGTGCACGTGATAGTGACGACTTTTACTGTTGATAATTTTCAAAGATTCTTGGTAGCCTTTGTCTAATCCCGTTTAAGAGCCTGCAGCAGAAGCACGATAATAAATACTCTCCACTATAACTGTTTGTGGGCTTGACGTGCATAAATATGTAACTGCAGACCAATAGTGAGAACACCTGCGTGGAAGTCGTGTTTTTATAAATGGAACTTATTATTTATTGTTATCATTGGATAATTTAGGATGACAAGATCAACTACGCTGCACAAGCTAATGGTTGCATAAATCTGTTCCTCGTTGAATAACGATTCAAATAAATGGGTACAGACCAAAGTTGGCCATTTGTTATCCTCATGTCGAAGTTTTTTAAATGAGATTATGTTTACAAGCACTGCTTCGGTAATCTTGTTAATATTGCACGTATTCTCTTGTTTTAAGGGACATGCATATAATGACGACATTCTTAACCGGTTATATCTATAGTCAAGCGTGTAGTTATGAAAGTCTCAAGCGACCTCCGACCATTGTTTCAGTTCATTTATTAAAATTAGATGATGCATAAATCTTAAATCGAACAAGACATTGTTTTAATATGGTGTTTGATTTATTATTCATGTTTTTTTCTGTTTTGGAATTATTGCAGTGGGACGCCAGAGAATGTAGTGCAAGCCATTTACCTGCGGTGTCAACAGGGTCAAATTCTCTGGGAGAGGCCCAGAGGTGGCCTTCGAGTCAATATTTCTCCCCCCAAGTACTTTGTGGCTTTGGGACAAGAGGACAAGCCTTTTCGCCTCTGTCTGGAGTCGAATGCGGGGACAAACTTTCAAGTATTTCTAGAGCAAACCGATGGCGTATCGGAAAGTAGCAGTGGTAATGGGGAACGACGCAAACTGCTACCATTCATTACTCCCAAGAAGAAAAAGTCATCCACTTGTTACCGCATAAACTCACCCTCTGCCACTATTTACGTGGAAAGTCAACATGGGGACCAGGACTTGCTGACCACATCCCCACCACCATCGACGACTACTACCAGTGGTTCGAAAGACCCTTATCAAGTCAAAATCTCGTATGAAATTGAAGAGCTCAAGATTCCTCAAGAAGGATTTTCCGGTGAGTAGCTACAAAAATACAGTTTTATATTTTATTTCCCAAGTCGTTTGTTGCGCAACATATTTTTTTGCATTTCTAATCAACTGAATTTGTATTACAATTAGAAATAAGTGTGGTCTCTCCATCTTCTTGTTGATTGTAGGTGCGATAGGCCAGAGCCAAAAATATAAATAAATGCTGACGAATCTTCTCCGTATGCACGCTGTTATATGCATGTACCAGTACAAATACAAATGATTATGATGATGACGACGGCGAAGTTTGGATTGGCAACAGATAAAGAATTGACTTTTCGATTCGATTGTTGTCAAGTTTCTAAGATGGATGGATGGATTTGAGCTGTAGCAACACGGCAATCTCAGCTACGTGTACCTATGTAGGCATATATATCTAGGTGCGTCGGATGAGAGATGAACAAAACTTATTTTGAGCCTTCGCTGCATAATAGACATTAGCGCACATAGCCGAAGGTGTTTTAAGAAATACCTCAGCCACCACGTACGTATGTACTTATGCTCATCGTATACATACAGATTTTCCGTTGCTCAAGTCTTCGATCTTTGATCTGACAGATAGGGGCGTCAAACACATTCGAAAGAAAATGAAAGAGCTACGACTGGCAAGTGCACGAGGGGGGAGGCTGTATGCACACACACACAAATGCTTTGTGCCTAATGCCTTGTGGGTATCATTAGGACGCTGGATATGAAATGGAGTGCATGAGAGTTATGGGATTTTAACCAATGCTAAATAAATTAGAATTAGATTTAGATGGGAGAAAATCTACCGACCTTTTTATTTGAGGTTTGGAGCTGATACCGCAAAAGATTTGGATCTTAACTAGATGGAATGATGGGCTGACCGAGGTTCGCTCTGATAGATGATCCCAGCAAGAAATAAGGGATGGTACCAAATTAGTCCTTGGGAGATAAACGATGATGGTATTCCGATAAGCATATCCATACATACATATTTATAATGCAAAGGTGCATGAACCTTGTCCTTATTACTATGCGTATAAGGCCTGCTGTAGCGCTACGACCTGTCCGTCGGTCATACATTCCAGAACTAATTCCATATTCGCGTGAATTGTTAGCAGCTCATTAGTGTCCAGGCGTCAACTCAACAATAAGTGCCAAATTAGAGGAGCGGGCATTTGGTCCTCCTCACATTCAGTCAACGTAAACTCTTGTCGTGTTTTTACTCCCCATCAAAAATGTTTGAATACTGTGGTTGGTCGACGGCACGGGTCTCTCGGGGGCATTGGAACCAGCAGCAGCAAAGCTCTCGCCATATCGCCATGCATGCAATATTTATTGAACGCCAAGTTTACTCTTGGCTGCAGTGATTAAAAGCCAGTGCTCATCATCACTGGAGGACGGGTAGAGTGAACAATGGAATGGTCAAATTCTGAGGCGCTGCTGCTGGCTCAGGCTGTGCTGCTGATGAGTACTGATCCTGAGTGGTGGACGGACGGACGGAGATAGATGGGAAGATATGAGATGGATGATAGCCGAAAGTGCAAAGTCAACTTTTAAATCTCAAAGAAATTTCCAAGAGAATCCGAACGCTTAATTAAGCATCGGCCAAAACCCACCACCCCCTCCCGACGTGAACCTCATTAACGCTCTCATTGTCTTACGGCTGGGAAGGCGAGGAGGCTTCTTCTTCCTTTTCGCCCTCAAGAATACGGACGGACGTCTTCTCCAACTTCACAACAAAACTATCTCACTTTTCAATAACTCCATCTCACTTTCCTTCATCAACGCAATTACATCTTCGTGGGATGATGCATTAAACTAAAAATAGTGTTACTCATGCAGAGATCCAATATTACGTATGTACGTATGTATCCACGTATTGATTACTCGGAAATAGTTAGTAGCAGAGTATCTGTATTTTCACTAAGTTTTTGTCGATGAGTTGCAAACGATGCCTGGCTTCTTCACTCTTTTATTATGTATTCCCTTCCTTGATTGGATAAATGTCAATACATGTGAAAAATTGGACTGTTATCGGCAATCGATCGAAACAATTGACTATTAAAATTTAAAATGCAAAGTCTCATCCTCGTAATTACATATACACACTCAAGCAATACCTACGCATTTAGTTGTGGGCTTGATTTCAGCATCATGATGGAAATGGTGCTGGCAAACTTATGTACGTATTAAATGAACGTTAGGTTGGACATTTCTGAATATTCTCAACCATTTCAATTTTGTCAGATGCTTGTCAGAATTATGTGCATATTTAGATGAACATGAAGATGCAGACAGTCAAAATCTCTCGAGTCTCGAGTCAGTCTCCGCGTTATTAGTCAACAGTTGGTTGAACTTGATAGATATTCATTTATATGTGTGATTAAATATTCATACCTCATTTAGTTGAGGCACAAACAAACCAAACAAAGTACTTTTTACTCGCTGTATTTGCATTGATGGCGAAGGTGGACGTGAATAGCAAGCAAAGCAATTAAAGCTTCAACCAGCCAAAGGATGGGTATGCATGCATTGCTTATAATTGTACATTACTCATCCTTGCATTATTTTAAATATGATACAATCTTGCATGGTTTGTATGCATTGGCCATAAAAACTGAGGTGGAGATATTTGGACGACCACGAATTATTACCAATATGGAATAATGAAAAATGTTGGTAAGAATAAGGATGACGGAGGATGAGTTTTAGCCAAATTTATTTGACGAAAAGCGCTTGGATAATGCACCACACGGCCACCACCACCATCGCCATTAAGAGAATAATAGGCGTCTTAAACTATCCTCAAGAATTTGACATGCAGACAATCCTCTGAAGAAAAATTCCTTAAAAAGTTAACTACAAACAACTTCAACGTGACTGTAATAAATTTAAAGTTCCTGAAAGACAGCCGGATTGGATTATAATTTTCCACAGAATGTTGCATCAACCAATCAATAATCAATTTTCACGTTGCTAAAACTCGTGTCGTTATCGTTCATTAGATACAAATTATGACGATAAAATTTGAAATCAAGATCAAGTTCTTGATGTAATTTGCCACATGGTTGATTTTTTTTTGTGCCAGACAAAGCAAGGACAAAATAGGCATCTCGGAAGCATGGACGAGGTTGAGGTCGGTTGCTTTAATTGTTTCCAGTTTTTCGCCCAGGTTGTACTAATAAGTAGCACATTAGCCTATCTCAGTCTTCATCTCATCAACAATACAAATGAAGTAATTGGAGGAGGGTGCGGAGTGGACAGGCTTACTGAATCTATTAAAGACCTGCTTTATTCAATCGGAGCTGGTCTCTACACACAGAAAACTGCCCTAATTACGCAACGAGAATCAAAATCAATGGTTATGTTGGATTATTATCAATATTTATAAATATAAATATTATATATATATATATAAATATTTTTTTATCCTACCCTACTCGTGTTGAGCTCAACATGAGTAGGGTAGGATAAAAAAATATTTGTCCAGGGTATGATTATTATGGACGAGTCGAATTCCCAACTCTCCAACCAAGCCACACTACAAACCTGTTTTACAGTTTGAAACCTTTCCAAGGTGGCCTGATGCTTCATTTATCGGTATTGGCAAACGGCTGGACGTGCGACTCCAAGAGCTGATAATAAATTACTTTTACTCACTGACTGACTGATTGTTGTGGTTCAGCTTGTACTGATTTGAACAAGAAGATGCTGAACGCATCCTCGTTTTGAATTTATTTCTGACAAATGATTCAACCCTTCTTTTTTTCGCTGGAAATACGTTCTTTTTTTGCGGGGTTGGGCTTGACAAGTTGAACTGGTTACTAAAGATATTTGGAGGCGGATTCCTGTTGATTTGATCACCCGTCATAATTACTTATCAACTGTATGCTAGCACCGATGTAAACTAACACATGTGAAAACACATCCACCAATCTATTCATCAAATCTGGACTTTGGCATCACAAAAAAGACGAGTCGTGTAAGTAAAACGACATGAGCTAGCTACTGTACACGAAGGACCACTCTTCATAAAATTGAATAAGGTGTAAAGTTTTCATTTTCTTTTTATACATAATTTCATGCATGCTTGCCCATTCTTGGTGGCTTTGATTCTGTCATCGAAAGGAGGAGATCGTGACAAGCAGTGATATCATCATCATCAGATCACACGTCGCCTACTGCCAGTCGTCAGTTTGGTTGGATTGGGGGAGGAGGCGTTTAATTGAGCATCCGATTCAGTGAAGAAGTGTGTTAATAAGCGTTAAATTTGTATTATACGAATCATCCGGCTGCATGAATGCACACTCTGAAGGAACAATTTCAAGGAACGAAACAACTTTTTTCCAAGTATTGCTGTCGACTCATGCCTGTACATCGGTGTGCATACGTAGTTTAAATATTCGAAGCCTTTGACATTTACATTTTCCATGCTACTCACGGTTCTTCATTGTTGAAGAATATCCAACAAAATTTATCCGCCCTTCTTCTTCTCAACAACTTTTTAAAACATGAGTACGATTCTCTCTCTACAATATCACCATGAGCAAAATTTTATAAATACACGCGTTATACACATTGGTTAACATGTAGCCTAAGTTTCTAACTTTGCATTTTGTGATCTACATAAACTATGTATATGCATATTTGCTATTTACTTTTACTTGTCGTTGATCAAATTCGGCAATAACATTCGCCAGTACGTAGTCCTTTAACTAATTACCCGTGAAAAATTGTCGTCTCCACAGGAGTTTGCCTCTCCGAGGATTCAAACAGCGAATCGTCCACTTTTAGTCATTATTATTACGCAATATTCCGTGGCTTCTTTGCTAACGAACTACCATCGGCCAAACAAATTGGAAATGTTCACAAGTCAAAATCCATTACTGGAGGGAAAGTCGTCTCCTAATCACTCCAAATTTTAATCTCACCTCATCGCGTTGTTGTCGGCTTGACAGGGTTGATTTAGTGGCTCCACCGAGACTAGTCCGTACATATATTTATTTACTATTGTGTAATACCAATGCATAAGAAGTAACTTGCGTGGAGAGCTCGTTGCATGATAAATATGATCTCCTACTGATTTGATTAGATGGCCATAAATTTGCCAGAATTTAAATATGATGAACTGAACTTTGAAATGGAAATGCAGCTGACCATGACATGTTACACAGAATATTTGTTCCTTAATTGCGAACAAGAATTAGATTCGTTTTCTTACTTTTCCCGTTTTCCTTTTACACCTTCGATTTTCTTTCTCGTTTCACAGTCTAAATATTTAAATGTCAGTTAAATGATGGTTGATTGTTAATGCTTTAAACGGTTGGTATTTGGCAAAAAAAACAAAGTCTGGTTTTTAAGCCTTCCAAACCTAATTATCACCTTGTTTTTTGTTCATTTTCAGATGATGAATGCCGTCCTTGCAGCGATCCTGAGGTGCTGCAGCTCTATTGTGAAGCTGATGTTGGTGAGTACAAGAGTTTTGTTGTGTGCATGTCTTTCCTAGTTTCATGCGAAGAGATGCGATATCATCTTCTACAAGTTTCCTTTAGCAGGACGAGTAAAAGTATATTAAACAACACGAGATCAGAGGCAATTTTCACAGTTTGCGAAGAATCTTGATCTTGATTGTGATATAATCATGGGTTGAATTCACACGTTATCACCCGATGAAATGTTTTTAGGAAGGTGTCAAGTTTTACTTTGCACAAAGCCCCTAATGGCAAAATTACTTGTAACAGCCATTAATTTTGATTGTGTGTCTTCCATCCATGCTCTCAATTATATTGCGAGGTTCCAACTTTCTTCTCTACCATTTCAACCTGGTGTATGATAATATTTCTAATTTTTCCTTTTGCCTTGTTCTAGTTGCCCGAGGAGAGATTTTATCCGTACTTCCAAGTACCACTAGGAAAGGGATGGATAACCTTCACATCAAGTCCAACTTGGTTGTTCACCAGAATCATCCAGTCTTTCAACCCTTAAAATCAGGGAATAAAAATCTGCAGAAATTCCTTCTCCAAGATACTCCAACTTTTGATCAAGACTCGCCCAAGAAGGTACCCAAGCTAGCAAAGTCCTCATATTTCGGAGGCATCGTTTCCCACCCGTCCAAATGTGCGGCACAAAGTGGACCTGGCCAATTTCTTTGGTTGATCAAACTCAGCTTTGGAAGACCAAAGATTGGATGTGAGTGCCGTTTTATTTTCATACGATTACTGACACTGATATTTTAGTCTCTCATTTCTCATGATGGGATGGAGTTACAATTTATTTTTTGCAAGTTTAATGCCAAAAGTATTAATTCATATGTTTTATCGTATTTTAGGTGTGGTCTACTGGGACAGATGGATGCAAGTCGCAAAGCAAGCCGAGGCGTTGGACAAGGCAAACTGTCGCTTGGTTTACCAGTAATAACAGTGAAAGTAAAAGGATTCTGATGTCGAGAATCGTACCATTGTACCTTATGCTATGCTATAAAGGAAGAAGTTAGTCATTTTCTCCGATTTTCATGATACAACAGGACAAATGACAAACCAGTGTTGTTCATTTGTCCAATTCAGTAAAAATGTTTTAAATTTATATAAGAGCAAATTGAAACCATATCGTTTTTGATATCACTCCCTTGATCTGTTAAATTTCATTAGAATGGGCGTATCTGGAATGAGTTTAAGCTATGTTTATCCAATGCGAAGAGTGAATGCGTTTGTGATAGCGAATAATATATCTCAAGCCCCATCCACGACCACAACTTACACTTTTTTTATCAAGCTTTCTCAGTAAATCACCCAACCCTATTTGCTCGAAAGTGAAAAAATAATAATTTCAGTGCCAACGCATAGGTATTACAAATACTATATTTAAATATGTATCAATAGTTGAATTATATTTACAAATATTTACCCATGTTAAATTATTATAACATTAATGAAACAGAACTTATTATAATAAATCGTACTTAATCCAATATCTTGTGCTGTATATGACTTTTTAATTAAACAAAACAACGCGTTACAACGAAACAGAGAAGAACTTTCAATCAATTAATTCAGTTATTATTCTTATCTCGGTTTGTGACCATTTCCGCAAGCGCGTCGTTCTCATCTTCCCACCACTCGAGATTAGCCCACAATATTTTTTAATAATGTTTATTCCTTGGGCAAGCAAAAAGTTAATCGTTCCCATTTCACCGAGATATCGACTTCATTTCTCACGCATCTTAATATTTAAAAATCCACGCCACCAACAACATACAAATTTACTCACCCGCACTCTAAATGCATTCATACATTCTCCAACAGTTTGATATGACAAACAAATGTTTTAAATTAACACAATGTTCATTGGAACCAGGCCTGGATCGAATTGGATTCTCTTCGTGGCGTCATCTTCATCAGACATCGCTTGTCGTGATACATCGCGTCGTATCATAACCTTATTAAACTCGGAGTCTGTATCTGTTATTCATTCGTTCGTGGCTTCACTTTTGTGTAGCTGGAGCATTTAGCTAACCCAGCGACCGAGCGTGGGATTCATTGTGCAAAAATATTCTCACTCGCCAGAAGAGAGGAAGTTCAACCCTTCATTCTCACCCTCACCACAGTCCTTGCTGGATAAGTAATTACACATTCATGCAATATGGGCTAAATTATTGGTGTCTCATTGATGCAGCTTTTCTCAAGAAAAATTTCCCACCCACACAACGCTGCCCGAGGTTTTTTGAGCATACCAAGAATCGGATAATGCAGTATGTATGAATGAATGACAAGCAGTCTTATCCTTAGTTTTGTTCAAGGGTTAATTGCTAGGCGTTCTTCTAAGGTTTTGCGTAAGGTTTCATCCATGCCTGGGTAATTATTATCATCTGAGATGTGCGCGCATATCTCAGCGAAAACTGAATAATTTGAAGTGAAACTACCAAGGCCTTATAAAGCAATAAATAAGGTTTACATTACACTGAGCAAATTTAAATTTAATACAAAAAATGAATGAGATGATGGCGTCATCACTTTAGCCTGAAGTTAACGAACGTTTAAAATTCCAAAATTTACCTGATTTCTATTACTAATAATAACACGACAGAGTTAATTTTTAATTCAGCTTCATGAAAATCAGCAGGGGTTTCATTGGTTAAAGAGGATGGTAGTTTGCTGCCCCAACGCTTGCTGATGGATATGTAGTCATCAAGGGCGTGGGGGCCGGACCGCAGGAGGAAGGATGCCAAGCAATACGTACAAGGTACCAGATCTCAAGGGAAGAGATGCCAATAATAAACTGCTATTTAGATACACCCAGAGTGAAGAGTACGTTACATTGTAAAATAGGAATGGAAGGATTGTCCGCCAGCAACAGCGGTCTTCCAACAATCATTTTGTGACTGTCAATCAAATCAAAACTCATTCCTTTCAAGAGGGCGAGGAGCCGTACCTGGTGCTTTTTTCAGAATTAAAAACGCTTCGCAGTCTCATCCCATAAACTATCTATCATTCATCGCCGGTAAATTTATGCTCACTATGCAACCTTGGTTGGTAGTTGCTCCACGCTTCCGTCGCAACATGTCCAGACATTTATTTTTTATGGATTACACGTCGAAGCGTCGTATCGGAAAAGTCGCATTCTCACATATATTGAATTATAGCTCTACACAGACAAAATAATTTCACAAGGATCATAGATATTGGAATAAAGGTATACTTTTTGTTTTTAATTCTGCGTAATTCGCGACTACATATCACGGACAAGAAATAAATAAACTTTACTAAATGTTTTAAAGGAATGAGAATGAGATGTTAAATATTACACATCCTCTTTTTGGACTTTTGTATAAAAAAAAACAAGTCGAATCACTCACCCGCTCCCTACATACGAGTATGTACTCCGTAGCGTTAGCATAGCGTGGCTGGGCTGGACTCTTGAGTCATGGTTAAAACAGAAATCATGATTGATATTGTGCCCCCACCCGAGACTTTTATTTTTTATCTCTTCTCAAACGTCCACATCAATAATTGTCGAAGGCTTGAGAATAACTTTCGAAGACACTTCTGCCCGAGGTGAGTGCTTTCGAGAATAGTGTGGTACTGTGATGAAGACCATTCCAAATTATAGTATACCTACCTACCTACTCCTGACTTTCTTGAAGGTACATTTTGAGGGTTACAATGGATGGTGCGTGGGTTGGTGGTAAAAGGGATAAAGTTATACAAGTACACAGCTGAATATTATTATTAGCTGTTAAATTACAGGACATTACGAAAGAAACTGGAATTGACTGCTGAACATCTCCCCACAGCGGGACACACCATTACTGAAATCAAGGGCCCTCCACTGCATTTAAGTCTCCCTGTCTCTCCTCTTGTGAATATTCTCGACATCACTTTCGTCATTAATTCAGAGCTTTCTTCTCCCAAGGAAGGCGTGACCGGGAGCAGCAGCAGGTAGCATATAGCCCATCGGTTAATGGCTCTACCCGTTGTGGGTGATGGGGTTTTGGTGGTGAAAGTGTGGAAGGCTCATCGTTTTATACGTATGGAACATAAATGCTCCTAAATTTAATTTCTTCCTGCAGAGTTGTGATCAACATAATGTAAATTGTTATATTATTTCTGAACTACATACATACGTTTGTGTGTAACAAAAATAAGGGCCAAAAAAGGCTGTGCCCTGTGTGATCATCATTCATTTCTCAACTCATTCGTTTCGGATTTCTTCAAAAATTCTTGTGATTTCCATCATTTATCATCACTTACCTACCTCTGAATCCTTAAAAGAGTTAACGTTGAGGATAGAAAGATGCAGGAGGTAGTACTTCAGATCTTTGGTAAACTTGCGTCTAAAAACAAAAGTTCAAGGATTACTTGTAAAAATTCATTTATCATTCCAAGAAATGAAAACGAAAGCCTGCTTATTTAAAATCGACGTCTTGAACATCTTTCCACCCGTTATATAAAATATCTATGATTGGAAACCAATGATTTTCATTTAAAACTAGGCTTCGAGATTTGGATAATTATATTTATTACGAGTTCAACTTTTTTATTGGAGGGTTTTTTGAGACCAGTCGCACACAGCAAACCAGCGCATGTAAGTAAAGTACCACCCATTTTCAAGAAGTTGTAATGATAATGATGGTTAATAGTCAACAATGAAGTGGAAAGTGGTTCATTCTCCACGTACATATACATGCATATGTACGTAATTGCATAAAGTGTACATATACACTTCATCTTCAAGTGTGGCTAACTTCATGGGTTTGTAAAGCCCCTTATTGTTTCACGTATGTATGTGCACTGCGTATACATCCATAGAAAAATGGGTACTCGAGAACATGCTCGTGTTACCTTGCTTACTACATTCGAAACTTGAACGATTACAATAGTCGGGTATCAAATTAAGAGTTTTATAATGTATAATCAATATTAAATATTTATTGGAAAGTTTTATCGACCAAAATGAAGGTACAAAGTTCCATATATAAGATGTATATTTAACATTTTAAAATTAGGGGTATGCATTAAAAAATGAATGTATTCAATAGTATGCTATTTATTGTAAATAGATGAGACCGATTTTTTTTGTTATAATTATTGCTTACTTCACATGACGGGAAAACGATTTCTCTTCTGGGCTACAACATTATTTCGATTACAATAAAGAATTCCAATCAAGTCAAAGGTTGCGTTGAATTGCCTTTTCAAGACTTACAGAGGAACCTATTTATGTCCATACAGAAATGGAAAGTCATGTCATGCGATGCACATGCTTAATTTGTGGTACGAAACTGGGGTGGGACTATTTTTAGAGGTTGGGAGAATTATTATCCTGCGTGTGATGTTATATTAACATGATTCAAAATTTTGTCGGATTTGGGTGGTTAATTTTATTGTTACGTGATGATGAGTAGTCAGGCTGTCCAGGTGTGTGTAGGTGTAGACCAAATCCACCAACAAGGCAAAACTAATCACCAAAAACTGTGGAGTCACTTGGCTTCAATTCTTCAATACTTCATCGTCAATGTTTGTCCCGACCCTTCCTCTATTTAAATATCTGCAGTATGATTACATATTATTTATTATTACTTTCCCATCGTGAAGAAAAGTCGGTTGATTCAATCTTCGATAGCGTATAACAGACTTGATGTTGATTTAGTCCTTTCCTTGGTCTGAGCTTTTGATCGTACGTATTTGGTATTATTATTACGTGTTACATGATAAAATTAGGGGAGAGACGAACGATGACTGGAAGATGGTCAAGTTCAAGGGTCAGCCTCAATTTTGATTTACTGTGAATAACATAACTTTCGAAGTGCATCCCTTTCACAAGACTTTTTGTTTATCCGAGTGGTTTATAATTTCCTGAATCTTGAGTGAGATATGCAAACAAGTGAAGAAAGGTCGATGCTTACTCTCAGCATAAGAAGACCAGAAATATATGAAACGTTTAAAACTTTGCGTCGAATAAATATCATGGATGACTTGATATTTTGGGTGAATTATTAATGAGCAATTTGATTTTATTGCGAGAGGTTGGTTCAGAATTGGCAGGTCACGATGTTGGGCGAGTGCCTTCGTCCAGCGTCCGTTCAAAAAATCGTGACTGGACATTCCCTAATAAAATAAGAAATCTCAAAGTTGTTGTGGCTCAAGTCCAAGTTGTTTTATGTCTAATTTTTAAATCTAGAGAGAGATTCCCCAGATGCACACGAGAGAGAATTTCAGATTCTTGTTGTAATTGTTTGGTATAAAATTACGAAATGCAACAAAACAAAATTCTCAAGTACTCTTCTGATGTAAAATAAGCGTTCTAAAGTCGCTCTGGGCTTAATAATTTCAGGGATGATTTGGACAATTTAAAAAATAATAATTCCTTGTTAAATTAATAGTTTTAGCTAAATTTGGACTGTAAATTATAATTATCACTTGTTTGGTCATCTAACAAGTCTATCAAACTTGCTTCTTACTAGTTAGATTTTTATGTTTATTAAGGGGTGTGAAATCCTTAATCGCTTAATTTTTATAAAGGGTCACAACTCAGAACTAAGGTCAAGTTAGTTGGGTGACCATTTAGGTGAAAGGATTACGACGCCAGGTACAAGGTCGTAACACTTTTAACGACAAACAGGTCAGATGGAGCCTCAAATCGATATCGATATTGAATCGATCGATTTTTCAGGGTCTATATATACGTAGGTGTTTTATTATTAATTTTCAAAAGGTATGTTCCGCACTGTTTCTGACCAAAATTGTGATGAAATAACAAACTTCAAATACATTTAGGAGGCTGTGATTTTTTTCAACTCTGTGGGTTAACATAAACACTAGCAATAAATCGGCAAACTTTACCTCGACGGAAAAAATGCTAGATTTGCAAATTAAATATCGTAGTGTGATTTAATTTTTAATGCTGGATGGGCAATACGTGTCGCAGATTTATGGTTGAATGCTTAAAATGTACAATGAAAACTGCCCAACACAAAACACAAATTCAATTGGGTCAATAATTTTTAATGATGGCGAAACGAGGTCTCGAGCAAAAAGTCGCAAGGACGCTCAAAATCCGCTTCTTCCACAGAAAGGCTCCGGAAACTAGAGGAACCAATAATGAGAGATCCGCGATTGAAACTGTCCTATATAGCAGATGAGATGGGTGTTCCAAAACCAGCAATTTGTTCCATGTTAACTGAAGACTTAGGTATGAAAATGGTTTCCGTCCGTTGGGTACCAAAATTGCTTTCGGCATCTCACAAACAGGATCGAGTCGACTTTTGCAATGCAAATTTTAACCTATTAAATGAAAACTGGAACCTGCTCAATATTTTATTAGCTGCATATGGTACTTGGGTTTACTATTATGACCCGGTGACCAAATAATAATTCCCTCATTGGAAGGGGTTGTCACCGCCCGTGAATTGAAAAGTGCAAAAATCTGACAAAAAAATTGATGATGACCATTTTCAAGGATACCAAAGGTCCCCTCCTTATAAAATTTATTGCTGGTAATACTGCAATAAATGGGGCCGTGTATGCAGGAACCCCGAAGGAGCTGCGTCCTCCGGTTGAAAAGAAACGTGGGGTCAAAATAAAGAGTTGGCCTTTTTTTAGACGACAACGCGCCACCTAATACCTGGCTTTTTGCGAGGGTTAGTGCAGACGAAAATCGCTTTACCTGCACAAACCACGCCCCGTGCAGTCCAGACTTGTCCCTTAGTGATTATTATTCGTTTCGAAACTTAAAGAAAAACATCAGGGGAAAACGGTTTTCGGATGATAATGAAATCAAGTCGTAAATTTTGGCATATTTTCGAGGTAAATTTTAATGAGTTATTGCTAGTGTTAATGTTAACCTACAGAACTGAAAAAAATCACAGCATCCTAAAAGTATTTGAAGTTTGTTATTTCATCAAAAGTTTGGTCAGAAACAGTGCGGAACATACCTTTTGAAAATTAATAATAAAACACCCACGTATACTAAAAAAGGTCTATACTAAAAAAGCCTGCGATGACACTATGATCGTGTCGACGAGGTAAAAGGTCGAAAAGCCGATTTTTTATTTATTTTAACGGTCTAGACATTATTTATGGAAGGTGACGTAATTAAGACGAAAAATTAATGTACGTACGTACGTACGTGGTGACGTACTTAAGACACGGATATCTCATTTGGTTTCAAAATTGTCTACATATCTATACTTCGTTTGCAACGGTTTACTTAAATTAAAATAAGGTATATAAGTATAATTTAAAATGCTAAACTAGTAATAATTTAATTGCTGTTGAAGGTCATATGTGTTAGCTCTAAAAAGTTTGTACTATTTTTTACAATTTGTTGTGATAAGCCTCTGGGAATAATGATAATTGGTTTGTAATATTTTCCGTCCTGATGACGATCACAATTGAGATCGAAAGCTTGACACGGTTTAGAAAACAATAAAGTTTTTCTCATTTATATATACATCCACAATGTCCGTAAATAATAATTCTCCCAATTTGTTGTGAGTTTTCCATGCTTATTGACGGCTATCAGAATAATTGAGTAGCTGCAATCGCGATCGAAAATTTACTTAAAACTAACTTTTGATTTTATTGTAAAATAATATTGACTACTCAAATAGCTCACTAAACCTTACCCAACTCGATAGATTTCACATTTATGCAGTTCTACTTGTGTTGCAGTTGTAATCGTTTGACTGCATGAAAATAATCCGCTAAAATAACGCCTGATTTCTACTTTGTCTCCTAATCTCACAATCCTCAAAAATGAGTGGGAACTGCATCACACATGTTTTAATGGTTTTAACACGCAGTTGGTGTATTATAAAAACAAAATGTTATCCACATTATTTATTATAACTATTCAGTTAAAAAAGATTTGTAGGTTAGTAAGGGGATGACTAACAGTACGTGATTAATCTGAACTACAACAAAAATCGCCCACTTTTCAGTTTCACAGTGTGTTTTAATGTCCATTTGAAAGGTAAGTGGGTTTATGGTTCATTTAATTTAAATGGTTTATAGTAATTAATTTGGTATAGAGCAATAATAATATTGGTGAATGGAGACTCTTATTGTGTATCGACAGAGGTGGATTTTGTCCAGTCATTAATTTGTAGTTGCAAAATTACTAACAACTAACTGATCTAGTTTACGTAATTTTGTAATTTATCCGTAGAACTGATGAAAAAATGTTACTCACAATGTGAATTTCACATAATATGTGAAGTCATAAATCAAACCACTGGAGATCAAATGCGAGTTGAAGCCATATTGATTGGATATACAATAATCCAAACCCATTTACCACATGTTCGCCTTTGCTAATCTTAATCGACACGTAAGAGATAGGGCTGGATTAATTTAAGGAGGATAATAATAATAATATGTGACTTGCGACTGGTATCAACAAAGTTTAGTTCTTGCGTTATCGAGTACAACCAAAACAGTTACAACTCGTAACGCACGTACGCGTTGGTTCTTCCATACTTGTTCGCTTAAAAAGTCTTTACAACAAATTCCTTTACATTAAACAAGAGCTTATACATATTTTTGCTTATACTGTTTAACAGGATTAATACTCCTTTTTCTGTTTTCTGTGTAGGAGTATCAAATACAAAGTGGATGATGATGATCATCGAAAATTTTCTTCATAAATAAACAAGATTATTGGTGCAAATGACTAAGAGATGATTGTGTTTTGGGAGAAGTTTGACTCACCAACTGGAAGTTATTACCAACAATACAATTAATTATTTAAACTATCACAATGTCTGGAGAAGTATTTGGAAGAGCGAACGACGAAAGAACTCCTCTGTTACGGCCGCGACAAGAAGACCGAGGAAACGATGATGCCAGTAATCCATTCAACTATAATGCGACTGTAATCAATTTTATTACGTCATTTTCCACATATATAAGTAATCAGACGTGCTAAAAGGTAATAAATATTTTATACTATTGACTATAGAGCAGTGCAGAAATGGCAATCAACAGTACAGACGAAGATGACCGGGTGTTATCTCAGAGTATGGACGAGGACAATATTTTGGGCCTTCTGAGGAGACGACGAAGTTATGAAAGTCAAGAAGGAGGTGTCGTATCTTCATCATCACTCCCAGGCGATCTACCTCATAGACCAACTAACGAACCTAAAACGGTTCGAACTGGAAATCTCAATTTACTTTCCTCAAAATTTGAAGTAAATGAAAGTTTTCGTAATTGAAGCGCAGAGAAGTTAAATTGTATAACGACGGACCTGTGTTCTTTAACTTTAGAGTTTGGATTACGATATATGCGAAAACTCTTTGCTGATTGACGAAGAACGAACTAAAGGATATCAATTTATTGCAAAAAAGGACCTCTTAAGATGGGTGATAATGATCTTTATTGGTATCTTCACTGCATTAATTGCCTGCTGTATTGACATTGCAATTGAAGAAGGTAAATCAGACGAGTACACAACTGTTTAGTAAATTGTTCTCTAATGTAAACTTTTAATTTGAAGGATCTGGAGTTAAATTTAATTTTTTAAAGAAGCAAGTGGACCAATGCGTCGAAGACGGTTGTTTAAGCATACCATTTTTGTACTGGATTTTGTGCAACCTCGTTCCAGTGTTGATCGGTTCTCTACTCGTTGTCTACGTTGAGGTATTTTACAACGAATTTTATGTGGATGAGGTTTTTTTAATATTTGGTTTATTTAATAGCCTGTTGCGGCGGGAAGTGGAATACCGCAAGTTAAGTGCTATTTAAATGGCGTGAAGGTCCCTCGCATTGTTCGAGTAAAGACATTGATCGTGAAAGCCATTGGCGTTACATGTTCCGTTTTAGGAGGCCTTGCCGTTGGAAAGGTATGTTATCTAAAATTTAAATTTTTAAATAGGTATGTTCATGCGGAATTGTCTTATCTTGGCATGGATTCAACATTTCCTCATAGGAAGGACCAATGATTCATTCAGGTGCTGTAGTTGCTGCCGGTTTATCTCAAGGAAAATCTACTACGTTGAGGAAAGATTTCAAGTTGTTTACATATTTCCGAGAAGATCATGAAAAACGCGATTTTGTTTCCGGAGGTGCTGCAGCTGGGGTGAGTGCAAAGTCACGCAAAGTGTAGTATTCTCAGAATTCGGGTATCAAGTACAGTGTACTTAGTGCACATCGATCATTGAGTGTTTTTTCTGCATTTAGGTTGCTGCCGCATTTGGTGCTCCAGTGGGAGGAGTTCTCTTCAGTTTGGAAGAAGGTGCGTCATTCTGGAATCAGAGTTTGACTTGGCGAATATTTTTTTGTTCGCTTATCTCAACTTTTACACTTAATGTCGTTCTCAGCACGTATCATGGGCGGCCAGGTAAATCAAGTTGAATATTACAGCTTACATAAATGCAATACGTTTGGGGTAATCAAAATTGACAAGGTAAAATATTTAATTATGTTTGACCGACCCTCTCTGTAGGCGAATTGACTTATTCTGGTCTGTTGAACTTTGGAAAGTTTGATAACACGAGCTACGACTTTATAGAAATTCCTCTTTTTATTCTAATGGGAATTCTTGGTGGTCTACTGGGTGCACTTTTCAATCATCTCAACTTTAAATTGACAGTTTTTCGTATTAGGTATTTTCTCATGTTGTTTATGTATATTATACCGTCACGCATTCTTATACCCATGACATATGGACATTTTTTGTTTGACTGCAGGAACATCACGAAAAGATACGTTAAAGTGCTGGAAGCCGTATTAGTGTCAGCAGTTACTGCTACTGTTGGAATGGGGATGATTTTATATACTAACGACTGCAAACCGTTGGGCGATGACCCAACGAAATATCCTGTACAAATGTATTGTGGGGTACTAAATTCACTTTATGTGCACCAACATGGATTCTCGCTCAAATATAATTTTCTGTAGGACGGACAATATTCTGCGATCGGTGCTATATGGTTCCAAACTCCTGAAGGTAGCTTTTCTATCATGAAAAAGTATATATACCTGTATCTAAGATATTTCTTTGCAGCAAGTGTAAGAAGCCTTTTCCACGATCCACCAGGTTGAAAATAAATAAAATATATTCATTGATGGGCCTAAATAACTATGTAAATATTACTGTGTGCAGGATCTCACAAGCTCACCTCAATTCTAATGTTCTTTGCATTCTACTTCTTTCTGTCATGTTGGACCTATGGGCTAAGCGTGTCTAGGTGAGTTGGTATACTATCAATTATTATTTTAAAATTTAAATAATATTCTTTACAGTGGATTATTTATTCCATCCTTGCTTACTGGAGCTGCATGGGGTCGGGTGGTTGGAATGGGTAGGTTACCTCATGTTTTCAAATTTCATGAAATATAGGTTTCATGTTACTCAACAGGAATGGAATACATGTTTCCCGACAAGTCTTGGGTAAACCCTGGCAAATATGCCCTAATTGGAGCAGCAGCTCAATTAGGAGGCGTCGTTAGAATGACGGTGAGGTTAAATTTTAAACTTACAATTTGCCAAAGTCACTTTTTTGGTGATTTGCAATTTTTTTCAACTATACAATATCGAATATGGATAATTTCAATTCGATTTATTCCTATTTAGATCAGTTTAACTGTGATATTAATTGAAGCAACTGGAAACTTGACTCTTGGTTTGCCGTTAATGATAACATTATTGATGGCGAAATGGGTTGGAGACTATTTTAATGAGGTGCTTAAATTAATATTTTAAAATTAAACTCTTTAGTCGATATATTTATTTTACTTCATGTATATCTACATCTACATATGTAGGGCATTTATGATACTCATATTCGACTAATGGGAGTCCCCATCCTTGAGGTAAATTCGCACATTCGCCCTTTTTATATACTTAAAGTATGGTAATATTTTCCTCTTCCTTTAATGCAGTGGGAGCCTCCCCCACTATCGCGCAATATTCATGCAACTGAGGTCATGTCCACCCCTGTAATTTCTTTCTCTTCAGTCGAAAATGTTGGAAGAATCATTGACATACTGACAAATGAAAGATATAATGGATTTCCGGTTGTAGACACGCCAATGTACAATGATGGGGTGTGTGAAATTTACGTATTACCGTTATTAAGACAAGTATTAGATGAATGATGAATTGTTTGATGTTTTTACAGCGGACTTTTGGGAAGATACGAGGCCTAATATTGCGTAGTCAACTGATCGTTATGTTGCAACATAAACTTTACAATGAGACCGCAGAATCTTGGAGTCATAAAGGATACACACTCAAACTGTTTCGGGATGCATATCCCCGTTATCCTACAATTCAGGTTTGGAAATAATTTCTACATCCTTAGTCCATTTTTATTAAATATTTTAATTCTAAAATCGACGTATTAATGAATGCTGTGCTAATGTTTAGCAAGTTCACGTGTCGGATGAAGAGCGACATTTCACTGTCGACCTCCGACCTATCATGAACCCATCACCTTATAGCGTGATGCATTCTTCGACACTTCCCAGAATATTCAAGCTCTTCCGAGGTCTTGGCCTTCGACATGTGATCGTAGTAAACGACAATAATGAAGTAGTGGGAATTGTGACGAGAAAAGACTTAGCCCGATACCGTATGGAAAAACACATGGGGAACATGCGTCTAAGTGAATTAACTATTCTAGATTAACCATCGTAATTGATTTGACTAGTTCTTTTTAATTTATTACTGGAGAATTTTTACCTCAAACTTGGTCCAAGAGGAACAACAGTCTTTCACTATAATAACTGTTACTGTTACTACAAAAGGCGTTAGGACATGGTTTTGACGAATTCGCGGATGAATATCTCTGGCGGGGAGTTGAATTTTGAACTGATTTTTTGTAGGCTGTAAGATCATACTCTCAGAAAGATATGTTTAAAATTTTAGGGCGATAGCTTCAAAAATGCCCCCTCCAGTGCCCCCAGAGTTGGAAGGAGCCAAAAAAACACTTTCCAAACTGAATGACTCATAGGGCATGATAACCCAAGAGGTCAGAGGTGGATGATTGTTAATATTACAACCCTAGATAATCATTGCATGAAATAATAAAAGAATCCACAATGAATTACATAACGTTGTGCCTCCATCTTCGCTGATACTTTTCCATGAAAAGTGATAAATCGGACCGTGCACCGGGAAATTGACCTGCTGACCTTGAAAACGGACAGACTGGGTCAAATGAAGATTGAGGGTAAAGCTGGATGTGTCCTCAGTAATATTAAAACAAACAGTCAAGATTTTGTATAAACAGTTTTAGAGAAGGACCCGAGTTAATCAGCTGTCGCGGAATCCTAAAAAACTCGTGAACTTATTTGGAAAATTAATGGTAAATTTTTTTCGAAAATAAATTTTAATAATCTTTTTGTGTCCCCTACTGCAGAACTATTTTATCTACAAGGTACAAGTGCCAAAATAATAAAATTATTGCGTTTTGGTTAGTTAAATTCTTTCTGAAGTTCGACATCGAAAACGACGGGAACTTTTCCAAAAATTTTATAAGGTCTGATGAAAACTCAGTCCGTGGGGCATAACCACTTATCAAAATTTTGTCAAAAGTACTTACAGTGCAATATACTATATGTACCTTGGATAAAACCCACGTTAGGGATTTTTAGCATCAAAGTCGTAAAATGTGGGGGCCTTAAAAGTGGAAGAGTTGCGTTAAAGAGCGCATTCCATTAGGACAAGTATGAAATTAGACTGCAAAACGGACTTAAAAGATAAGCATAAGGAAAAAGTGGTTTTATATAGTGAAAAGCATGCTAAGTCCATTGATAATAGTCGCAAAGACGATTTTTGCATCAGGACCTCAGAAAAAAATATATTGCCCAACGCCATTTTATAAGAACACTGGTTTGGAAAACTAAAAAAGGACACCTCTCCAAATTTGACCTTGCCTCATTTCGCAGAGTACACAAAATCGGAAGCCAGATATGCTTACCTATAGTTTGAGACATGGGCTTTCAAATAAAAAAAGTTAAAAATCTCTACGACTAAAAACCACCCCGCAATTAAGGTATGAATTCGTCAAAACCATGTCCTAACGCCTTTTGTACTACATGGAATAACTAGACATGTAATTATAATTTATAATAAAATAAAAAATACATGATAAAATAATAATAAACGTACTTAAGAATGTTGCACCTCGTGTACGCACAGACAAACGTAGTTATTTTTTAATTGTTAACAAACAACCTCCATCCTAACCACGCCCACAGAGAGAAAAAGAGGAAAACGGGGATGGCGACGGAACCCAGAAGAAAGTAGTACGTTTCCTTTGGGAGTTTTATCACGTGATCCCACGACCCATCGTCAAGGCCGAATATTAGCAAATCCAAATTCATCCTTTCTTCTATCCTAAAAGTCAAAACGAAAATTAGTTGGGTGAGTAAAAAATTGTCAATTGAGAATTCACAGTGCCGGACGAGATGACATAAATTCTAAAGCAATCGATTCTCCTTTCATCTTTCCGACTCACCTCAAAAATCCAGATTTAGAATTTTATTATAATTTGACCAGTTGTAGTGCATTTTTTTTAAATATTAAGACTGCTTGGTTCGCATAACGAGTCCAATTTAATTTCAAATTTTAATTTTTATAAAAATAGATTATTTGCTAGACACATAGTCAACTTTGAAGGAGAAATTGCCGCTGTTGTTTTGCAATGATATGAGATTTGTTTTGTATGAAAATCTTGAAGTATGAATTTGCATGAAACGAATCAAAGATTCATATTTACAACTTTGAAGAAGGATTCTGAAGACATGAGATTTATTGTAAATGTGACACTATGACATGATAGATGATGTACAAGTAGATCTCACAACAATAGGATTTTGAATAGTAACAAAGAGGAGTAATAATTGTATTTCAATAACATGCCATTCGTACATAGTAATGTGTAAAATAATTCATTTCACAAGCTCGTTATATTTAGTTCGTCTTAATAATAATGACCAGACTTTGTAGTTTTTCACTTCGAATGAATGTTCTAACTTCCTCCTGAGGAAAAATCCACGACTCTGTCCAAGGTGATACATTTGCAGGTACAACCGGACACAGGACATTCCGCTTGCGTCCTAATATTTATGACAAGTTTAGTAAGCCGAACTGAAGCTATTTAATACGGTGTATTGTACTTGCGTACTGAACTTACTCAAACCAATGTTGTAGATGGAGCGTGTGACCACCATGTCTAAAAGAAGTACAAGTTTTGTTTAATTTTTGACGCAATCACGAACCTTGAGAGAAAAAATCATTTACCGGCAAGATTGGCACCACGTATACCAACAGGCAACCGCTTCAGATGATGTCATGCTCGAAGGTAAAAGGGGCTGAAGTTCCTTTGAAGTTCCTAAAATTGTACCTAAAACCAAAAAATGCACATCATGTAATTGCACAATTGCAGGATACCGAATATGTAGTAATTACCCATGTGCATGAGACAAATGGAGCATCTAGGCAGTGGTTTACGACAGCTAGGACAACAGGATAACTTAACAAAAAATATGTTAATGAGTCTAAATTGTGTTAACTTAATTAACCTTTTCCTTCGTAAGAGAATTCTCAAAAATATCCCGTTGCTGCGGAATAGCAACACCTCACAACCATAGCTTGTGGCGTAGCAATTTTTGAATTACCAAACGTTATCACGGAGCTAATGTAAATTTCAGTGATACGTTCCATGGATATATTTCCAAAATTATTAAACTTTCTGTGGAGGCATTTCGTTTCTAAAATGACGTAATCATGGAGACATTTTAGCCCGACCCAGGACTTATGTACCCGTGTTGTCCATCCGTCCGTCTTGAGTCTTGATCTTCGTGAAACTTATTCTATCAACTTGATATTTCGGAAAATTAAAAATGACAAAGTAATAGTACAAAATTTAAAGTCGATAGGATAGATTTACGAGAGTTATTGATAACCAGACAGGCAGAGACACACCGGACAAAGCAGGTACACAACCCCTGACTCGGGCTAAAAACCGAATTTTTTTCAAGATGTGTAAATCCATGGAAAAAATATTTTTTCAATGAGAGGAAATATCCTTTACTACGCAGTAAAGTCAATGACCAGAGGAAAGGATATTTCCTTCTTTCCGTATCTATGCCGAATTTTGAGACAACGGATAAATCCGTTGCTCCTTCGCAACGCCTTGGAAATTAGGATGGAAATATCCTCTGTTCCGCCACAACGCCAAGTTTATGACGACGGATATTTCCATTGTTCCGCAGCAACGTTCGAAATCCGGGGACGGATATATCCATCGTTACGAAGGAAAGGGTTAAATTATAAGAATTGTTTCAAATGTCATACCTTCAATTTTGCATTGGAAGCTGAGAACCGATTAAATAGCTGGGCACTGCGAGCCAAATTAGTCATTCCAGTACTCGAAATTGATTTACCACAAAAGTTGCACGAAACTGATACTTCTGGTTGAGGAACTAAGGCTGGATTATTAGTGTTTTTAACAATATCAAATTCTGCCTGTAAAAATAAAGTTAATTCAACTAAAAATAAATGTTAAAGAAACTATACATTTAATGAAACTGTAAATGAAACTGTAAATGAAAGAAACTGTACATTTAGTACAGTCTATGATTATGGTAGTTTAAACAATGAATAACTTGATTACTCACTCGTTGTTCCCACAATTTCCAAGAATCTAAGAGCTCCCTAAGCAAAGTAATTAAGTATTAGCATTTAAGCGACGAATTAATAACAGTAAATGCATGTAAATACCTGTAGCGTTCAGTCCACAGTTTGAGTAAAGAACTGTTTGAAATTTCTAAAGCCATCGTTCTTACCACAAGTAGTGCAACTAAAATATATAAAATTTCGATCCAATAAAGGAATTTTAAAATCAAACAATTATATATATTTATATATACCTGTTTGTATATCAGCGGTATAGTCGACATATTTTTGCAGAAGCGGAATTGCTTGTGTCGTCATTCCTATTGTTGTATGAATGAATAACTTTGTTGTAAGTTTGTAATTAAATTGCTTATAATAAAAATTACCTGTTAGAAGAACAGCATCAAGGATCCTAAAATAGCACAGTACTTAGGATTAGCGAATGTATGGTGAAATGTAGTAAATTATTAGTACTAGATTATAAAATATCTTACTCTTCCGGCAGATTGCCAGTTTTTATAAGATCATGGGTCAGCTCGTTCACAAAACTTATCAATTTGCCATCAGGTAAAAAAGAACAAGCAAAGCCCATTCTATCGGCCAAAGAAATCTCTTTCTCCTTCTACACAAAGAAAAAATCCTCCGAATATTTAACGTCTTGTTAAGCAAATTGTCAAAAATCTGTCGAATTTGCTTACCAAAATTGTTTCGTAGTTGCTATCAGACTCTGTTAAGAAAGCAAATATGGCACGAATGTAGGGATCGTCTAGTTGATTGCAATTTGATTGAGCTAATTCTCGCCACAAAGAAGATTCGTCGTCGTTAAAACCAGCGATTGCCATTGCTACAATGGAATGATTCGACTCGTTCAATATTTTTATAGCCTGTCTCATTTTCAGATGAAACAACGCAATAGCTGCTCTCCTAGTTGGTGACCCTTGTAAATCCTGAAGAACTCCTTGATTCCAACCACAAAGTTGTTGTATAAAACTTCTTTCCTCGCTCCTATAAGATCGTCTTTTTGGAATATTAGTTTAATAATAATAGTATCGTATAAATTTGTTCAATTATACTCAGCACCACACCTCACCTATAAGTCTTATTGTTGTGAAGGTCGAAAGAGGTATTATTCACTACTTCGGACTTTAAAGAGCCGGCTGGAGCACCCACAGCAGAATCAATTCTTAAAACTACTCGAACTCCAGGATATTTCAATGTCCCAACTGACGGAACCAAATATTTTTCCTTTTCTGTGAGAGCTTTACAATAATCCAGCCAAAGCCAAATATTTCTTGTTGTTTCAGAGTCTTGTACCACCATTCCGTTCTCTCGTAATGTTGTCTTTAAAAACCAAAATCATTAAAAAAATCATTCATCTTTTACTCTAATTTAACGTACGTACCTTTAGACCATACCCATCTATTGCTCGTTGTCTCATTTTTACAGAAATATCATCCAAGAATGTATACAGTTTATCAGTATTGTCAATGTACAAAATGGTTTTCTTTCCGTTCGACCATCCAAACTTTGAAGTAGATGACCAATTCAAAGTCATCCTTTCAAACACAACAGAATTCCAAAGTACACCTAATAATTTTTTTTAGAATATGGATTCACCATCGAGTACGTAATTTCATGGCATTCAACATTAGAAAAACCTCACCTTTGGGTGTGCATGTCGTAATTAAATTTTCGTCTGAACAGTGCCATGCGAAAGAACATAGAGGTGGGGATGCACAATTTGGATTGCAAACATCTTCAGAATATGCTGGGTATAATCGGCGTTCCAAAACGGCTGGATCGCCCTCCTCAGAAAGCGCAGCATGATGGACATCATGGAGTGTTAGAAATGTTGAATCTTTTTCCAAACAAGCCAGCAAACCAGACCTAAAATTTTAATTAATTATGCGACACTTTACTCTGAACATACATGTATAGACTTATATATGTAGTAACAAATATTAATAGCAATAATTTCATCAACCTACCTCGTTGGACACCATGCAACTTTTGATATTGGTTTGGAATGATTAAGTACAACGAAAGGTTTCTCAAAATTTCTCATATCCCACACGAATGCTTGATTTTCAGCGTAGCTGACAACACGATTATGACAAAGGGTGTCGACACTGATTCCATTCACAGCTTTGGTGGATGTGGTATTACCAAGTTTAGGCTGGGAGTCTGCAAGAAAATTTCAAATCATCATTTAAGTAACATATTCTGTGTTAGCTTATTGAAACACAACTTTTTGGTGAGGCGTCAAATTGACCCAGTCATATTGACCCAACGACAGATTGACCCGGCACCATATTGACCCAGCGACGGATTGACCCAACACCATATTGACCCCAGTCATATTGACCTACGTCATAATGACCCCATGACCTGGACATACTGCATTTTGCATACAAAAGAACTTAATTTTATTTCATATTTCATTTCTGGTTAAATATTCCAATCAAAAATTGAACTGTTCTAATAATTATTGGTCGTCTTTTTCTTATGTGAGGCTTATTTGAAGTATTGATGAAAACCAGAACCCTCCGATAAAATTTCAAAAACAAAATATATTCTGTAATTTCTTTAATACGTTATTATAAACGACAAGAAACTGGGTGCCATCTTCAAAAATCGAGCAAAGAGACAAAAAGGCATCCAAAAAGATAAAAGGGCATTGAAAAAGGCATGAAGCAATAGCAAAAAGGCTGCCTTACTGCTTGACGACACTGTGCTACACAGTGCATCTTCAAAATCTGAACAAAATAAAATTTTTATCAACCGTTTGATGATATTTTCTTAATATTTGCCCCCATTGAATGGGTGTGGTGGGCGCAAATGAGGCAATACCATCAAAACACTTAAGGGCTCTATATTGCATGTGCACTAACTCTTCTTAAATTAAGAATCTTAATACAAATACCCATTATAATAGGTATTATTACCATACTAGAATACCAGTACGGTTGGTTAAATGATTTCGTTACTAATATAGATTAAGGAATTTTACAAAAAGAGGACCAATAATTATTAGAACAATTCAATTTTTGATTGGAATATTTGACGAGAATTGAAATACGAAATAAAATTGTTTTTTTGTATGAAAAATGCTGTATATCCAGGTATAGCATGGGGTCATTACGACTTGGGTCAATATGACTTGGGCCAATATGGTGCTGGGTCAATCTGTCGCTGGGTCAATATGGTATTGGGTCAATATGGTATTGGGTCAATATGGGCGGGTCAATATGGGCGGGTCAATTTGACTGGGTCAATTTGACATGCAATCCAACTTTTTCTACTATACATAATACCTCGCAGATCAAACAGTTTGATATGTTTGCCGTTCATTCCTATTAAAATAGATTTTGGTAAGACCCACGACAGGGAAGAGGCAGTCTCATTAATTCCTAATTCAACTAAGGGGTGGACATCTTCCATCGGATTTGCATTGGAGGAACCATTCGGTTGCTGTTTCGACCCAATTGTCGTCACGTCCCAAACGGCGACCGCATGATCTGACCTAGCTTTCTCAAACCCGGCAGCGAGTAAATTGGGCTGGAGTTTGTTCCACTGCACAGAAAGCACTTGGCGAGGATGTTTGGGGGCTGTTTTCAAAATCATCAATTAATTACATAATACCCTCTCATTATTCAACGAATAAAATCCCTCACCAATTTCTTTGTTGTTTGCAGGGTTGAGAAAGGAAGTCAGGGCAATTTTCCCGTTCACAAGTCCACATGCGATAAGTCCTTCGACATCTCCTGGATATATTTCAACCACTTTCGAATATGGAAAATCCGTAATTTTTGCAAGATATGCTGCAGCTTTAGTGTCAGATAAACGAATCGCTGGAAACATTGAATAATGCACATTAATAATTACATAATAGTCACTCTCCTTATCTTATAGACCATATGTTATAGTATGTCATATAGTCATATTCATTCACTGTTTCAATTTTCAAAGCCACAAATGCTAATGACTTACAACCCTGTCTCAGCGCCTCGTCACCCCCACATTCTTCGATTTGATAGAGAGTGATATCCTGCGACCAAATTACTAAATGATCGCTTCTTTTCGGAGACCATTGCAAATCCATATTTATTGTTTTTTTTACACAATCAGGCAACCGTGTTCATTCTGCTAATAATAACAGATTAAGAGTACATCTTCGTTATCACTTTGGATAACAAAGGATGCTTGGCACTCGTGGATGCTAATAATATATTGTATTATTTATGAAATTTAAAAAATGCTCAAAATCAACAAAAGTTTAGAGAAGCACATTTCCAATGTTTTTATCAGAGATTCCATTGCCGGTTTTCCATTATACAAGGAGTCTCATAATATGAGACCATGGTCCATATGAGACTCGTAACATTATTATGTAAGGTTTACCCTGTGGGTTTACCTTTAAAATGTCATTACACTCATTACCATAATAGCATATTTACTACAATAAGAAATTCAATTTGCACGAAAATTGACTGTATGTGTATTAATAGAATGCATCCAAATTAATCAAATTATTAATAAATCACATGTATTTAGCTTCAACTGATAACCGATGCCTATCTAATTAATAAAATTATGGTCATCTCGTGTACAGTGTATATATATTAATATAGTATAATAATAATTATCTGTACAGTAATAATCAAATCTAATTTAAATTTGCTTAATAACTTCCTTAATTACTGACAAAATTCTCCTCATTCATTCATCTCAAATCAATGGCATTTCATATAAATACACTTGACCAAGGGTTCATTCTAATGATTCCATTCTTATTCTAAAGATACCCAGTTTTCGGCTTGCATAATTGAAACCTTTTTCGTACCATTCTTTCTGTTTGAGGTCATGAAGGCTGTATTTTCTCGAGGCATTTTGGAGGTGGTTGTGGCCCTGACTCTGGTGTTGGGGTCGTCGGATGGGTTCAAGAGAAAGTACGAGGACAGGTTTCTAGACTATGGAATTTACACGATCATGAACAGGGGGCTGGACAAGCAGTTGCTGACCTTCGTCCTCCCTACCAACGCCACCGATGCTAACGGAGGAGGAGTCCCTTCCGCTGTCCCCCCAGAAATGAGGTTTGTCTGCATTCTGCGTAAAATTATTATTATTTTCTAAAGAGGGGCCTGTTAAGAAAGTGTCATTAAATTTTTACTATTGAATTTTTCTTAATTGAGTTTGACTTTGAGTCATCCTCGCTGTCGATACAATGATGATAAGTTATTATATTTGGCTATTTTCGGCAGATTTGCCGGAAGTGCTGATGGGGGGCAGAAGTGGAGGTTGGATGAAGCTGGTGGGCATTTTTATGCTTATTTATATAATTACTTAGTATAATTTTAGTTCAGTCAGAGCCAGGGCCAATGTATAATCTAATAATAATAACTAATAATAATTATATTGTTCAGCACTCTACACTGCATTTGAGCTCCGACCAACGCTCAACGAAAACTATGTACTGGAGTACATTCCAGAAACTAGGATTCTGCGCTGGTTATCTGGATGGGGGAACACCAAGTTGTGGTAACTTAATCTATTCAAGGACAATGATATGCAATATTGATGTGTATTATATTACAATGTAATATCTTCTTTTACTCAACAGGTATCTGCTAGATGCAGGGGACAATTTTAGTTGGATTAAACATAAGCGATATGATGTCTGCTTGCATGCAACCGAGTAAGAAATGAATGAAACTATTTTAAAGTAAATTCAATAGTATGAAAATATGAATAGCAACAATTTTCTGTGTGAATTTCAGCAACAAACCAGTCATTGCTAAAGAATGTGACGGTAGCATCTTTCAACAATGGAAATTCCTGACGGGAAAAGAATCAGCCTAACTTTTACTTACCCATTTAATAAATTATTAGATAAATAAAATCATGTTAATTTCGTTTTTTATACGAATAAATTAATATACGATACAACAAAGCTTTTGGTCTCGATTGAATGATTTTGAAAATACTCCAACATATTCCTATTAGTACCTATAATCTTGTTTTCTCCGATTACATGCTGTAATTGAGTTTTGTAGTATGCCGACATTTCTGAGGATGTCTATTGTTTTACCAATTGATCAAAGTGTATGTCTTGTATCAGTTGTATTTTTGGCTTTATATTTGAAGTCTTGAATTCAGGAGTTGTGCATAACAATAAATATAACCGGGATCAAATACCTGCCTTTAATATGTTGTACTGTACTGCATCACATTAAAGGCTAATTGCCGACAAATGTTGCACCATTTTAATATTTACTAATATTTACTAGTAGCTATTCTAATAAGCAGTTGCGAATGGCTGGTCTTGATTTTTCGAAAACTAACCTACATACTTATATGCTTAATAAATACAATATACTGTTCATCGTAACGAAAAAAATCATAACCCGGCACCACGTCGATTTTATAATTGAATCTGCAATTATAAAATTTTGGGTTATGCATTCATAAATAGATGCATGCAATTTGACAACTTTGAACAAGAGCCAAAAGACCCACAAATTTCGAGTCACAATGAATCTAGAGTAGAGTGTATAATTTATATTTACAATACTGGTGGTAAACAAATTACACTAAAATCATGAGATAAGTTCTACTAGGTCTTAAGCCAGACACAAATCAGAGATGAAATAAGACTTTGCTGATTAGATCAATTTTCTTAACAACTTCCTTCTGCCATAACTCCAGTTGTACTGTCAAAATTCATTCATACTTAATTGCACCCATAAACGTAACTGCTTGCACGTAAACCCACCATAATAAGTAATTCCGATTAGTAATTGCATACCTACAGATAATAAAAATGAGTCAGAGGATTCTTCCGATGTGCGTATAAAAACGGAGCAGCCAGAGTTGATGACCATTAGTCTTTGGGTCATCTTTGGGAACTAAACTTGAGAGTCAATTTCTCCAGAAATATGAAAACAATTATTATCATATTAGCTTTGGCAGTGGTAGCCGTAACCGCATTTAAGCGGAAGTACGAGGACAGATTTATGGATTACGGGGTCTATTTTATTCAAAATCGGGAATACGCAGGGGTACTAACTAATAAATTTTCTAATATTTAAATCAAGTTTCATTGAAGTACTAGAATCAAAATTGACACGTCTTAGGTTCTCACGTTTGTCAATGAGACTGACGCTAACGGTTTTCCGATTTGGAAGGCTCCGATTATATATGAATTTAACTCAAATAGCTCTGCCCAGCGTTGGCGTTTAGACGAGGCGGGTGAGCCCATTAATACAGTTATGTCGTTTTCAAATTAATTAAACGCAATACAAGCTATTAATTATGCTTACAGCATTGTACACTGCATTTGAAATCCGTCCAACCAAGAACGAGAATTACGTTTTGGAGTATGTCCCAGAGACGGGAATTATAAGCTGGGTAAGTGACCCTCACATAAACATTAATTAAATTGGGGACCAATCGTCTTATTTTTCTATAGCTGACCCATTGGGGCAACACCAAATTGTGGTACTTACTCGGTAACAGATTTATACTTATGTAAAAATTACACGGCATGCTTTTCATTTTTAAATTGAGTGAATTTTCTTTCTCGTGTCCTGCTCTAAGATGCTGGGGATGAACATACGATGATCAAGCACAAACGATATGACATATGCTTAGAAGCCACTGGGTAATTTCATCCATGAATAATACATTAAAATGAACTAATTTGGGAACAAGAAAGTGTTGATGACTGATAAAAGTAATACATATGAAAAATGGCTTGAATAACGCAGGAACCACGCCCCCGTTGTTGGTGTAAATTGTGTTGGAAAACCCTCTCAACAATGGATGTTCAAAAATGTAGACGCACCAGCCGCATAACATAATCAACCATCCTGAATATTATGAATCAAATACATTGTTCTAGTTTATTAAAAGTTGTCTAATTTGCAAATGTTTTGAAATAAAAGAATGCTGTTTTTACAATGGTTGTAAATTGTTTAAATATAACTTAACAAGTCAACTAGTGAGATATATAATAAATTAGATTCTAACAAATAACAGTATAAATGTCAAGTGGTACCAAGAGTATAATCGAAAGCAAAAGTTGAAGTTGTACTAAAGTGATGTACCACTTTAACTCTGTAGAGTTAATCCATTTGAAAAACTACATACATTCGTCATCAGGAAAGAATGCATCTGGTTCCATTTTCAAAGCATCCCGGAAAGACTTTTTCTTCATCAACTCGGCCAAACGTCTAAAAAATCAGAATAAAATGTCCACACAAATAAGTATCGTATTCTACTTCACTCATTTTAGTTTATAAAATGATGGACCTTTTCCTTACCGGAGAGAGTACCCGTTTATATTCATCCGGACATTCTTATCTGCTTGGTGTCGATGAGCCAATACAGCCAATTGTCCGATATTATCTTCATTCAAAAAATTCATCAAAGCATTGAAGCAATACGATTTCAAATCGGCGAGTTCATATTTGTCAGCGGCTCGGATCACACCGGTGAGTAATTCAGGATTGTTTAACGGTTTCACATTTCCAGAGTACACATACTCCAATAAAATTTCCAGAATTTTCGCTTCAACATCAGGAATAGCAACAGTAGCAACCATTTGTTCGTATTCGGGTGGATTGTCTCCACCAGCAGTCGCAGAGCGTTTAGTCCGTGAACTGGATGGGCTTGGAAAAGTAGCTTCAAACATCTTTGCAAATACCTCACTGCGAGCTGCAATAACATTAATTTTGTACTAATATATTCTACTGTAAGTCAGACTGGTAGCAAAAACTAATATGCAATTAGTACTCACCTGACAAAATTAGCTTATGAACAGGAAAAACTTTTCCTTCACATTCCAAATGCACGTCGGCTGTACCAGTTGCCGTGCGTAAACGATTCAAGTCATGGGTTACAATTTTAGCAAAATCGTCCTTATCTTGCTTGACGGACTCAAGATCTCGTTGGGTTGCGTCAGCATACATTTCAAACAACACTCTGATTCGGAGTGTGTTGTCAACTAGGAAACTGCCTCTTTGTGCGTACAGGTTTTCCAAATCAATAAAGTCATTCCACCCGAATCGAAAGTGTTCCCCGAAATCGCAGAAACGTCCTAAGTGTCGAATTGAACGAGTACCATATAGCAAGTTAACTAATTCCGATTAAGGTTATTCCTACTTACGATTGTCTTGCAAAAGCTGCATTCCATTCTTATCCACGATTTTGACGGAAAAAGCGGTGTGAAGATTTTGCATGCCCTTCTTGATGATCTTGCTGAGTAAAATGTGCCAGCTGAGACTACCATTAGTCTCAGATAATACGAAATTCCTAAACAACAATTCAGAAAGGACATAAGTACAAACAAGTAGATATAATAGCACAATCTTCATAATAATTGAGAACTACAATACCATTCCGATTTTCGCCCAATCTCCTTTCCAGCAATGAGTTTTTCCGACATGAGAGTCTTGGTTTTCCCAAAATTAGCTGCATTTCTCATCAGTGGAAACGCCTTGTCAAATTTTGTAATGTCCCATTCCCATTCGTACATAATCCGTCCGAGAGGCTTCAGCTACAAAATGATGCAATTAATACACAATTATTAATAGAAAATAAATATAGAAACTCCGAAAGTTAGTTAGAAAGTTAACCTTATAAAAACTAATTAATTTTGACCTGGATACCATTTAAAAACGGAATTAAAAATGGTTTCTATTGCATTTGGGGGCGGATTTACTGGGGGGCAGAATACCATTGAGACCGACTTGTGGGGCGGTGATAAAATCAGTTGGGGACTGAATTAATGCAAACCGATTTTGAATATTCTACTGATGCAGTTATGATTTATTAGAGACCTGGAACTGATTCGACAACAAAAATTATAACATAATACATTTTTAACATGAAATTGCAACTGAACAAATGAACACACGATATTAATTTTGATAAAAAAATCGGATTTGATTTTGATAGTACTACAAAAATAAACTAAACGAATAAATCGTCATCATTCATGTCATCAATTTGATGACACTGATTTTGGGATGCATTTTATATTTTAAACAAGTTATTAGCTATAATTTTGTCCTTCAGTGTTCTGTGACTTGTTCCGATCGGTGGTGACACTATTGCGAATATATTAGCTAAAGAGAACGTTGTGATAATTAAAAAAAAATATGAACTGTATCATATTTACAACATGATACAGGTCAGAGGTCAACGCCGACCAATTTATTAGCGGCGCCAATGTTGGATAATTTTTCGGGGGCGCGGCGTGACCTCTGATGCACTTCCTCCGAGTTCCTCCCCCCACTACAACTACAACTCTAAACTCTAAAAAAATTAGTTCAGGCTTGAAGAAAAACTAACGACAAATAAGGAGGAAAGAATGGAACTGAGAAAATTTTCTCGGTCATTTTATTTTTATTTTTTCCTACACCTTATTGATGTAGCCCGGTCTCAACGGAATTCTGTAACCATACACCTTATTGGTGGAATCCGTCGCCAACGAGAAAAAGTTGGCCTACACCTTATTGGTGTAGTCCGTCGCTAAGGCGAAAAATTTGGCCTACACCTTATTGGTGTAGTCCGTCGCCAAGAGATCGAAATCGCCCTCCACCTTATTGGTGGAATCCGTTTTTAAAAAGTTTAAGAAAATATCCTTCAAACCAAACCGTACATACAACAAAATAATATCTATCAAACACTAGATAATTCCCAAGTCACTAAACAATCAGCAAATCGTGTGTATTCTTCTAACCTGGGTGACCTTGGTCTTGTGGCTCATGACCGTTTCTTTCTTGGGCTTGAGGTTATCCATGAGGGACGATGTGGCAGTTCCCGAAGGAGTTGCAGGTCGTGTGACCACGTCCAAAATGCTGATCTCGTCACCGGCCATACGTTCCTCTAGCCCCTCATTCCTAGAGTTGCAACGGGCGACGTCGAGATGAGATGACGGTTGCTGCGATGGTTGCATTTTCCACAAGAGATACAACTCCGACAAGTAAAGAACGTGGGACGAATAAATTTTGATGCAGATTAATAGGAAAACAGACTTTCGGTCAAAAATAAAACTTTATATTTATCGCTCAAGGTAACACTCGCAAACGCTGTTTAACTCGGAAAAAACTTGCACATGCCGGCTTGATTGTATACTCAATTTGAGTAACTCAAATTTAATTACTTCTGAAAAAAAACTAGGAAATAAAAGAGTAGGAAATAGGAAACCTTGAAAAAAATCTGATCTACTAGTGGTTGAACGTTTATTTGTTGAATGGTGCTCGAGTAGGAGAGCGTGGTTCTCTTGCTCCATTCGTCTCACAATGACCCCTGGCTTCAAAGCGAGTCTCATATTCTCATATTTCCAATATTATATGAGCAAATATTTGTATAGAGGTTTGAGTTCACTCAAAGTAAGATTTTGAAAAGAATTTAATCTTGAATACGTGAGAGGTGTGAAAAGTTTGATAAACTCTGGATTTTATTTCCAACTTCATGATTTTCTATAGATGGAATAATGCACATGCATAATGATGATTTATTCTTTCGAATCTTGAATCAAATTTTGGGTGGAATAGTGTTGTATTTAAACTTGTAAAAGCAGTATGAGGGATGATTGCAACAATGCAACCCATCAAATTATTTATATAATGTGTGAAGAAATGGTCTGATTTATCGTATTCTAGATGAGCTTTGCAATGAACTTTATTTTCAGTTCATATAGTCAAATAAGCAAGGCATATTGTTACACTAAATAAGGTTATAAAATATTGTGTACAGCATTGAAATGTTAATTAATTTGTGCATTGCTCACACAACTCATTGATATTACGTGTGAAGGAGTTCTTGTAATTGTTACTCTTATTAGTTATGCAAAGCAATTAATGTTAGCAAAACGAAGACTGGTAGCTTTCTCCAATTGCTAATTACCAAGTCTTAAGTACATATGAAGAGTTACATATCTAATTGCACTACACAATGGTCAATTTACGTAAAATGTGACAACGACTATCTAAACAACAGCAATTACTGAACCATACGCCGACCACCTTTTTTAAATTACTTCATTTCCACAATGCAACACACAAATAATAATTCATGAGCAGCATGACAGCAGCTCCAACCGTCGAGCGGCGTACTGCAGACGGGCCAAGTCGAAGACAAACAAGTCGAAGCGTTCTGGACACTTTAATTAAGCTTTTTCTCATTGGGTTCTCAAATTGAAGAAAATGTTGGAACTCTCTCATGAAATTTTCAGAGGCAGGTGTCACTCTTGACATGAGTGAAAACATGCGGAAAATCATGTAGAGACAAGCCTATTAAAATGGGATGGTGCAAATTATTAAATTAAACAGGAATATATTAATTTCTGCACACTTCCATAAATAAATAGTGCACTCACAGCAGCATCTTCCCCATACCACATTACCGTCGCAATGTCCAGATCTGTCAACCTTAGGATACGAATCATCATGAAAACGCTAAAAGAAAACATTTCCCATTCAATAAATATGGTTTCAGCAGAAAAAAAGTACAAAAGAAAGAAAGTACAAACTCCGTAATAAACTGAATATATCCGATGCAATGAACTCCCACAATTCTGTACGAGCACCACCCATTCAATAAGTCCGACGCCAACATCAACCTTTCATAGTCCGACAGCAAAGTCTCGATATTGTAGGAAGATCTATACTCCACAACTTGTCGAGTTTTACGAGGAATTTTTTGTTGCTTCATTGTCAACAAACTGCCCAAATCCATGTCCCAAACACGATTTGCTCTTGGAATAATCTTGGTCTCCTTCATATCTTCCATTCTCAGAGGAAAGTTTGCTTTCATAGCTTTCATAGCTCTGCTCATGCCGTCCAAAATGTAGGTCAGTTCGACGGCATTTAAAGAACTGATGGTCACAATGCTCAGGTATCCAGTCCAGGCTTGCCACATGAAACAAACTTCATGAATGGTGAAAATGACGAGCAACCAATTATTATCCCGTTTGAAGGCTGAGTACGTGTAGACAGCATACTTGGGGTCCGAAAGAAACTGCCCACCAATCATAATACAGCCAATGACCAATATCAATCTGAAATGTGTTATGCATAGAATATTTAGATTATGCTTTATAAAAACTATGTATATGAAGCTGAAATAATTTTTGGTATATGTAAAAAAAATGAGTTAAAAAATGATTAGCACGTGTGCAGAATGAGGGTGTATGTGTGGCTGAATTTGCTGTTTTTTGTTAAGTCCATGGGTTTCCCCAATTTCTGATATATCTGGTTCTCCAGTTTCCACAAATTCGCCAGCACCTACAGAATAGATTGACGTCGTTATGTAAATACGATGCAGTAATGTATACAATAAATGTGGTTAATCGTATTAAAAAATACTTCAAAAAGTGGGTATGTCTGCACGTAGAATAATAGTTCTTGTAAGATTTCTACACACATCAACAGCCACAAGAGTGAAGACATCATGTCCAAGAATTCTATGGGACCGTAATATCCAAAGACGAGGAGGAGGAGGTAAATGCACTTAAAAATCGTGTTTGATGCCAAAAGGATGTACAAAATTGTTCGAATCCATCCTGCAGGGACCAAAACGTACTCTCCGTTCGCATTCTTTTCCACCGTCGTCAAACTCACTTGAACATAGCTCAGTAGGTTTATAAACCTTCTCTGAAAATCCGTAAATTCTGAACAAGAATCCATATTGGTCGCTTCTCAGCACATGAATGACCGAATAATGCCTTCGTCTTAACCGTTGAACTTTAAAGTTAAAATTACTGAATCTGTCCCCTCTTCAATCATCGACAACAAAAAACTCTCTTTTTGTGGACTTGTCAAATCTTAACGCCCAACATAATTTTGTCGTCAACATGTAAAAGGAGGCAACAACGCTGTTCGAACATGTAATCTGAAAAATTGCAAAGTATGCATGTAGCTTTAGATGACCAATAATCGTACATACTCTGATGAGCTTGTTTTGATGAGGTGAACTTATAAATTATGGGCGTGTGTCATCAGTACCACTCTTCATTGCATTTCATAAGACAGAAAATTATGCCAGTGATTAAATGAAAACTCGTAAAATTTGATTGACTTTTAGTGTACTTCTTGGAAAGTGCATATCCTCTGTGATGTTTAGGCACTAAACTAACATACATCTTCCACATGCAGTACTTAATTTTTTGAGTAACGAGCCCAACGACCATATGTCACTGTCAACGTTCATACATCGATATTCCTCCCATCATTTTACGGTGGAACTAATGAAAAATTCAACCTTGTTCATGGCATCTTTCTTTGTGTAACACCGCTTAATAATTGTATGTAATGAAATCATTGATCGATACACAGCATATCAATGAAAGTAATTGTATCATCATTTTGGTCAAAGAAGAACGTATGCATATTTAAACAACAAATATAATTTGCTTTGCTTGAAGTTTGGTTATTTTCATACCATATATAACACAACAGTTAATCCATGTACCCATTCCCATCATTTAATTATGTATTCATCAAGAATTACTAGTAAATATTATTGTCGCAAAATAACATTTTATGCTCAGAATGCATGTGTAATCATAGGTCAGTGCTGACATGGATTTAAATTATTTTATTTGCGTATATTCAACTTAATCTTAAGATTAAATTACAAGAGTTAATAAGTATATAATATGTAGAACAGAACAATGGCAATCCCCGATGATTGAACGATATCCAATTATACACTCCATTAATTCTTTGATTGTAACGCTAGCATGTCCCTCAGATGTTGTTCATTGTGCTTTTTTATTACTCCAAAAGTAAATTTCCATGTTTTGATGTTATATGAACTGAAGAAAACCAGAACGATGTAGAACTCTCTGCACGTGACTTTTATGTAAATAAATTCAAGTCTCATTATGAAAAATAGTTAGGTACGATCGATATCAGATATTTTGTGGTATTTTGTTTCTTGTCTCTTCTTCCTTTGTGTAGCTGCGAGATTGAAGTTGGTTCTAAATGTATGATCTGAACATCTTATTGAATCGTATTTTGCGTCCCAAGAACAGACAACAGGCTGTTGTGTAAACTAGATGTTATTTGTGATGGTATTTTTATTTAAACGGTGTTATATAAGTATAAGAAAATGATGTTGAACGAATACATGGCCGAATTTAGTGATTTGACAGTAATTTTGGATGTCGGTTTTCGTCTAACATTTTACGCATCGATTAATCGATTAATACCGACTGCGTCTGCTGCTGGTGACTGGTCCAGCAGCCTGAATGGGTCTTGGAGAGTAGCCATAAGTCTCTGTTATCATAATTTAGAATCATTAATCATTAATAAAATCTGTTCTTCTCTTTGTGTATCCATTTAACCAAGATTGCCGTTGGCATACCTCGAGAAACTGGTTGGTAACGATAGCCGGGAGCTCGGACTCTCGCATTGGCGTCCTCCGTCGAAGGTGTTGGCAGCATGTCGTCGAACATTCGTGGGAAAACGTCCGGCATTTCGGAAAAGGGTCGGCGACGGTGTGGTGACCCTTCGTCAGCTCGCATGTCCTCTGTGCCTACACAGATGTAGACCATACATGTTTTAGAAAAATCCGAGAAATCAGTGAGTGTGAGTATGCATGCATTTATGTGCATAAAATGCTATTTCGAATAAAATATTGGTGACGAAAAACTTTTATTTGAAAAATCTGTGACATTTCATTGACACATTTGGCACTGAAAATGAGGGCAGCAGTACAATTGTATTTAAATTGTGCATACAGCTCGGGAGGGAGGAAGTGCATTTTATCAATGAATTAGATCCAACCAGAACCAGACTAATCAATTTGTGTCATGGATTTCACGGCAAAATAGGAAATGCAAATCTTGCCAAAACGGACAAGGTCGGTTTACCCTCAAGTTTCTAGATAAGCATGTCATGACTTCCTCCTCGACTTTAAACTAAGGCAAGGTTTTGCTCAAGTCTAGGAAAAATTAAACAGTTGCAAATCTATTACAGTGCACTTGTACTATTAGAACTTTACTCCTCAGTTACGAAGGTAGTAGAATTTTTTGCAAAAATAAGAAACACAATGAAGCTAACCATTATTGCAAATGTTCTAGAAAATTTAACTAATATTTTGACTAATACAGCCAAAAATATGAAAGGTTTTTTTGCATAATAAGGCAAGGACAAAACATTGAAAATAATACGTTGTTTCTAATTCTACACTCATTAAGAGGCACAAGAATAAGAGACTTCTCATTTATTTGGGCAGCATCGCCACGATTTTACTTCACTAATAGTACTAATTTTGGCAAAGTGCTCATTCAGCAAGAATCATGTAGCTGCCAAAAGACAATGCAGAATAACTTTGCCAGGAAGATAGTTAATGAATTTGGTAGCATCGTACACAGATCTACGTAACTAAAATTCATTTACGGGCCCAAACTGTATTTAGAAAATGATCAGCCTAAAGCCAACCCCTTTCGTCAATGTCGCACGACCATAGCAATGATCACTTTTTGCACACTGAAATTGCCAATAGTAAGTTGCGCAATGCGCCTGCATACACAGAACAAGACCATTTCCTTAAACATTTCTATCCGTCAAAATGCAGAACTTGGGACGAGAAGTTGCTGGAGATTGGAATGCAAAGCTTATTGCATGCCAAGTGTTTTTTTGTCTAGGGGGACGCGGAGTTGAAGAGTCGGATAAAATCAGGTGCATATAAATGTACTTATAGTCCACTTAACTACATGATCTAGTTCCTTCAGCCTGATTGATTTTAGGAATACTTGAAATTAGAAGATGAGATAATTTGACAAAACAAGTCAATTTTGGGTAACAGCCAGGCAAAATTTTTATGATAGCCGTCAATACGGTTTAAGAGATGTACATAAAGCTTACGAGAAATTGTAAAAAAAATAGTACAAACCTTTGAGAGCTCGCACATATGACGTCCAGAATTTCGCCTTGCGTTGTACTGGCTCATGCATACTGATCATGTCTAAACAAATCGAGAAGTAATCTGTATTATGAGACTGTGAGACGATAAATTTTATTTTCCATTCTATTTATTTTGTTTCGTCTGGTTATTGTAACAGTCTAGCGAATTTCTTACCAAAATGTTGACGGAAACTGGTACTGCTCATTTTGAACTGCTTTCGACGTTCGGAAAATATTCGGTTTAAAAACTGAAATATTAAAAATCCAAACGTTAATTTTGTGAACTCGCCTAGGACAATGAAGACAAATGACTAAATAAATATTTAGACGTCTTTAACGATATAATTATTTTTTAACCATGAACTAACCTGAAGTCTACGGAGCTATACAAAGCACCGAAAAACTCTCGATATTGCAAACTAAGATAGTCGTTCGCCTGTCTCAAAGCAGCTACTTGGACACACTAACCGATTTTCAAACGGGGTCTGCAAGTAGAGAGATTTGGTTTAGGATTTGTGCTTATCTCGGAGACTTCCTTTTCTCACTGCCAATACCACCACTGAAAAACTATCAGTACTGCTGGGTTAATTCACAGATATTGGATGACGCCGATGGTTCCTTATTGCGTACATACAACATAAGTGTGCATGTACATTCTACCTGAGCCGTCCATGTAATATTACGATGTACATAGTGCATGTATGTATGAATGCAGCGCCATGTTCCCGTACCCAGGATGTCAGCGTCACCCGGGCTTTGTTTTCCAGTAAGCCAGCGCGTCGCTATTTTTAGCAGGATTCTAAAAAACGACACGAGGTCACATCCCATCCACACGTTGGATTTAAGTGCTTGACAGGTTTTAGTAACCACACAGACGATTCATAATAATAATCACTGTGGTGCAGTTGCTTACATGCAGTTCTTTATTTGGTAATATACGCAACACGCCGCAGATTCTTGTTTGTGGGGAAAGTTTAACCTACACCTGTTTCATGGTACACATCGTTTTCGTCAGAGAGTTGTTGTTGCTTAAATAAATAGATTTCATGATGTCATTTTTGCAGAATAAAAACATCGTATGACCAATGGTATCAGTGACTTCTTAATACGAATTCAAACAATCTCAAGTAAAATCAGAGCAAAGTCACGCTTAGTAAATACTTACATACATTAAAACTACATTTGTTACAATTTTTAGCAACTATTACTATTTAGTAATAGTAACAAGTACAGTAAAAGTTCTATATTTTTGGGCCTCAATGGTTGATTACATGACCCTAAATTAGATACACGATAATGCGACTGAAAATAAGATCCTTCCTTCTAAATATTCTTTTTAACCTTGCACTATCTTCATTAAAAAATCACTTGATCAGACAAAGTGCTGAAAAGAAATTTCTTTTCATCCGGCCAAGCCAAACAGCGAAAACTATAATAATTTCAGCAACAAAAGATGAGCTTAGAAGGACATGAGCTAAAACTTGGCCCCATTCCATATTGCTAATTGTTAATGCGGTATCATTCACAATACGTGCATGCATATCGTCATCGGTGTCGTCTGTTTAATACCAGGTTTAAGGAAAATTGATCTTCGAACCAAACTTTGTTTCATTGCCAAATTCTTAGTACATGACGAGGGATATAGGCTAATTAAAAATAAGTATTTTCAACCGATTTTGCTCGTTAGGTTCATTGTCCTGAATTGATTTTGACCTTGACTTGGGACTTTATGAAATATAAAATTTTATATTCTTATGTAGCCTGCAAAATATTACAAAATGTTACAAAATGCTCTGTTCTGTAGGTGTGGGTAAGTAAGGTAAGTATCTTTTCCGGGTCATTAACATTTTGGCATCACATTACGTACGAGACTAAATACATCTCGTGTCAAGGTCAATTTTTGTATGGAAATGCAATTATATATAGAAAATGTAAACTCATAATAAACTGATAACTTTCTTAACCTATGCATGAACGGGGTTGGGTTAAACTGGTGACAAGGAAAATTGAACCAATTGTTTTTAATAGTCATATCCACTCAACCAATTGAATTACAAATGTCCTACGCATTCCTTAGTTACGTTTAACCCAAACTCGTCTCAAAATATGGGAATTAAAATAACGATTTCAGAAGTGATTCTTTATTTCACAAATAATCGATGATATGAAATATCATCAATTACACAAGCACCATTATACAATTGCATGCTCAAGTGTCAACATGAATCGCCAACTGTAAAACTTGGACCGATCGTCACAATTCAGAACAAAGGTTGATTCCAACTTGAAACCACCAACGCGAAGAGGTCAACTATGTTATGCGGTCTGCAAAATTTGCAATGTTCGTGTTAGTACTAACCACGACCTCCATTAGCCTTACTGAGGAATTGAATAAAGAAGAACTCAAGCTTGTGCTAGAGAAGCATAGAAAGAGGTTCCGACCATTTATCACCGGAGGAGGAATGAGCAACCGTTTTCGAGTCAGTAACATGTATGCACCGCTCGTCAATTTCACCACACCAAGTCCAAGCGTCTCCATGCTGTACACGGACATAGTCACAAACAATATTATTCCCCAGGAGCTATTGACTCAAACCCTAAGGTCCGTCCCAAACGGTAATAACTTACAGGAATTGACAGAAGTTGAATCGTTAGAGAAAAAAATAGAAACGTTAAAACGGAACGTACCAATTTTTCGCCCGTCACGTAGAAAAGATCAACAACTGTATTTTGGAGATGCCTATAAACCCTTGAACTACGATACGCCCAGTCAAACCAGCCCTGTCACATTTTTTGAGACAACATTAGCCACAACCCATATTCCCCAGAACCCTTCGTCAATTACAACAAAGACAACCACAACTAAGACCACAACAAAACCGACTACCAAGCCCACAACCAAGCCAACTACGACTAAGCCCACAACAAAACCAACTACGACTAAGCCCAAAACAAAACCAACTACCCAGCCCACAACCAAGCCAACTACGACTAAACCCACAACAAAACCAACTACCAAGCCCACAACAAAACCAACTATCAAGCCCACAACAAAACCAACTACGACTAAACCCACAACAAAACCAACTACCAAGCCAACTACGACTAAGCCCACAACAAAACCAACTACCAAGCCCACAACCAAACCAACTATCAAGCCCACAACAAAACCAACTACGCCTAAGCCCACAACAAAACCAACTACCCAGCCCACAACCAATCCAACTACGCCTAAGCCCACAACAAAACCAACTACCAAGCCAACTACGACTAAGCCCACAACAAAACCAACTACCCAGCCCACAACCAATCCAACTACGACTAAACCCACAACAAAACCAACTACCAAGCCCACAACAAAACCAACTATCAAGCCCACAACAAAACCAACTACGCCTAAGCCCACAACAAAACCAACTACCAAGCCAACTACGACTAAGCCCACAACAAAACCAACTATCCAGCCCACAACCAATCCAACTACGACTAAACCCACAACAAAACCAACTACCAAGCCCACAACAAAACCAACTATCAAGCCCACAACAAAACCAACTACCAAGCCAACTACGACTAAGCCCACAACAAAACCAACTACCCAGCCCACAACCAATCCAACTACGACTAAACCCACAACAAAACCAACTACCAAGCCCACAACAAAACCAACTATCAAGCCCACAACAAAACCAACTACCAAGCCAACTACGACTAAGCCCACAACAAAACCAACTACCAAGCCCACAACCAAGCCAACTACGACTAAGCCCACAACAAAACCAACTACCCAGCCCACAACCAATCCAACTACGACTAAACCCACAACAAAACCAACTACCAAGCCCACAACAAAACCAACTATCAAGCCCACAACAAAACCAACTACCAAGCCAACTACGACTAAGCCCACAACAAAACCAACTACCAAGCCCACAACCAAGCCAACTACGACTAAGCCCACAACAAAACCAACTACCAAGCCCACAACCAAGCCAACTACGACTAAGCCCACTACAAGACCAACCACCACTACTACAACGCCAACTTCGACTCCCACCACTACCAGGCCAACTACCACTCCCACCACTACAAAGCCAACTACAACTCCCACCACAAGGCCAACTACCACTCCCACCACTACAAGGCCAACTACAACTACCACTACGACAAGACCAACTACCACCACTACAAGACCAAGTACCACTCCCACCACAAGGCCAACTACCTCTTCTACAAGGCCAACTACCACTCCCACCACTACAAGGCCAACTACCACTCCCACCACTACAAAGCCAACTACAACTCCCACCACAAGGCCAACTACCACTCCCACCACTACAAGGCCAACAACCACTCCCACCACTACAAAGCCAACTACAACTACCACTACAACCACTACAAGGCCAACTACCACTCCCACCACTACAAGGCCAACTACCACTCCCACCACTACAAAGCCAACTACAACTCCCACCACAAGGCCAACTACCACTCCCACCACTACAAGGCCAACAACCACTCCCACCACTACAAAGCCAACTACAACTACCACTGCAACCACTACAAGGCCAACTACCACTACCACCACTACAAGGCCAACTACCACTACCACCACTACAAGGTCAACTACCACTACTACGAGGCCAACTACCACTACCACCACTACAAGGCCAACTACTACTACTACGAGGCCAACTACAACTACCACTACAACCACTACAAGGCCAACTACCACTACCACTACTTCGAGGCCAACTACCACTACCACCACTACAAGGCCAACTACCACTACTACAAGGCCAACTACGTCTACCACCACTACAAGGCCAACTACCACTACTACGAGGCCAACTACGACTACCACTACTACGAGGCCAACTACCACTACAACTACTACAAGGCCAACTACCACTACGAGGCCAACTACGACTACCACTACTACGAGGCCAACTACCACTACCACCACTACAAGGCCAACTACCACTACCACCACTACAAGGCCAACTACGTCTACCACCACTACAAGGCCAACTACCACTACTACGAGGCCAACTACCACTACGAGGCCAACTACGACTACCACTATTACGAGGCCAACTACCACTACCACCACTACAAGGCCAACAACCACTCCCACCACTACGAGGCCAACTACCACCACTACAAGGCCAACTACCACTACTACGAGGCCAACTACCACTACAACTACTACAAGGCCAACTACCACTACGAGGCCAACTACGACTACCACTACTACGAGGCTAAGTACGACTCCCACCACTACAAGGCCAACTACGACTACTACAAGGCCAACTACAAGCACCATCAAATCATTAACAATTACAAAACCAATTGTAAGTAAACCGACTGGTGTGATGATGGAGATGTCACTAATGGAAATTCCAACCCTAGTCAAGCAAATTAATGACCTTCCAGTTCTTCACGATCATCCTGTGAATCCAAATGTAAATATCAATCGTCATCCGGAAGATCTGAACGAAAACAATGAAATTGGTCGTCCCCAAAAGACGAAAGTTGATTATCGCCCCACAAACAGACTTGGTAATGAAAATGACTTATCCGCTTCCTTCGTTGATGGCAATCGGATGGACGAAGGTGGTTATCCCCAGCAATCATGGGCTCAATTTCATGGTGGGACTGGTTCGATGCCATGGTCAAAGGTAAATTTGGTTTCGAATTATCCGTTGGTCAGACTTTGAATATTTTTACATAACGATTAGTTTCAATTGATTTTAGGTGGATGATGATAATTCTCTGTCTTTTGAATCTCATCGCAAGTCCCAGAAGCCTTATGCCAATAATCAAGGTGTCAGCCTCGACGTACATCCTTCTTTGGACACGGGTGGACATAAAAATTGGGGTAGTAATGGCCCTATTCAACAAAAGGTTCACATTTTTATTGTAACATTACAACCAGCGTTTACGCGAGAAAACCACCTGCAGAATTATTTTTTGCATACAAAATTTCTTGCACTCTTGTGCAAGAAATGCAATAAATAAGCGCCATTGGTGGACAATCCCTAGAATTAAGTAGCTATGCAAGAAATACGCCTTAGCGTAAGGCCTATTTCTTGCATTTCTTGCGATTTCTTGCAGTGCCATGAAAGAAATGTGGACAAGGTGCAAAAACACTGATTACAACCAACGCGATCTTACTAAACTAAACTACTTTCTACATATCCCATAGGTCACACCGGTGCAAGACAATTTTTATTATCCGGTACAAAGTGGCTTGCAAAGCATGAAGGATACTCAAAATTATTACGAGTACAATTCTGCTCAAGATAATAAAAATTTGGAAGCAGAATATGAATACGAACAGACAGAAGTTGCCAGTTATAATGAGCTTGAGAACTATGCTGAAAAATTGGATAACGAAATTTACGACATCAATGAAATTCCTCAGGCTCATCTTAACGATGATCGCTTGTCAGCGAATGACGATGTGCATTTTGACGAAGGTGCCGAGTACAGTTATCTATACGACTACTCTTCCTCTTCTGCCTTAAGAAATTCAAAGAGACGAAGCTTGAATAACTGTAATATAGTTTTGTCATTTGCATGTGTCTTGATAATTCGTTGACAGTGTAATAACAAGATTCCTAAACTTTTTAGCTAAAAAGTTTAGGAATCTTGGTGTAATAATAATTAGATAATGCAGTAGGTAAGTAAGTGTGATAACCTCGTCCAAAAATGCAAAGAAGTTACTTTGACAAATAAAACATTCAAATAATAGCAAATCATTTGTTAATTACACATCCGATGATTCGTATTCCGATATCAACAAAACCGATGGTAGAAGTGTTTTTAATTTTCAATTGATTTTATTTCTTGCATGTGGATAAAAATTGATAATAGCAAAACTTAACAATAATAATGCTACGATCGATCCGTGACCACATGATTCAATATGAAAATTGTTACTGTTGAGCCCAGCTGCTTGCGGGACCGCCCCACTCGTTGGTTTCCTGAGCCCAGTTTTCAGCTTCAGCGCTCCAATCTTCAGTTGGTGCAGTGTAAGCGACAGCCTCTGGGGCCGCAGCGTCACCACCACCCTCAACTGGCCAAGACTCAGAGATAACTGGTGGAACGGGGACAGCTTCTTCAACTTTGGCCGTGATGGCGGCCTGCTCCTTGGCGGCTTGCTCTTCCTTCTCAGCCTAAGAACATAAAACAGTGAATGTCGTTAATTTACATACTTTTCCTTTCATAGAATGAACATTAGATATGTAATGTACCTCTTCAGGATCTCTGTAGAAGAAAAGATCAACCATAATGTCCCACTTGTCGCGACTCAGAGTGCCTCGGAGGCGTTGCACCTCTCGGGCCAACATCCACCACATAAGTCCGATGGAATGTGGAGACTATTTACAAAAACAATTATTTTAACTACAATCCTACATAATATTAATAACAGCCCATTCATAATATCTATGGATTGGTACCTTATTGTTGCATGGAATAGCAATGTCCACAAAGCGAAGAGGTGAGTCAGTATTCGCCAAAGCAATTACCGGGATGTTCACTAAACACAATTGGGTTAGATTTTAGAATATATTTTATATTGTTTTACGTATTTGATTCTTACCATACGAAGCCTCGGTAATGGGTTGATGATCAGTTCGTGGATCAGTAACAATCAACAGCCTGGGCTCACGGAAGGCAGCCTGATGAAGAAATAAGTTATAAATTTATTGTCTTACATTTATGATGCAGTAGTTTAACTATGTAACGTAATGTAACTATCAATGTAATTATCAATGCTATTCGTTTACCTGGATCTGGTTGGTAAACGCTCCAGGTGTGTATCTTCCGGCGATGGCAGTAGCCCCAGTGTAGTAGGCAAACTTCAAGACGGCCCGTTGACCATAACTCTTGCCACTGATGACGTAAACATCAGCTGGGCGCTCAATAGCCACAATTGCTCGGGCAGCTAACACCAGCTTCTCCCAAGTTCGTCGCAGATTGATGACGTGGACACCTAGCGATTGTAAAAAGCAGAAATAATTACATGTTTTTCAAAGTGACCCCTTCGATTTAAACAATATTTATATGAATTGAATATTGTATATCAGTATCCGGTAAAGCATTTAGCATAATATCATGGAGAATCACGCTTTGTTTGGAAGACAAGATGTCATCACTTTTAATTAACAACTGGACAAGGATATAATTCACAAGTAATAAAGATAACTAACTCACCGTCCGATCGACGCTTGTACACATATTGTTGCATCTGGAAATCCGTGTTCTCCGACCCAAGATGAGTCGTTGCTACAAAGATAAAATTGTTGTCAATTTTATTACTTGTCACATTACTAGATTTGCACTTTATTTAATTTCATTATTATAGCTCCACTTACCCGCCAACATCTTGGACACATCGTCTTCTCGAAGTCCGAGTAAATCAAGTCCTCCCGACATCTTTGCAGATTCGATTAAGCAATGAGTGAATGCTCTGTTGATGAATAAAAAAAGCGACTATGTATTATAATCTTAAATAATCAAGAAAATTATATTAATCGCTAAATTGAACTGAAACACTAGTTCACATAATAGTATTTTCAGCAAATCTCAAAATCTCTCGTCAGCCATGGCATGCAGGCCATGCTGCTTTCTGTGCCATGCCGGCTGCCAAAAATTCCCCCTAAGGAAACCCCCAAAATCTCGAAAACTACAAAACTTTGACCATGATTTTGACCTTCCCTGAAAAGCCCATAACAAGGGCTTTCTAACCCAGCATGAAACTAGGTGGGGAGGTTACACCCACCGCGGTGGGGAATAAATAAAGTAGGAGAGTTTTACTTACGCGTAGCAAATGCCAATGGGAAGTATGGTAATGAAATGACGAGGAGTCGTGGTGGTGGTGGAGCGAGGAGTCACGTGGTCCTGCGTGGCAAGCTCAGACTGCACATGCTTTCTTACGGGGCATCAAGAATTCAAGATCCTAGTTTGTTGTCATCATTTGCCAAGGATTGATTGAGAATTGTTTTATTTTGTATTAAGGGAAGCTCCAGTGCAGTGAAGTTTAAAATAGTTTAATATCAATTTGAGAAAAAAGATGCCGGATGGACTTAAATATCTCTTGGCCGCACCTGGAAGGCAAAGATGTGTCGTATTCTTGGGTACATTTTTTCTAAATTCAAAATTCATATCTATTTCAGTTTAGTTCAATGTTTGAAGAGTTTAAAATTTATGGAATATTTATTTGTTTACAGAAAATGAAATCACATCGTTATATAACACAGACTATGTTGAGGAGCTCGTAAAGAACTTTACAAATGAGAATAGTCGTCAAACTGATTCTCCCAAAAAGCCAATAATTCATCTCATTCTTTATGTTTTGTCGAAGGAGTCTTTAAATTATGACAAAGAGTTGACATTTGTATATGAGAATTTCGAATTCTCCATTGGTAAGAAAATAACAAATTGATTCATGAAAATCAAGTGTCATAAGTAAATAAGATAATCATTTTCATAGATGGAGTATTTCAACAATTGTGCCAAAATGTGAAGAAGCAGCCGAATTCGAGTCATGTTTTGATAATTGACGATTTCTCGACATTTTCATTGTTATCAGCAAATAGAGATTGTTCTAAAATTGCAAGCTTTTTGAAGCGGTGCTGTAAAAAGTTTCAGCGAGTATTTACATTTTCTAACCAAAATACATTAAGCAGACTCGAAATTTCTAAATTGTATGAAGTGGCATCAGCAGTTGCTGTTCTGGGATGTTATCATGGTAGTGGTGGGCTACCAAATGAGGTGGCGCATGCTAAGAAGACAATACTTGTTTGTGATCTTTTGAAAATCAGAGAAGAGAGAAGAGTGTCTCATGAGGTTTACAAATATTTAATGATTATGAAAATATTTATATAAGTTACAGTAGAGTTGAAGCCGACTAATTAGCATTTTAATGGTTTTTAATTTTCGTATTTCAGCAAACAAAGTTTCAAGTACTTGAAGGAGAAATAACCGAGTTGAAAGAAGATGCATTGGGCGGAACTCTGAGCAAAAACCAAGAGGACGTACTTAAAAATCTCACGACTTTCAAACTAACTGTGGAAGATAAAGAAAAGGAATCCAGGAGTAAACTATATCTTCCATATTTTGAGTAAGTTTTTACGTTTAATTTTGAAAACAGTTGGTAGGTTCGTGGTACGTTAAAAAGAAATAATATTTTCCACATTGCAGCGCTCAAAAAATCGCTGTTGATGATCCTGAAGATTATGATGACTATGATGATGAAGATGAAGAGGTGTAACTGGAGCAAGACTGCATGATTAATGTTGGTGCATATTATGCTAAATGAATAAAATGTCTGTGATATATTAGTTAAAACCAACATCACGTCATTGGAATTACTGAAATTAGAGAGATGACAGTGTCCAACCTTCATTGATACCTCTGTGACTGCAGTTTGCACTTTGCATGCCAGTATGCATATCTGACATCACTTCATTAGATGAGTAATATATGGACATCATCATCATAAATGCATATAAGGAGCTTGGAGAATGAGGAGACATTATGAAAAGATGAAGTAATGCTAATGCGTTAGCTATACGAATGACCAAATATAAAAAATGCTCCTTCTACAAATGTTTTGTGTTGGTTCTTCTTACTCGACGTTTATTACTTATTAGTAGTATTATGGTCAACAGGAAGTGGAACTTGGTTTCTTCAGGCACTTCCTTTTACATACTTGGATAAAATACCCCACCAAAAAATATGTTCTAATTAGTTTCAGTTAAAAGTTTTACCATATAAAACCTCAAATTGTTATATAAATATTAATTTGACCCTGTGTGCATGATCTTCGTCAAAATGCATTTGCACAACATCGTGTATTTTGTTTCTCTGTTTTCCATTATTTCCGGAAGACATATTAGGAACAAGCGAGACACATACGATCCAGATTACGAAGCATGGGTATGTTCACTGAGATTTTTTGTTCCATTAAAAATCATAAAGAAGCAGCGTTTAGTTCTGGGATTTTTTATATATATTTTGAGCCTGGCCTACATACATAGATAGCGTTAAAACTCTGGGGTACTTACTGTATGATTTTTTTAAATATGAATACCCTTCGAGGTCAACACATTGGGTCCACTTCAAGTACTCCTCCCGTATATATAAATCTTTTAATCTTGTTGCTCAAAAAATGACAAAATTGCTGCTTTCACTTTTTCAATTGTCGAAATCTTTTCCCTCGTAGCAGATATTTCTAATGTCTAAATTGGCAGCAGTCACTAAGGCCAGGTGTAGAGTAGAACTAATTTTTCTCTTGCTACAACATTTTTTTCCAACTATGTTTAAACCATTTATTGACACGCTAAAATGATATTTGAAGAGAGTTTCCTCTGCGTCTTCTCTCAAAAATACGTATTTTCATCTTCATTTATAGCATTATTGTAGCCCTCCCACAGAAAAAGGGGGTGGCCACACCACTTACTATTTAAGTTAAATACCTCGTATTTACCAAATGCTTAGCTCTACATTGTCTCAAATTTCCCATTTCTTATCTCACATTCCTTACAGCTAAGTGAACTCGAGTCTCAAATTATAAGAAATTCGGAGGAACTGCAGAATGTTAATTCAACCGTAATTAATCCTCCTGACGTGCCGGAAGATCATACAACACCAGGAATCAGTGACCATGTCATTGGTGAAGAGGTACGGGAGCCAATTGTTGTCACCGCAAAGCCATATCTAGTACGTGAGACGAGTACATAATGCAACTTACCTATGTGGTTATTATGATGTTTATTATTTTACCCATAATTAATTTAATTAGACCGGAGAAGAGGACGAAAAACCAGACTCTTCAGTCACAGAAAAAGTGGAATTCAGTAACTCGGAGGAAGGGTTAGGAAACTTGCCTGAAGGAGAAAGTCAAGCCACAAACAACGTAAGACCAGCAACAAGTAGTTGTGTCCAAGTTATGTGGAATCTGTGTTATGTGTTTGAATAAAGTCGCTATTTACGCTGTGTATATATAATTGCAAGTTGCTTATAATTGTTGAACTTCATAGCGTGAATATATAATAATATACATTTTTATATCAATGCACTAGTTCATAGAGGAGATATTAGTTCTCTAAATTCATGACAAAATATAATACCTTCTCATTAGGGTACACACATTCGTGAGGATGGCAGCCAACTCATCAAGAATGAGGATGGGAACAGAGTGAGAGAAATTCTGGACAAGATTTTAATAGAAATACCAAAAATTCCTTTTCCTCCGACCAAAACTTCATTACAACAGTTCACTGATGAGAATGGTCGGGACAGTAGTGGTTCCGAAGTTGGGACATTTGTATTTCGGATGAGAAACCACACCCCCATGATCATTTTGGGGTGCGTATTGTCCCTACTCACCCTGATTGCTTTGGTTGTAACTATTTGTCAGGTTATAAAAAAATTGAATACAAACGCTTCCGTCACCCTCATTGCCCATTACGAGCATGAAGATGCAGTATCAAGTAAAACCCTCAAGTCGTAAAAATGTAAATGGCCAGACGCGATGATGACATTCAATAAGCGACAAGCATTCAAATTGTCATTTAAGTACACCTATTTTTATTTCTCTGGTTGATAAGAAAATTCTGATCAAGTATGATTGACTTGTGGTGTTGAAATTAGTTTGCACGCGGTTCACTCACAAAGGAGATAAAATTGGAACACTGATAAAACTGTGATGCTTACTTATCACGTCAGCAGAAAAAGGACACCGGTTCGCACAACTGTGACACAATTAATTACCAATATTTATTTACCGGTCATATTAAGTACAACAATCAACCATGTTTTTATTTTTTAATTATGTATAAAAAAACTTCTGGATCTACCAACATATAAATTAATTTTTACTTCAATATAATAGAATATACGGATATCTATAAAATGTTGCAGTTAATTGCGATCCGATGTGACGTGATGTAACATTTACATTACATTAGATTGGAATGCAATGCATCAGAAATGTGCAGAGATGATTAGATTATTGATTAGAAGCAATGCTTATATTATTTTACAATAAGGTGCTGATGATTTCAATTTGTTCGATCATTCGTTTTAATTATTTCGCATCGTCATAAATTCTTCCATTTTCTCGATCGACTGGCTTCGCGTTATTTTTTCTGCGGACCATGGATAAATTTACCCTATTCGTTCTCATATTCGCGTTGGTCTCCAATATACTTCCTAAAAGTGAGGCACAAACTGCTCCAAGATGTCCCGTAGAGGGAGACGCCGAAACGTGTGACCTTCCCGACTGCAGGTGTAGTAGTACTAGCATCCCCGGAGGTTTAGATCGTTCAGAAACCCCACAGGTAAATAAATACCTGCAATTAGTGGTTAACATTTTTTACATGAATAATGCTCTAATAATGACATTCCGACATTTGTAGATAGTGCTCTTCTCCTTCGACAGTGCAGTAAATGTAAACAACTACCCAATGTACATTGACCTCTTGGAGGGCAGAAAAAATCCCAATGGTGCCGATATCAGCGTGACATTTTTCGTATCGCACGAATACAATGACTATAATTTGACTCATCAGCTCTATCGACTTGGTAAATTCGGCATTTTAAAATTTTCTACCCGATAGGCTTCTAATAATATCTGTAATGAAAACGCAGGGCATGAAATCGGATTGAATAGCATTACTCGATCTTCGAGCACGGACTACTGGAGAAGTCTCAACGAGTCAATGTGGACTGCTGAAATCGTGGACCAAAGGGAACAGATGGCTCTCCTGGCCAATATTTCTAGTGCTGACGTAAAGCTACTTTTTATTCAGGATAAATAGTCAAAAACTGTAGTAGTAATTTTATTGCACATCCACATTTAAGATCAAGGGCATGCGTGCTCCGCAACTGCAAATCGGGGGCGACACAATGTACAGTGCTCTTTACAATGGCATGATCACTTGGGAATCATCCCGACCAACGTGGAATATGCGTCAACCTGGACTTTGGCCTTACACGAATGACTATTTGTCTAATCAAGATTGTCAGATTGCTCCATGTCCCACGGGGGAATATCCAGGCTTCTGGGTTAGTTGCTTTTCCAATCCTCATTTTTCTCCTTCGCTAATAACTTGATTCTTGATGCAATATAATTTTCAACCGTCAACTGACTTTTACCACTTGGAAAATATGTACCATTTTGCGCTGCTTTTCTCTCCTTTACTAGAAAGATTCAACAATTACAACTTGTTGGTATTGCAAAATAAGGTACATATTCATGCATGCATGTAATCCATGGGGTTGAGATTAAATTATTTGTCGACACCAGTTCAAGTTCCGTTAAGCTGCGCTTGTTATTGATCAAGCGTAAATTAAATTACATTTTATGAATTTGAGTGATCCCCAATTCATAAAATATATTCTTGACACAGGGAACTTAGAATCATGTCAATTTATTAGCGACACTAGTAAATTACGGAATTTAGTAAATTTAGTAATTTAGCGTATAACATTTATCCTTTTGGGCTCTTATAATCCATCTCAGTAAATCCACATAAAAATATTCAATATACGCAATCTTTTTGACTACCTCATAAGTCTTATATGATCGCATTTATTGTGACGCAGACCGTGCCAATGATTGACTTAATTGGTTCGGATTTCTCCCCATGTCCATTGGTGGATCAATGCAATCCCAGGTAGACCAATACCATGCATGTTCATATTGTTCGAACAAATTAAAGCAAGATTACATTTGCATGTTCCAAAAACAGACCGACTACAGCCGAGGCAACATTTTTATTGCTGAGGTCAAATTTCTTGGATCAATATCTCGGAAACAGGGCTCCTTTTGGAGTTTTTTCCACTTCAGCCTTTCTTCAAGGATCACTACCAGAGTTCGAAGCTCGGCGAGAAGGATACAAATTGTGAGCCTTAAAGCATCATATTTACTTACAAAATTCTTCGTAGTTTGTCTATTATATTAACTCATATCAAATTGCAGGTTCCTTGATTTCCTTGCCACCATGACGGACGTCCATGTTGTTAGCATAAGTAAAGCTTTGGAGTGGATCAAAGCTCCAGTAGCGTGGACTGAAATTGATGACTTTGTACCCTGGCAGCCGGAAGGTGTGCATGAAAACTATTGTAACCTTCCGAGGAGTTGTCGATATGATTTCCAAGGCTCGGAAAGGTAGGTTTATGTTTAGGTCACGTATGTGGTACGTTAAGTGTATGATACCTAAATATTATAAATTTCAGATATATGATGGCGTGTACACTGTCTTGCCCTCCGCAATACCCTTGGCTGTTCAATCCCCTTGGACAAAACATATAAATATTATTAACCATCCCGATAAAGAATATCTGTTTGTTTTACTATTGGATTTGATCAATACACAGTCAATCAATATTACACATGTGCACTTAACATGCCTTGGTCTATATATATGTGCATATGCACAGCTCCTCTTCGTTCGTACAAGTGTTTATCTTTTCATGCATCTGCAAATTATGCACAATTAATGGTGTAACAAAAAATCTACATTCGACAAAAATCACATAATTCACAAAGTATGATGATCCAGATGAGAATTTTGGACACGTGCTCACTCAACTTTTATCATACCAAATTCCACCATTCGATACTGCTTTCTTTCTGCATCAAAAGATTACCAACAATTTGATAAATGTGATTGATTGGGACATGTCATCTGTATCAATTCTTGTTGCTCGGTCAAGTTATTGTTGTCGTCAAACTACAAGCCTCATCTGAGATAACTCGAGGGGTAGGATAATGTCAGTTATTATCAGGAAAGGCATATATAGTAATGAGGTCATATTTATATCTGTAGAAGTGAATTGTCTCGTCCAAACTTCTAACTCTTTACTTTTGTTTCTGCTGACGAGAAGGTTCGTCGTGTTGATAGCACTCCATTTGTCCCACTGGATCCCAATAATTACTACATAAATGGCAAAACTAACCATTTTGAGTTTGGCCCTGTGTGGTTTGCTGGCCATCGTTTTTTCAGGCCCCACCAAGGTGAATAACGTCTATGAAGCTCCCCCCTGCGACGTGGACGCCTGTCAACTACCAAGTTGTCGCTGCAGCTCGCAAACTCCACCCGGCAACCTGATCGGACCTAATGTGCCACAAGTTCGTTTTCACTTCTTATAGGGAAAAAGTTACATATAATTCCACCTTAGCCAATCAAATAATACGTGCATTTAGATGGTATTCCTCACGTTCGATGACGCAATCACCGTTTCGAACCACCCATTTTATGAAGAAGTGCTGTTCAATAGGATAAATCAAAATGGGGCACGTAATTAAATACTGTACATGTTCCATGTCATTATTATAGCGTATATAAATATTTATATATTTAAATAATAGGCAAAAATCGCAGCCACGTTTTTCATCACCCACGAGTACAGCAACTACTCCCTTGTCCACGATCTGTGGGCTAGAGGTAACGATAAATTTACGAAAGCAATTATTGCTCTGATCTGATCTACTTGACCAAATCCTAATCCAATTTATGTGCGTGCAATTTTCCACAGGTCACGATATCGCCCTCCACAGCATCACTCATGTGTCTGATACTGGGTACTGGGCCAATTTGAACGAATCGATGTGGAGGGCTGAAATCGTTGCTCAAAAGCAACAACTTTCTACATTTGCATCGGTTCCCCTGGCTTATGTGCGTATGGCATAGTTAGTTATTACGTGTATATAAAGTATACATTAGTTTACACGTCCAGTGAAAACTTGAGTAAAATTTTAAACATCATCACAGATCAAAGGAGTGAGAGCCCCATTTCTCCAGGTATGTGTATGTCCCTGATGTTAGGAGACGAGCTCATGCTTAATCAGTGTGACATTTATAAGGCCGAAAATTAATGAATAGTAAATCAGGTAGGAGGAAACCCAATGTACAGCGCGCTCGTCGGAGGTGGTTTCGAGTGGGATTGTTCTCGACCTACTCAGAATCAACGGATTCCTGGTCTCTGGCCGTACACAAATGATTACGCTTCAACCCAAGACTGTCAAATCCCAACCTGTCCAGACGAGGCCTTCCCTGGCTTCTGGACGTTCCCTATGATTGACTTAATTGGCGACGATCAATTCCCTTGTGCCATGGTTGATGAGTGCACACCAGTGTAAGCAACGATCGTGCTCATGATTATCAACGTATTACTAAAATACTATAAATTGCCATTTGAACAGTCCTATGACCCAAGCAGCTACATATAACCTTCTCATGCGAAACTTTGAAAACCAATACAACGGGAATAGAGCACCGTTTGGGGTGTTCACCCATGCCGCTTGGCTCGTTGGACCGGCTGATAGACCAGAATTTGCTCAAAGGAAGGCTGGATATATCCAGTAGGGATACGTTCGTTACATGCACATTATTATTTATCATGTACAAGACAATTTCAACTTGAAACCAAATTTTCAGATTTTTAGACGAAATTCTAGCCATGCCAAATGTGTACATTGTGGGAATTTCACAGGCAATGGAATGGATGAAAACACCTACTGGAACAGCCGACATTGATACTTTTGTCCCCTGGCTGGACGACCCCAACAGAGTTAGAGCATGTCCCTTCCCTCGAAACTGTCGATATGAGAACTCAACTTGGGAAAGGTATCCGCTATAAATTAATACACGAATAACACATGCGATCCGTATTTTTCTATGTTGCTTTTCACGAGAAATTTCCCCTTTGAAATAGATTCATGTCCTCTTGCATCCCTTGTCCGCCTGAATATCCGTGGGTCCATAATCCTCAGGGAACTAATCTCCATTACGACGACTAAATTCTATTCAGAATAATAACCTTTACAAACCAAAAAAAATCAATATTGAAATTTCAATTCTCTAATACTTCCTAAAAACTCGGTAATTAAAAAATGAACTTTTCGTCTCATCTAATTGTACATTTGCTCAGTCACTTATTTAACATGCATCCTTCATTCATTGAAAAGAAAGTATAATGTATGCGATATGGTGTTTTCCTTTGTTGTGCTCTGGTTGCTGGGATTCTGCCCACACCGATCGTCGGGCGTCGTGTAACTTGATCAGTAAGAATCAAGAATTGCAATTGCAAGGAAGGAAAGAAGTTTTTAGTGTAACTTGTAAATAAATAAAAGTATATGGAAAATGTCTCCTGCCATTATCGATGTAAGTAACCTGAATTAATTATAAAACATAATTGCTCACTTTGTATATAGAGATGCATACTTCTCTCCATACGATATCTGTCGCCTTTTGATCGAAAGTAGACATTTTATTCAGAACGCAATTGAAATGAATATTCTTCGTGTAACATGCATCGCATAGTTACCTACTTCTAATTGTTAATTTAAAAGTAGTTTTACGCTTTTACTCATTTGACCAGAGTCTTTGATACGTTCACTTCTCTGGTTTATTAGCAAAGCCTTTGATGCGATTCACCCTTTGCTGCAAAGCACTCACTGCACTAGATTATTAGACATTATATTATGGGTGTCACAGGATATTACATTAATTCCGTTGATGGCTTACCATTTGTAAAGGGCCTTCGGTCGGACTCAAGCGTGGGGGGCAGTAAGATGCCAACGGAACTCCCAAAATATCCAACTGAATCTACCATCATATTTTTCGCTTCGAAAAATGAAACTTTCCGACCTGGAGATAACTACAAAACTTTTTACAAAAAACTTAAGAGCCGAGTTCACAAAATTGTTCAGTACGTGAATGAAAAAAAGTTTTAATATTGATACGTATGCATATTTTACTTGCAACTTTAAACATATTTGTATACCCTCTCATCCTCAGATTAAAGGAAGAGCTCACAGAGGACATGGTAGCCTACTGCAAAATGGTGATAATCGCTGGGATCAACGCTCCACTTGGAGATCACGAAGTCCAGATTTTGAAGCACTATGTAGAAAACCAAGGAGGATCTGTTTTTGTATTAGCCGAGGCCAGTGCTACCACTCATTACTACAATGCACTCACACAAAATTTTGGTATCACAGTTGTGAAAGGTACTTTTACCAGTTTTATTATGCCTGCATTAACTTTCTCTAACTATCAATTACTAAACTACTGTGCTACATATGTATAAATATATAAATACGCGCAGTTCATAATGTATGTACAAGATGAAATTATTCATTTTAAAATTATAGATTGTGTGGTCCGTACCGTGTATTACAAATACGGTTACCCAAAAGAATGCCTCATTCAGAGTTCCATGATTTGTCCCGTTCTTTTGGAAGCGATGATGGGGGGCGAGGAAGAAAATCTCACCATTCTCTTTCCCAATGGATGGTAGATAACTTATTTTTTAATTGTGTATTATTTAAAAACTTTGCTGTGACTAAAGCTAAAGCGACCGGATACCCAACCCCCTTCAAGTCAACATTTATTTGTCTTATTTTAGTTCTCTTAACGTCTCAAAACCAGGCTTGCCAATTATCAGTAGCGGAGCAACATCATACCCCGTGAACAGACCAGTGGGTGCCATTTATTATTCGCCAGCGTCCAGAGGAAAACTGATCGTGTTTGGGGGTGGGCATGCGTTCAGTGAAAAGTAAACAATTAACGAGTACTAAATACACAATTTTGGGAATATACTAATAAATATTAATTTGCAACACAGGTATATTGACAAGGAAGAGAATCTCAAACTTTTAGAGTTTTGTCTCACCACCTTGTTCAATACTGATCATTTGCCATTGGATGCGTCAGACATTGACGATTCTGAGCTCACAGAGTACAACTTGATCCCTGACACAGTTCAAGGGGCACAAAAAGTCAGAGTGTGTCTACAAGAAAGCGACGATTTTATAATGCCTGGTATGAAATATTTCGGTTACTTTAATGATAGGTTAGTGACAAATAACTACTTGAATATTTTGACAACTACATACAAGCTTATAAAAATATAGTTTAAAGGTTAAGCTTAATTCAGATATCGTTACAAACAATCAGTCACGTCACATAAAATTGCTTATGTGAACATGGAAGAGATGTCATAAATATTATGTGTTATGATACTCCCAGGAAGTGCGAATCATTTGGGAGTGATTGAACCAAATCGTCTCATAGATCACAAATTGTTCTCCTTAAACTCCAACCTGCTACCTGAAGTGTTGCAAGCCTATGACGAGCTGGGTGTGAAGAAAGGTCAATTGAAACTGATACAACCTCAATTTGAAACTCCTCTTCCACCACTTAAAGTTGCGGTATGAATGAATGCTTCAATGTTTGACTACTTGAAGAAAGTCAAGGAATTAGTAAAAGAAAAGTGATACAAAAATTCTGTTGCAGGTTTTTCCTCCGTCATTTCGTGAGTTGCCTCCACCCCCACTAGAACTTTTTGATTTGGACGAAGAATTTGCGTCAGAAAAGATTCGACTGGCTCAGCTCACCAATAAATGTGGCGACGAGGACCTGGCTTTCTACATCCAATCTGCAGGATCAGTGCTAAATGTTGTAGTCGGAGATGAACAGAAAAATAATCCAAAGGCAATTCTTCATTCAATTTTATCACACTTGGTAGAGTTTAAGAGGTCAGATAATAACATTGGTTTTGACAATGCATCTACACCTCCACTGGGCTCGGAAGGGTCGCGAGCCCTTCATCTAGAGTTTTAAACACTCATCACAGAAAATAATGGCTATAAGTGATTTAATTAATTTCACAGTTTGAATTGATGAAATAAAGATTGCTAATTACATAGAGGTTCAACAATTTTTCTTTAATACAACATCCGACATTAGAAACATGAAAAAGTCATACGTATGTACATAATGAATCATAAGGTAGGAATTAGGTAGTAGTATGCATATTGAACCGAGGGAATCACTTTAATTTGAAAGAAAACGCAGTTTTCACATAAAGTCGTCCGAGTCAGATCCTGAGTTGTCTTGATTTGTCTTCATATTCTCTGTCTTCATCAAAGACGTATAATTCCTGCCAAATCCAAACGTTTAATATTTACAAAAATAACAAAGTACAGCACAATAATTGTTTATAAGTTTTTTCCTACTTTAATTCAGCTTCTTCAGCTCGTTTCTTTTCCAAAACTTTCTCGTGCTCGCGAGCCTTTCTCTCCTTTTCTCTAAGCTGAGCTCGTTCCTTTGCATCTCTTTCTTCTCTAAGCGTTCGGAAATCTAATTTCATGTTCTCAGACTTTGTCTTCTCCAATCTCTTGCAAATCTAGAAAACAAATTATCCATTCAGTTTTACAATATAACAAAGCATATACAAATGTATTTACATGTAGTTCTACGTATTGAGTATTGCTACATATGCATACCTCAGTTCTTTTTGGAACGTTTTTAACTAGCTTCACATCCTTGTCCACATGGAATCCGACTTGACCAACTTCCATCCCCGGAGTCTTCTGGAATAAATAATGATAAGATTAATGTGTACTATCCTAGACTGCTTTACCAACATAACTATTAAATTAACTATCCTAAACATGTACAAAATGCTCGGTAAATTAATTATTGGAGCGACGAAATGGCTGGAACGGATTGAGCGGACGCCGTGTCTTTGATATTCCGAGGCGTATAGTATAAGGAGAAGTGGATAATAAGGAGACGCGTTTTTTTCGGTCTTTGCCAACAGCGACTTTGTTTTCACGTTCATTCTCCAACTTTGTCTCGGTGTCGCGCAATTGTTGAAGGAGCGTTTTACGTTCCTCTTCCTTGGCTTGAATATCTCGTTCAAACTGAGTCTTCAACATTTCCATATCGGATTCAAGTTGTTCAATTCGTGTTTCTCGCACTGAGAGTAATGCTTGGAGTGTCCTGTTTTCTTCCTCGAGGTCATGGTCTTGCGCTTTATCATCAGCATTTTTCTGGGAATTTGAGGTTGGGATGTTTGGGTCGGGATGATCAAGCCACAAGTGGTTGGCTCTGGTCAACGCCTCTCTAATTTGTCCCACATAGTTATCCAGCCATTTGTAGCACTCTTTGGGGTTGACGGAACAAATTCCTCCGGCCTCGTTCCTAGTTAACCACTTGAGTTGTCCTACCACCCATTTTTGATGTCCAACCATCCCCTCAATCAAAAACGCCTCTTCAGGACAAAAAAAATGACCGTCGTCATACATCCGTCTACATGTAAATGTAAAATGATTACTTAAATTGTTTAGTAACAAATAGTGCATAGTATTAAATCGACATTTTTTATACCTGTCTGAACAACCCTTGTCTGTCGAAGCTTTAATCTTAGTCCACTTAACAATTGCTCCGTTAATAGCTGTATCACACGTCATCCCATAATACACCTCCACAATCTCGAAAGTTTTACCGTCACGCCACACATATCCATAAACTTGGTGTGAACTTCCTGTGTGGAGGAGAAAATAAATTATTATTGTGAACGGCACTGACATTGAGGATAACATTTGTGAGAGATGATTGATTGATAGAATAGTTACAACTACTTACTTCTTTGTTCATCTGTCAACTTGACGTAATTGATGGGACACTCATTTCCCTCAGAAGTGTATCCCCAACCTCTGATATGATGCTGGCCTATGACTGGTTCCTTCACGACGGGTTTTAACATTTTCTGAATGTTGACCCGTTCGCGTTGTTTCTTATTTAATTTTAAATAATAGTGTTCACTGGGATCAACTGTTGAGTTGACTAAAGTGTGACAGGGATCTGACTTCAACTTGCGATAAACTTCTCTGTTTAACTCTGCTTCAGACCTTGCTGCTAATTTTTCATCCCTCTTTTTCATAGCATTTGGTGAATGGACATTTTCTATATGTCTATTTAATTTATATTTGTCGTAGAATTCCAATCCACAAATTAAACACTTGGGTTTATTGTTATTGTGAACGGTATCCACATGGCCATGGAGACCTTTTTTCGAGCTAAACATAACATCACATTGACTACAGTTATATTTATAATAGTTTTCAGGGTGGTTTTGCTTGATATGTAAATTGAGGACATGCCGAGCACCAAACTTTCTTTTGCACACTTTACAATCATACGTAATTTCCTTCAGTTTCTTGTCCTTCTTAATTAAACAGATTTGACGATTTAAATGTTTTTGTAGTGTAGCGTTTTCCGAAAAATACACTTCACAATTCCTACATTGGAAACGATGCGTTTCTGTATGAACGGACGCCACATGTTTTTTTAGATTAGATTTTTTCGAATATTTTTTTCCGCATATTGTACACTTTAACTTATTGTCCACACTGGTATTACTACTTTGACTTGAAACTTCCATTTTATAATAGCACCGGTTAATTTAAGTACTTTACAAATATAATTGAGAGAGAGACTATCTCACTTCGAGTGTTGACTAGTGACTAAACATGTGCACGGCTAAATTTCGTTTGGTGCAGTTTGAATTTTTGGTAGTCAGTATCACAGTGAGACAGTCGCTCTCTATGACTGCTTTACCTACCTTGAGGTTGCTCCAAAGGGTATAGACCACGTCCACAGATGCCATTTTTCGTCCTTGGATTGAATTATCTTCAGAGAAAATAGCGGTATGTTCATATAGTTAGTTGTCTTAAATCTATTTTTCAAAGAACTGATAAAAGGTTATAGTAGTGGTTATAGTTATAGTAGGAATTTTAGTATGGATGGGAGTTACTCTTTCCTACTTTGTGAACAATCAAGTCATGCATGTGGTGTGCAGTCTCAATACTATTTATTTTTTACCTTTCACGAGTTGACATGCTTCGTCGATTATCACAGAGGGAACCGAGTCCAGTGTTTCGCCCTATAGATACATCAGAATTTTTCGAGAATAAAGGTTGAGCAATAAAGAATGCCAAAACGTTTTAAATGCAGATACACATATGAAAACAATCAATGCAAAAAAGCGAGCCTAAAATAATGGCAGACCGGCGTTGCGACTTGTTCCACATTGTGTACTCTAATTTTTGAACCATTTGGAATAAAGATTTCTGGTTTCGGATTCTTGGAGACAAGTGCATTTGTCAGGAAACCATGTTATCTTAATGGTGAGATTTCTCGTTTTCACATACGTGTTTGCATTTGAAGAGCTTTGGGATTCTCTATTGCTGTATTCATCTTTAGAAACATAGTAAGGAGTAGACCATACCGGCCTTAAACGAAGGTAAACATGAGCTGAACTGTAAATCATAAATGAATGAAACATTGTTAATTTATATGACAATTGCCGAATGTAACGTACAATAATTTACCTTAATTTGTCCACGTGAAACCAAACATCTGGAATTAATAACATTAAATCAAACTCTTCAGGAGGGGGGGGGGGGGGGCAACCTCAACATTTAATAAAAACTGATACATGTTGTGTGTATAATACCTTCCGGCCATCCCCATCTAATGAGCTCTTCATCTGTGATTTTTTAAAACGTTTATTTATTTTTACTTTAGTTTGCTTCACATTTTTGCGATAATTCTTGATCGTAAAGGAAGGAAACATATAGTAAACTCACTTTCATGTTTGTCTTCCCCCATGAACAGTGTCACCGGAGGATCCACGACTAAAATAAAAAGCATACGAAATTATTACAAGCACAATTTAAACTTTCATCCTAAAATATGGAATGTAATGCAGTTGAATTATGCATGGAAGGTAAAAAATTGTTCCTTACTGTTTGACGTGATATAATAAACCATTCTTATATTTAAGCTGCAATTTCCTACAGATTCAAAAAATTAAGTCGCGGTATTTGGTAAACAATTGTTAGAAGTTTCAAAGAAACAAAAGTTTAATCACTATTGCACATTAACCAATGTGAATGTGAACCACATCACACGCTCACACAACTGATGATTCTAAACCACACAGACACCGATTATGAGTTGCACACATTGCTCAGATTCACTTGGGGGAAAGTAGAGAATAGAGAAGATGGAGAAAGCGACAAAGAAAAGAAATCTCAGTTTATTTAAAAAAATATTTTATTGTTGCTGTTGTGTTGTAGTCTTTTTTATATTCACAAACTGTCCTGGCAGTCAAAGCATAAATGAAGCTCTAATCAGTTCAACAAAAGCAAAATGTTCATGATAGTTACGTACATAAGTGTAATGTGAAAGCTACACGGATGTATGTACACATTTAAAGAAGACTAAAATGACACATATTATTATTAATAAAATCAACAACTTGATGAATGGCAGTAATCATGAAAATGATAACACATGATAATATAATATTGCTTAAAATATGAGTATATATGCTATAGTTTCTGCTACGCGAAGGTAAAATTTGTTTTGGCACTCTTAAAGGATTTCAGAAAATTTTCATGTGGTTGCTGATAGGTACATGGGTCGTCTTTTGACTGACTAACTTTTGTTTACCAGAATGGACACCTGCAATTTACAAGTAATGAAGCGTTAAGAATGTTAATTGAACTACAGCAAAATTATATCATGATTATTTTAATTAATTACCATCCAATATAACATTGACACAGGTTTTCGTGACTGGTTGCTTGTTGGATAAGCAAATCAACTTGTTTCTTAACTACAAATGGTTCCTCATTTTGAAAGTCCTTTCCAGTTAATTTTTCCCTCACTCTAGTGACCTGTAATTATTTCGTACTCCAGGTTCATTGTTCGTTTAAATTAGTAGCAAAGACACATTTTTTCAAAACTTACAACATCCAGAGCTTTCTTATTCAAGGCCTCAGGTTGTGGCTTCTCTGTATTGTCTGAAATGTAAATAGCAGTGGAATTTTTTATCCGAGAAAAAACACAAACCAGCAATAAACGCAGTATTCGCATACCAGCCTCTGGGTTAACTTTTTTAGAAACGGCTGCCGGTGTAGTGCCAGTTGGATGTCCATCACTGCTGGTGATCTCCAAAGTGTCTGATCCATCACGATCTTGGAGTGAACCACTGGATGGATGTACAGTAGTGGCTGTAGCGGCCATGGACTGATGCGGCACGACAGCCTTTCCTCGCTTGGTTGACTTTGTTGCATTAGCATTGTCAATTAAACGCCAATTTAAGAGTGGATCATACACAAATGCTTCCAAGACGGCCATTAGCGAGTCTTTATTGTGGCGCAAGACCTTCATCACAGATTCACAAGTGCATCGATACGTTCCATCAATTCCAGTAATCTCCATCGCATTAATCAACATTCGGGTGAGTCGGAAAGGGATCTTTTCTGGATATTTCTCCCTCGTCATAGCTAAAAACAAAGTAAAAAAATCAAATCAAATCAAATCAAATGTAAACCAACAACACATAAAAAATTACTACAATTCATGTAGTGTTGCATGATTCAATAATTCGAGTTTTACATTTGACGTGTTTTATAAACGAACAAGTATATTTATTCTATAATTAGACACTCACCCACTTCGAAGCAATCTCCAAAATCAATGTGGACAATTTTCCCACTTTCGCGATCCAACATGAGGTTTGAGGGGTGACGGTCCCCCAATCCCAGGACATAACCAACCATGGACATGCTACAAGCAAATTAAAAAAGTACGTTTCAAAAAATACTGTTACTAAATAAAATCAAGTAATTTGGTACTTACACTGCTAAGGATCTCGTATAGTTGGTTCGTCTATCGAACCAAACTTCACTTGATGGACTTTTTAGCCATAGCAGTTTCGCCAAGTCGTCTCCCTGGGTATGTTCTAAGGCATGTTCAAATACTTCTACTTTTTGCGTCAAAGTCAAATGATCATAGTCTGGTGCCATTCTTAGCATGATTCTGTGCTCAATGTTGAGTAGAATTTTCTTTTTTTCTCGGTAATCGTGAATTAGAGTGTGTAGCGTATCACAGTGAGGCACCCACCCAATTAACCCACTGTTTGTAGAGAGTGGGATAACAGCATACCTGTATGATAGACATTGTGTTTCATGTAACATACAAAATGTATTTATTAATAATTGTAATGCTCCGTGAAATACATATATTATTATATATGTATCTCTCGGGCAAGGTTTTTGCATGGAGGGGGGGAGGGGGTTGCTAATATTGTATACTGGCATCAAATTAATCCAAAAGTAACCCCCCAAGTGCCAAAACCTTGTCTCTGGCCTACCGTTGGATTGTCAAGTTTCGACGGAACGTTTCTGGGTCACCGAGAAGGAGCGTATTAACGAGTCCGAATAGCTGCATAACTCTTTCATCTTGACGTAAATCTTCGTGACCCTTCAATAAATACACAAATTCTTTTCCATTCGATCCTGTATCGAGCGTATGAAATTTAGTATTTAGTAATCTGGTTTTAAGTGAGAATTTGTTTGTGTAAATATTTCAGAAATTACCAGTAACATGCAATTTTCTAGGTCGTTGTTTGCTAGTGATGACTTGTAAGAGACTTTGAATGTGTGCAATTTGTATCACTGGGCGGCCAGGCACATAAGAACCTAAAAATTAAAAAAAAATTGTGTTTGAAATTATATACCTGGTAAATAATATACGATCTTCACAAACGATTATAAACAAACTTACCAGGAACTGCCAGCTCTAAATCTCTACATTTCAACAACTTGGGAGACACATATTGTAGTTCTAATAATAAATCATACACAACGAAATTATGATCTTACAGCTCAAGGCTAATATCAGTCAATAAAGTTATAAACCTACCTAAACTAATTAACTGGGGTAACTGCCGTGAAATCCTTTTGAATACGTGGTAATACAAGTCCCATGCTTGGTTAAGATCGCGCAAATTCCCAGAAATTTTGTAGCGTTTACACCATTCTAAAGCTTCAGTTAAATCTCGACCATAGGCCTGATTAAAGCTCGTTTCTTTTAATGTCTGTGGGCCTCGTTCTAACATTGCGTGAAGTGGTTCCAGAACTTGGAACATTCCTTGGACATTTCGCTCTCCGAAGTATAATCTTGAAGCCTCCTCAAGACCTGGAAAATGAGCAGGAAGTATATGCAAATGTTTCGTATATATATAATTATACTGTATATCATATATACACAGACATGATTGAAATTAATTGAAACCGTTATTGTTATTTACCTTCATGCCAGAGTTCATGCCACAAAATCGCCACTCTGATAAGTTCTTCTGAAACCATCATGGCTTGTTGTACGAGAATATGTGAATGTTCACACATGTTTTTGAGAATTTTGTTAGCTGCGGCTAATCGAGCAGGACTTGAGGATTTTGATGCAACAGTCAATGGATAAATGAGGGCTAGAGAGTAAAATTGAGGTAATGATATGAGTTAACGGTTGATAAATATATATATATATAATCATTACATTGTGGATGGTATTTTCCAATGTCAGCTAGTAGGTGATGGATTAATTTAGCAACGAGATGTCGAGGTGTATCAATACGTGCAATAAGTTGTGGTATGACCTGAAATTAAGTCAAGATTTATATTAAAATTGTATTTAATTAAAGCTCGCTAGAATTAACTTACTTGCAACCAAGTATCTACATGGATCCCTCTGATTCCTTCAGCTAGAGCATCGTGTACTTCATGCCAATGACCAAAATCAAACCATAGTGTCAAGAGACGTAAGGTGTCTTGGAGGCTAGAGCCCGTGGAACGACTTAGGGCAATTGAACGAACAAATCCTTGAACAGCAGGAATTGTGTACTGACTGATATATGATGGAGTCTAATAAAAACATGGACCCACGAATCATGTCAATTAAATTATACATTGCACTTTGTATCGTTATTTTCATAATGCCATTTCATATACTTACCAATCCTATCTTATCAGGCATCGCTTGATTTTGAGAGTTATTTTTATTGTATAAAACAGCTTCAAAGTTCATGTAAGCGTAAGCGTGCCAAGCTTTGTACCAAGATGGATCATATTCTGTTGCAGAGTTGTAGCACCTGGATAACAATAAAAAATTAAGTTAGCCCGTCCGACAGGAATTTATGAGGTACACAAGTCGGATAGTTACTTTAGAACTTGGTTGATTACTCCTTCTTTAAGGCCTTCAAGATTTTCTTGCCATTCACCAAGTCGTAAACAGCAACGAGCAAGTAGTTTCCGTAATTCGGTAGGAGAATTCTCAACTATGGTTCCATTGTCGCAAGGTACACTGCATCCGCTTAGCTGGGGTAGAAGCGAATTTTTTACAAAATTTTGTAGTTGCCTGCAGAACAAGGTAAGCACATAAGTATAAAAATAATAATTCAGTATAGAAAACTTTGACGGTTATAATAAATTTTACAAACCAGAAGGCAGTGGTTTTGTCGCCACTGGCCCACAAGTGCTTTGTAAATCTGCAGAAAATAAAATTACAATATTGAAATCTGATTGACATTCGACCTGTATTTCACTCTGGTGACGAGTGGTAAATAAACACCAGCTATCAAACAGGAGCAAAACTTTACTTACGCATAAGTAACTTGAGGATAAGTGGTAGGTAGAACTTTTCGTGAATCTGGTTCTTGTCCCAACAATGAGACCAAGGTTTTTTCAGATAACTTCAAACGACCATTCTTGCGGCACAAACTTGCAAACTTAAGGTAGGTCCGTATATCGTCGTGTTTGCTCAGCACAACAGAACGGGTTTGAAGAATCTTTTGCCAATCTTCAATCCGATTAACGCACCCCTATTTCAAATAGATTTTTCAGAATAATTCCAAACAATTCAATAATATTCATTTACATTTAAATTAGAATTTACCTTTAATCTTTCCCACCACATTAGTTTAATGTCTTCTCTACGTTCAGGAACAACTTTAAACTGAATAACCTCTTCCAGTTCAGCTAACATTTGCACGATAACCATTGTATTATATGCTCTTTGGTATGATTCACTAGCCATTGCAGTTAGTTCCGTATCCAAAATATCACGAGCAGAATCAATCAGCTATAGGAAAGAAGAAAATATAAATTATACCATCTTAAGAAGCATAACACGTTGAATATTACCTGTTCAGCTTGAGCATAAAGTTCCTTATGAATGGCGATCAAAGCACGGTAAAAGGTACCATCGAGACTATCCCGTGGAATAAACTGTACATATTTTTCCATCCTGTCCCATTTATTAAGACCCCAACTTGCGGCTGCACCCATGTGCGCAATTTTATTTTTGCTCTTATCGGCAACAGTTGGCCACTTTGCTCGAGCAACTTCCTCCAGAGCTTGCCAGTCACCTAAAGCTTCAAGACATCGCATTTGCCCAATTGACAAATCAATATCGCCTGGATTCGTCTCCAACTTGTTCCGGTATAGTTCAAGAGCTTTCTCCCAGTCATGGAGTTTTTCATACCACTGTTCCTGTACCCGTAAATGATTTCCGTAATTTTTCATGGCATATTCCAGTAGTCCTGTAAAATGTCGTTTATTAGAATAATGCAGTAGGATACATACTATATTCGTGTTTGCTTAATTAACGCAATTGTTAATAAGTGTCCCACCTGCTGATGCTTCTTTGTTTTGAAGTTTATTGTTAATAGAAATCAACGTTTCCAAAACTTCAGAGCTTGGACTTTTATGAAACTGTTCTTCTTTGTAATGAAGTGCCTTAGCTGCAGAGTGAGGGAGGAATAAACAGTAATAAACACCAAATGTAAATAGATAAATAGAAAGTGAACACAATAACTGCGGTTAATAAGAACATGTCGTTTACCATAAGCGCAACAAGACATTGCTCTCTCGCCCAAGAACTCGGGCTCCAACGGCAATGGACCCTGCAGATTTCAAGTTTCAATTAGTGGCACAATGATAAATGACCTGTAAATGTCATTAATTATTATAACCTTATCACAGTGTTCCATGAATTCTGCCAAATTCAGAATAATTTGAGTAATTTCTGGCAAATCATCAACCATTAAAGCTTGTCGTAAGCTAGCAATCAGTTCATTCTGCTGTTCTTCTTGCAATTCCGTCCAACAAGAAACAAATGCGGCGTTGAATAAATCTCTGGGTAGTTGGGCATATGTCTGCGCAAGATTATGACAAGCACGAAGACTTGGAGATGGGGATTCTTTAATTTAAAGAACCAAACAAATTATCAAAACATCACAAGAGAAGAGAATCTTAAGAATCTTGAAAGAAATTAATTACCTTTAAGAAATTCAATCGACAATCTTCTCATCCACTCTAACCAATCTTCTTTAGAAACTCGTCGTGATGCAGTCCAAGCCCTTTGAAGATTTGCTGTGGACACATGGAACTATATCGAATCAAATAAAAATATTACATAATGTCTTACATGTTTCAAGCATGATTATATTTAATCAAACGTCTTACCCTGTTAATAGAATAAGTGTCCATTGCAGTCAACCCCATCATATTTCTGGATCGACTGTATGTCCTTTGCTTGATCCTGGATAACTGTGTGATCTCGTTATCATCTCCTTCCGAAAAATAGTCATCCTTACATTTATACAGGACGAGAGTATCGTAACGGGAGTGCTTAATGTTGTGTTTCTTTAATATTCTTTGAACCATTGGAGTGAAAACTTGAAACTTGGGCCCAAACTGGATAACTAAACTCGCCAACGTATCCATGCAATTGTCGCGAAGCTCTGGTGTAACGTCCAAGGTACGAACAAGGGGATGGACGATTCTACAACAATAGTAATAAGGACATCTTAGTTTGCTTCAGAGACTCATCCTCAGTGGCAACAAATTTACCACAAGATAGTATTTTTTTTTTAACTTTTAATTGTTGCATGTACCTGCTGGCAAAATCTGAAAAATTAAGAGTGCAAGATAGTTGTTCAATAGTTTCCAGTGCAATCCGCTTAACACTAAGAGGAACTTCAGGATTGTCTAATAGTTTAACGATCGGAGGCAGCAGAAGGTGTAAAAATTCATCCAAATTTGTTCCAAATTTTTGTAAAGCATTCAGAAGCTAAAACAAAAATGGTTATTAAATCAGTATTAAACTTGTTTCATTTATCTTCGAGCAAAGTTATTTGAAAATAAGATAAAAATACTGAACTTACATTTGCAGTTACGACTCTATCTTTGCTGATATCATATACTAAAACTTTCAACATTAGAGGGATTAATTTTGCTAAATAAACTTTGAATTCTGATCCGAGTGCAATCGCTATTTGCTCAACCACGAGAATGATAGTCACTTGTAAGGAAGGATTGACCATCCAAAACTCCTAGAAACATACATATATATTTAAAAATTAACCAAGTTGTATGAAGGTTTGATTAGTCCTACCTTGATTAGAGTAAAAATGTCATCGAGGTAACTTCTAATATGTTGTTTAACAATTGCAATCAACATGCCCAATTGTTGAAAAAGAAAGTCTTTATATTGCATTTCGGTGGTTCTGATAACTTGAATAAGGCACGGAATAACTTGAGGAATGTACGTAACACAGCTTACGTTCAAAGACTTGAAGACGAATGTGACAGCCTATAAAATTAATCATGTCATGCGCTATATACCCATGTATATATTTAATACTAATGGTAAGTTTAATAAGATTCATACTTGTACTACTGATGTGTGGTGCTGAGCGAGGGTATTGTCTCTGATTATTCTCATCAGCGTTGCAATCGCAATTGATGGGTAAAATTCGTCAAGAGTGGCATTGGACATGTGAATCAACATTTCACTCGTGCTCATTTCTAAGAATATTTAAAAATTTACATAAGTCACTCGTTATAAATTTGTCAACGACTAAAATACCTTGGACTGATTCAATTTCAGACTTTGGGTCCGTCATTGAAACCAGAGCTATAGCATTCCCTTCAACGTCAATTTGACCAAGGTGCATTTTATGTTTGTAAGGATCTAAGGCTCCCAACAATCCTAGTACTCGAATTGTTCCACGACTAGAATCATATGAAGGTGAATATGAGTATCAATTTACTCGTGTATTTAAAATTTTCACATACCGAACGAAATGTTGTTGCTCTGTTTTTAGGAATGATAGCAGTGTGTCTAGCAATGTTGGAAACTTTTGATATGGAGTAACAACAGAACCGGTATTTTCAACTAGCTGTCCTAATGTCCATAACGCAAAACCTCGTTGTGTTGGAGCACCAGAGTCATTAAGCATGTCTAACAGCACAGTCAAAAGATCCGGGACAGTGCTATACATTTCCTTTCCGGCAACCTACATATATTTAAAAGTACCAATGTAGCCGCTGATAATATTTTAAATATATAACACATTGTTTAAAATGTGTGATATAATAGTAGACAAACTAACCTGTGCTAAATCTCCGAGTGTCACAAGAATGTTAATCACCACTCCGGGATTGGGGTCGGTATCTTTCAGTTTTCGCATTAGAGCTTTCAAGACGGGATCTTTGTATGATTTCATCAATTTAGGACTTGTGGATACTAAATGTCCCAGCATTCTAGCAGCCTGCTCTTTGTTTCTGCCCATTCCAGAATATTCAAGCTCGTTCAAAATCTTGAAACAGAAAAATTATTACATGCTAAACTTCCTCCAAGCAGAAGAAATTTTTAAATCAACTAACCTGGACCAAAACTTTCCGCAGCCCGGGTAAAACATAGGCTGGGTTGATTAGACTCAGTCTTCCAATAGTGCACAGTGCAATTTCTCGGATTTCAAAAACTTCGTCGTGTAATGCCACAAATAATGCAGACAAATTTTCAGGCTGACTTAGGTAACTATCAAATATTTCGTCAAGATTTTCGAGAACACTAAATCGAACTTCTGGATCTGCGCAAATGAAGGATTTGTTCACTGATGTAGACAGCCAGTACACGTGTGATGGGTTTATTTTATCACTGTACCTGAATCCGTAATTCCGACAACTAGTAGTTTATTTAAAACATCAGCAACGGTTGTAGTCACAGTGTGAGAATACCTGCCTTCTAAACCCTATATATTTTCAGATTTTAAACTATTAAATTTAATCGATATAATCACACATGCTCAGAAATATTCTAACGCCAGGTTACCTGAATAGCCATGCGAAGTAATGTGCTACATGTTCTTACTGCTTCAAGTCGAATCTCTATTCACCACAAAAATTAAAGAATAATTGAATGTAAATAATTGGAATTTTCAGTTAAATTGGTACTCATTGTTTTGTAATTATACCATTTGTGTGAAACGAATAATTTTAAATGACAAAAATAATGTATATACCTTTGCAATCGGAAGTTAAAAATACATCTGCACAATGTTTAACGAATTGAATAACGGAATTTCCTGGTAAATATAAAAAATATCATATTTTATAATACAGAGTATCTATACTATCTGTTAAAATATAATAACTAAATTAATGATTATCGCAACTTACCATCAACATCAAACTTTGCAAGTGTCTCGAGTGCCAAAACAACACTTGCGTTATCCCCGCTATCGCCAGAGGAAGATCCAGACGCGACACCACTAATATTTGTGGAAACTGTACCTGCAGTCGACGAGGCTATATTAGAAGATCCAGAAAACGTTTGCATGAAATTCTTTGGCATGCCGGGATGTCTCCAAGGCTGGTTCATGAGAATTTGACTTAAAATTTTCAAAAGACCGTCATTTATCTCTTTCTTTAAGGAAGGAATCTGAATTTGAATCTCTCGTAGAGCTGTAGTAAGTGCAGGGCTCAATCCAGTAGCCAGCATGGAATCTAACATTTCTAAAATATCTTCGCGGATTGCAGATTTTGTAGAAATAGATAGTAAGGTTAGACATGTGAATATGGAAGGGTCGAATTTCAAGTTTTTTCTCGGCGTCTCCTTTGTTAAAAATATCTATAAAGCATAATTACTTTATTTAACCACCCAGCGAATGTACATTGTAATGCAAATAATAATGGTTGTTGATATTAAGCTACCTTGCTTGGGAGAGCAGATCGTACAAACTCCATGATTTTTGGCAAATATGATTTAATGTTCCCGTCAACAGCAATGGATAAAAGTCCAATTGTTATAAACGGGTCGCTTCTTTCCTTGTTTCTCAGACTTTGCAGTAAATAGTTCATACTTGTTGAAAGTGGACTGGCCATGCTGAAATATTAAGACATCAATTGATCTATTATTGGATTGTACTTCACTTATTATATATTCGCTTAGTTGGTCCAGGGTTATTCTCACGCTCTTACCCAGCTTTGGTCGCTGGTGCTTGGCAAAATAACTCTTGGTTAAAAGCTGCCAGACGTGGGAGTATCATGAATAAAGCTTGTTGAACATATGGGCTCCGAGAATTTCGTTGTTCTAATACTTGACGACAAATCTCCAGGAAATTTTCACTAACAATGGTTTTACATGCCATTGACTCTGTGAAAGTTAAAGTTTGATCCCCAGCCCCACTTCCAATCCCAGTGTTGAACTCATCCGTCATTGACGAGTGGTGTAAATGAATCCCAGGATGGCCAAGGCTTAAATTGGAAATTCCAGGACTGGATGAAGAATTTATTAACTTTCCACCTACGCGTTTGCCAGCATGACGTCGAGCTGAGAAGGTGAATGCAATTATGTATTACTTATCTTATGAATAAGGAAATTATTTAAATTAGAACTTAAATTTACCTTTCCATCGTGGAAAAAATTGGGATAAAATATCTTGCGTAAGTTGATGCTGAAACATAATGTAAAATGTTCGGATAATATTTAATAAACAACATATTTATACACCACGGATAGAAATTATATTAGTCCACATACCGCTGATCGGCCCAAACTTGCTGCACCACCACTCCCAGCAGAATAGTCAGCAAGACATCCACTTAATTTCTCCCTCAACTCCCAGAATTGCCGTTCCCATTCAGCATTGGAACACCTTAAAAGTTCATTCAAAACGAGCATGCTCCCGTGGCACCTGTCATCCTTTGTTATACCCTTCTCTTTGCCTCCTTGACCGCTCTGCTCCCCAATAAACCCCACTTTTGCCTCTTCGAAGCATTGTTTGTAATAGTGTGTCTGTGTTTGAGTTTTCTCTCTCTGAGCTGTAACGATCAAAGCATGACGCAAAGCTTTAACTGCTCCCTCACGGATATTGGGCTTGGGGTCCCTGACAGCATTGAATATAACATCAAAAAACTGTTGAACTTGTTGAAAGAAAAATGTTGGTGTTGCGACAGCGAGTTCTGCAAATGTAAATCAATAAAAAATAGCCATCCTTTAACCTGTGCTTTGCTTAAACGATAAATCAATTATAATTTTAATCTTGATGTATGGATACTGTTCTCTACCTTTAAGAACTAAAACTGCTGCCAGTCGCTTCCCTTCATGTCTTTCCGAAGCAGATAACCACTCAAAGGCCCGCTTCACTTCCACGTCGATGTACTCTGTAGAATAGGTTCCAGAAACCAAGGCAAGTTTCCCAACTGCTTTAGCTGATGGACAACATATTTACATATTTTTAATATAAACAACTCTCCCGTGTCTATGCAAAGCTGTACTGAGAGGTTATTTTAAATGTAATTTGTCTTACCTGCCAATTCCATGACCTCAACATCGTTCGAGGGGAATGTATTTCTCAAATAGTTGGCAAATCTGGATATTCTTGTAGAAGTGTTCCCAACATCGACGCCGATTAAGGACTCTAAACAATATAAAATAAGGCAGAATAAGCAAGCGTTCTGTTACATATGGTATATAATTCGTGTATTTAGTTCTTAATAATTTACCTATGGCAAGAATTGCGCCTTTTCGTTCATTTACGTCATGACTAGAAACCATATCGAAAATCAAGTGGTTAAACTCGTCCATAAAGTTTGAAAGTTCTTCAACTGGGACTTCTCTGAGTTCTGTAGTGACCTAATTATTCATGTATTCCAAAAATTGAGAAATTACATAATTAGACTATAAAAACGAATTAATTATATGTACAGTTTTCTTCTTACATAGTGATACAAGTCACGGGCAGCTTTACAGCGAACCTCTTCATTCTTATTTTTTAAACCCGTTACAAACTGGTTCATGATTGCTACCGAGTTTGAACCATTAGTTCTAAACATGGATCCTCTGTTCTGGTAAGTCGCCTGCTTAGACCTGGATGACGACGAGGAGTACATTTTATTCCTTACTTACGGGGGACGAAAAACGGCGATAAATGGATGTCAAATACGTGTTCAGTATCAATACATCATCCGGCAACACGCTTCGTCTTTCTTAACGCCTACATTTCGAATTTGTCCAGATTTCTATTTGTGCGTTCAGCGTCGTTAATCTCTGAGTAAACCTGAAAGTTCAAAAATTATACGAATACAAATTATCATCGGGAATTTACCCATAAAATATTAATTTTGTTGAAGTTTATAAAAACACATCTTCACATACCTTTTACTACTTGAAATATTCTGAAAATTCCACGATTGTCAAGAGTAGAAAGCAATTATTGAATTATTAAGCGTTCAAGTTATACACATAAATCAGAAACCAAAAATTATAGTAGTTTTTTGCGGTTATTGCGATGTTGTTTACCAGTCTATTATTATTATGCGGAGAAATGCGGTTCAGAGTTGGAGCCACCCAACAATAATAAACCCAAAGTCTCGCTTTGAGACGGTGATCCTACACCATGATCAATTTCGAATTGCTACCCATTCACCGGTCGCAATTTGATGAGAGAAATTGGCATCATTTTATGGCTTCAGTAAAATTACAATTTTTGCATATGCATTATCTGGGATATTATTATTATATTATTTTACATCCCCAGCGGCCAGAAAATCAGATCAAGCAAGTATTAGAGTTGGAGTTGCGATGCCCCTCGCAGCCCTTCTTGAATATGCTGAATGCGCCAAGAAAGCTAGCCATGCTTTTGAGAAGCAGACGGCGTGAAAAAAATCTAATCAAACTGCTATTAAAATTTAGACAATTAAAGAGTGATTTTGTCCTCGGATTACGCAGGTATAGTTGCTGATATATATTTCTACTGTACTTACTACCTTCCCTTGTGTCCTATGACGTGTACGGTATAAAAATTAAGGATGAAGTTGATCTTTTGTTGATTTACAGTTCATTTACAACAATACTACATAAGTTAAATGGCAGACTTGGTGAAAACCATAGAAGACGACGACGTGCCCGAAGACCTGTCTGAGGATTCTGCGTCAGAAGATGAGGTATAAAATGCGTCAAAGTTACTGTAGGTTAGATCTTGCATGTTATGTTCAGGTTTATTATAAATTGTATTTTGTATTATTTAGTTTCAGCCAACAAGAAAACGAGCCAAGACTACGGACGGAAAGAGTGGGGGGCTGGACCCAACCTTTGAGTTTGGGCAATTTACACAAGATGTTTGGGCAGACAGATGGGTTCAAACGGCAAAGAAGAAAAAAAAGATAACTTCCACATTGGATGAAAAAATCCACAAGAGAATTCTTGTTGGGGATGATGAGAACCAAGTCGAAATTAAGGAAGAAAGTGGAAACTCATCATCCGAGGAAGAATCAGAGGATGAAGAGTCTGATGAGCTGGAATCTGACAATTCAATTTCTGCTTCAACCAATAACGGAAATAAAAAGAAACTTGGCAAAAAACAGAGCAAATCAAATAAGAAAATTGCGCAAGATGATGATGATATTTTACTATCGGATGATGAGTTACAGGAAGATAAGGTCGTTGCGAAAGGGAAGAGTGCCAAAGGGAATAAAAAAGGAAAAAAGAGTGTTGAAGATGAAGAAGATGTGAAAGAAGAAATTAGACTCGAGGATGATCCGGATTATGTTTTCGAAACCAACATGTCGTTTCAACAAATGAATCTTTCTCGTCCATTATTAAAGGTGAAGTTTAATTATTTCAGTAGAAACATTTATTTCCTAACTCTATTTTCAATTATTTGCTTTACTCTTAATTGTAGGCAATTACATCACTTGGTTTTGTTCATCCAACACCTATTCAAGCTGCTGCTATTCCTATTGCCCTTGGTGGGAGGGACATATGTGGATGTGCTGCCACCGGGACTGGAAAAACGGCTGCATATATGCTGCCTGTATTAGAAAGACTATTGTATAAAGTTCGTACATAAATACTGATGTAATAATCATATGAATAATACGTATTATTTATTTGGATTAATTGTTTTTGTAAACAGCCGAAAATTGAATCAGTAACTCGAGTTTTGTGTTTGGTTCCCACACGTGAGTTGGGTGTGCAGGTTTATCAAGTGACCAAGAATTTGGCGTCTTTTTCTAACGATATCGAGGTAATAATATTTTGTTTGTTGGATTGAATTTTTTTTTCTAAGCCATGACTATTGTTCTCCCTAAATTAGATTGGATTGGCTGTAGGAGGATTAGGTAATTTTAATAATCACTATTATTTCATTTGGACTTTCATTAATTTTAATTAATTTTAATTCTTGTAGATATTCAGCAACAAGAATCAGTCCTCAGACAAAATCCTGACGTTGTGATTGCCACACCTGGTCGTTTAATTGATCATTTGGGAAACACTCCTTCTTTTAATTTGGCCTCCATTGAAATTTTAATTTTAGACGAAGCTGACAGGTGCTCATGATATACATTTTGGGAACATTCCCAGCTAGTGAGGCAACAAGTACTAAAGATGTTAATAAATATTTGTAGGATGTTGGACGATTGGTTTGCAGAACAATTAAAAGAAATTGTCAAACAATGTAGTCCTCGTCGCCAAACTCTATTATTTTCTGCAACAATGACAGGTAATACATATTAATAATGCAAGCAATAGCGTTTATTTGAGTTTTAAATGTAGTGCGTCACTTTGAATGTACATACAAATACATTATTTTTCAGATAAGGTTAAGGATTTAGCCTCTGTTTCGCTAAAAAATCCATGCAAAATCTTTGTCGATTCAAATAAACAAGTCGCATTCAATCTTCGTCAACAATTTGTAAAGTAAGATTTATATCACTCAGTCTGTCTAAATCTTAATAAATGCACTCTTGACATTATTATTTATTATGCAGGATTCGGAATGAAACCGACCGGGAAGCCGTTCTTTGTGCTTTGATTGTGAGAACTTTTCACAATAAGACTATGGTTTTTGTCCCAACAAAAAAAATTGCTCACCGTCTTCATATCGTGTTGGGGCTTATGGGTATACGAATCGGAGAGTTGCATGGAGATTTGATACAAAGTCAGCGTCTTGAAGCATTAAAAAAATTCCAATCTAGTGAGGTTGACGTCTTGATGGTGACAGATGTTGCTGCGAGAGGTAATTTAATCCATATTTGGTAAGTCTACCATGTTATAATTTAATCTATTCCTAGGTCTGGACATTCCTGGTGTGCAAAGTGTCGTCAATTATACAATGCCTCCAACTGTCGAACAGTATATTCATCGATGTGGCAGAACAGCTCGAGCAGGACGTTCAGGTGTTGCGGTGTCTCTCGTAGGAGAAAATGACCGAAAATTGATGAAACAAGTAGCTAAAGCAGCCACAAATCCTGTGAAAGCGAGAATTATTCCACCAGGTGAACAATCACACCTTATTCTATTATTAAATGCAAACACATAGTTAATTTAAAAGTTCATTAAAAATATAAATCCGATTTGTATAATTTGTAGAAATTATTGCAAAATATCGAGACAAACTGAAACCTTTGGAAGCCGAAATTGAGTCAATCATGCAAGAGGAAGAAGCCGAGAAAACTCTCGTGCGAGCTGAAATTGAAGCAAACAAGGCAATTAAAATGATTCAGGAAAAGAAGAGTAAGAGAAAGAAGAAGCGAAACGGACCTCCAGAGCCTGACACGAAATCACGCAACTGGTTTCAATCACAAAAGGATAGAAAAGATGGTAAACACACATTTATTGTTGTATCAATTACCTTCGTTGGCAGTAAAAATGAATTATGATACAGGATGCGTACTGTACACTATTACTAATATGATACAGATCTTAAACGTGTAAAAAATTACAGAACATGATAAACTGCAAGGACGGAACCCTGCAAAACTCAGAAAAGCCATTGCGTCAGCACAAGAAGACATGCAACTCAGAAAACTAGTTGACTTCCAGAAAAGACAAGTTAAAGGCAAAAAGAAAGGAAGGAAGCCACAGGCATTTGACAACGATACACCTAAAAACGGCGTTGGGCCAAAGAAAAATAAGAAAAAGTCTTATTTTGATGAGGAACTTACAGATGTCAAAAACGCTAGAGCTTTTCGTCATCAAGGTTTTAAAAATGAAGGAAAGGGACAAAAACCTAAGGGTAAGGATGACGGAGGTTCAAAAAAGCAAAGTAAGGGAACTCCCAGATCTAATGTTAATAAATCCGATAGAAAGTTTAGTCAGAAGATGAAAAATAAAGCAAGATAATCAATTTGGTTATTGAATTTATAGTTACTAATTTTTAAGTGTTGAGGTAACGTGAGACTAAAATTATTATCTGACGAATAAATTTGACTAACAAGAAAATTAAATAATTATAGAGGATCATTTTGTTTAATGGATATTTTTTCACATTCATTTTTCACATTCACGATTACTTTGTAAAGTTGAGACCATTTTTTATTCAAGTTTTTACTTGAATTATTTAAATTATAAGTATTAGTTACACGCTCATTACGAGAGATGATAATAAATTCTATTCAAAGCATTATTTAATACGACTAAACCGTTTTTGATTCAGTTTTTTTTGTTTTTTACACTTGAACCACTCATTATTATTTGTCTTTTGTCATACGCAGTGACTTCCTTACTACATAATCCTTAGGGTTTTCCAAACAAGCATACATCACTTGACGATGGTCATTGTGTCAATAAAGTCATTTGATGACAAACTCGCGTTGCACAATTAAATAAAAATGTCTACTCATTCACCCCGATGGTGATTATTGAAGTTCTTGGTGAACAAGTTTACCTTACGTTTGGGTTTAACTGCCGGCTTATGAACAAAGCTCGGATAATGATTAACAGAATAGACTGTGGGTTAGGTGTTCTTGATCCATGTTGCGTGCTAAATAATTCTATTCCTCACCCCTTAATCCAGCTATTTAAAGTAAAAATAAATAATCCCTAACCCTAAACGTAATAATTAACTAATCCAACAATCCAAGCTTTAGATTAGAATTAGTTTGTGGATTACATTTCCTCCATCTATTGGTAATAAAATTAGTAAATTGTATGTAATATTTAGTAATTTGTAGTAATTCACTCGGTAATATTTGTTTAAAATGCATGCAAGTTTATCTTACCTTATATGCAAGTTAAACATGTAATACATATGTAAATCCTTAATCACGAAATTAATCGGTAATTTTATCCCAATGCCGCAAAAATATAATGAAAAAGTAGTCCCGAATTAATCTAATCCCAAAATTTTATGGACTCTAATGCATTAATTTAATCCCTAATTCTTAATCCAAACAAAAATTTAATTAATTTCCGAGCTCTGCTTATGAACAATGCAAAATGTTTTCCACCTATTTTATATATAACTTGTACTACTATTATGTTTTATAATAACTTTTTTTGTATAACTTTTATAAATGACTTGTCCTTGATGAATTTTGAGCAGTCGGTTTTAGGTGAATTATTAAAGTACACATTTTTTGGTCTGATATGAATTTTTAATATGGGAGGCAAAGTGTCTTTTTGTTTAGTTATAGATGCGGTTTTCCAATGAATGCCATAAACTATGTCATACATTCGTAAATATATTATAAAGTGATACAATGTATGTAAGCTGCAGGTCAGCATGATCACACGCGTCTGGTTAGTACTTCGGATTACAACACCGTTTTTTAATAACAGGTTCCAGCCTTATATCGACATATGCATCACTTCTCAAAGTTATAAAGTTACTATAATGCCTATTTTCCTCGTTGTTCTCTATTTACTTAATTATTTTAATTAAGGAAAGTCCAGACAAAGGAATTACGGGTTTCGTTATACTCGTGCAGTGTTTAAATGCATACTAGAATAAACACATGACTGTAAATGTATTTATACACATACGTACATATGCTCCTGGACGATATTTTTCAATACTACGAGTGCGTTACTGTACATACATAAATATATCTATCTTGCGCAATGACAAAGTATTATGACGAATTCACATCACTATGTCAATCTTTATGAGCTCAGAGCAATCTTGAGAACTCTTTTAATACGAAGTTGATATATGTAAACGTTTGATTCAGATATTGAGAATGCATGCAAGGCGATTGTTGTACGTGTTGACCATTATTTCATACCATGAGTTTTCTTTCTAAATGGATACACATACTTTGTTTGACAAAGGCCAGACAGATATAAGCGCATCAATTTGTTTCATGCAGTCTGCTTAAAGAAGTTAACAAAGCAGTAGCAACTTTGAAAATGGCACAAGCAAAATTGAACAACATTTCTTCATTTATTAGTTTTACGGTTTTGGTCGTGTTCGGTGTCATACAGCTCAGCGACGCCCAGTACATTACGCTCGGATTATGTCCACGGATTGGGGGCATGCGAGACTTCAATATCTCACGGGTTTGAAATATACTTAACTGATCGTATCATGCAATGGCATCAATTGATGTACAGCTTAAAATTTTCCCCGATTTTTGTGTGCAGTATGAAGGGCTATGGTACGAAGTGGAAAAATATTGGTTTGCAGTCGAAGCCACGGCGTCTTGTGTGAGTTGATTTCATACATCGGCAGATTAATTGTTAAATACACAAAAGAAGGGCAATTACTTACCACATTGCAGACCAACGTGCGTTATGTGGCCAATCCAGATGGAACGTTTGGAGTGGAAATTAACATGCTGGAAGAAATGTGCGTGTTTCCATTTCAAAAATTTATTAATTGTACTTAGTTATGTACAATTTTACATACTCGTACAGTTGACTTTTGCATATTTAGCGCAAACAATGTAAGACCGTTTATTGTTTAACAGAACCAGGACAAAAATGTCCATGCCTGGAGTCACCTGGTACCGGAGTAGAGACGGAAGTGCAGATTTCATGCTGGATTTATTAGTTACACAAAGTCCAATTCCATGTAAGAAATTTGTTAATGTTATTAATTTCTATCAAAGTCTTGTTTCTCATCTCTGCCATGATGACAAATACATATGCGAGTGTAGCCCTTGTCACTTTAATCTTGAAGGCCTCGGTTTAATTTAGTACTTTAGCTCTTTTAATTGGAATCTCCAACAGGGCCGAAGGTCTGTCGTGTATTGCATTGATTGTTGGTGCACATTGTATTGTTACATAAATGTTGTTACTCACGGACATTACGATCTCTTATGCATGCAGAGCTCGCGCTATAAATAAATGTCATTTAGTAATTACTCGACAAATATGAAATTATTAATGCTAAATGGACGAAAATGTATTGCAGTTCATTTTAAATATCCATATCTGGTGTTGGACACGGACTATGATAATTACACTATAAAATATTTATGCAAGCAATTGGGACCTTTCAGCGCTCGTGAGTCTCATTTTTATATGCAAACCATTTTGTGACATTTGCTGCCAGATCGCAAATTTGTAATTCCTCTCAAACAGAAACAATGTGGGTCTTATCCCGAGAAAAGTCACTTTCTCCAGAATCCAGGGAACACATTTACAACTTTTTACGCCGAGTTGGCATCAATGTCCAGGTAAATAATTGATATACTCTCAATACATAAAAGACATGTAAATGCCTTTTCATCAATTTTTTTTTGTTTTAGAAATTAAGAAGGTCGAATACAAGTACGTGTGGTGATATCGGGAAATGATCACCATTAGTTTTAAGAGGTTAATTAACAAGTATTAAAATTTTGGCGACATATTTCTTTAGCACACTTTCCTACGTTTATGTTCATAGTTCTTACTAGATGAATTTGGAAATCATCATAATTTTATCACGATTGAAGATCAGTAATACATACACAATTATTAGGTTATTTGTGTTGCTTCTTCCAATTTTATATGGGGTTTTAGAACATGGTCAGCCTTTTAATTTACTGATAATTCACTATTACATGATAGAATTTAATATTCAGTCAGGTTAGACTTAAATCGTGGTAAGTGTAAATATTCAATAGATTACATTGTCCTAAAACTAAAGTTCCTAAGCTTTATATTTTGTTACTTACCTAAAGTACTCTGTAAACTATTCTACTAACGTATCGTATGTACATGCATAACCAATTTAAACAGTGTATCAATTGGATCACAATAGAAGAAAACAAACCACTAAATAAATTGGAGTTTCATGCCACAAACTACGAATTGAAAATGACACAAGGCTGAACATGGTGTTGCGAGACCATAAGTTTATAAAAATCGTCAGTTTAGCAATTGAAGAAACCGTTTGTTGGGAATCTTTACTCGGTAATCAATTTGAAACACGCAAGTTTTCAAAAGTATATTTTCATTGAAGAAGAAAAATGCATGTAGCAAATAGTAAATACCATTCACGCATACCAGTCAACACCGCACAATTACTCGATTTGGTTGTGGTTTTATACAAATAATTTTTATCAAGAAGCAGAATTTGTGAATGTATACATATGTATGTACGTAGATATGGTCATGAAGTTTACAGTGTACACAGCGCTGGCTGGAATAAATAAAAACGTCACCAAAAATGTTCGTTTGTCGTAGGAATGACTTATTGAAACATCCCATGATTACGATGAATGTCAATCAAGTGGTATTCTTACAAACAAAATACGTATATGCGTGCCTGCAGTATTGATTAAATCTTTTTGACCTTTGCACCTCTGAAATCATTGCTCCATTTCAGATCAGTAAGTTCAGACTGCTATTCGGCTTTTGTATCTTAAGTTGAGCTTACAAGTTTCTGGCTAAATCTAAATTATAATTAGTGCATCAGCAGATTCAGTTTTGACTGCAATTCAGTTTAATTTTGTTACGAAAAATTTTGTATTAAAATGTCTGTGTATTTGGGCCTGGTTTACGTAATTCTTATTATGAATTTGGTTGACGTTAGTACAGGATTAAATAATGAATCAACAATAAATCATTACCATTTTCACGTATACTTTTTCCAAAACAATGTGGAGAATACGAGGGAGGCATTAGATTTAAGGTAGGTATTTGGTGGATGAGCAAATTTGGCCACATATTCACGTGCTGTTTATTCTCTCGATTTCAGAGAAGCGATCCAACAACAAATCAACAATGGAGATTTGGCAAGTTGCAGATTGAATGTGGTCAACACTGGACCTCGAGGCCCACATCCGGTTGGAAGTTATGAAACTTGTTGTAATTCGACATCCATCCCTTTTGCTCTCTCATTTTTTATGCAAAATCATGGGAATTTGTCTGTGTTGCTGCATCCTCTCACCCGAATGGAAGTTCTGGATCACACCAAGCGAGCAATGTTTTTGGGTCCAAAGCTTCCTTTGGATACTAGCGTTTTGGCCGAAGACTTGGGGGAAAACTTAGATATTTGTCGCCCATTCCTTAATCAGGAACCTCAAGTTGACGCTCCGAGAGCCCTTTCCGTTAGGAGTGGTTTTCACAATTGGTTTCTCCCATTAAACTGGTCCACGAATTCCATTTGGTCAGGTGAACATATTGTGCCCGATTCCATGAAGTTGTCTCCAAGTGAGGCACAAACCCATTCCAAAACATGACATGCTTTGAGTTGAGAATTTGAGAATTGTGGATTACCGATTAAGCTATTACATCTTTTTTGCAACATTTTGTTCGTTGTAAGTACTTTTTTGTTTTAATTTTTGGTATCTGCACAAAAGTTAAATATTTATAAACAATATAATTAAAATGCATAGTGGTCTTAAATATAATAAATTTCATTAAACTTCTACTCGGATATTTACATGTGCATATTTATCGACATATGTACCACATATATATCATATTTATATATTTTCCGGTGGCTGGCGAAACATAAGGAATATGGGGGACGGAGGGATTGAAGTTCATAAATGATGCTGGGAGGAGGATGTCACTGGACCAATGTTGACATCATTGCTTATTCAAAAGATCAGTTTGAGCATTACACGTGGGAATGCAGTTTCAATCATGGAGCTGTCACGATTCGGGACTCCCGAATACACAAGAATTGGAAGAATTATTTTATGTTTTGAATGATACGTATGTTAATTTATGTGCAAAAATCTTTCAAGGGGCCGAGTTCTGATTTCCGACGCCTATCCGAATCAAGTATAAGTTTTCCCAATTCACTAACATCGGGATTTGCCTCTACTCGTCAAGCTAACTGAATGTATTTCATATTTATCAATCTGTTTGTGTTTAATAAGTCAAAAGATATGACTTGTAGAAATTTCATGTTACTTATCCATCACGGTGCTTGATGCCATCCAACTTAGCGACATGCAACTAACAAATTAAGAAATTATCGGTTGATGTGAGAGATTTGTCCATGGTCCTCAAACCAAGTATGCAACCATAAGTATAATTAAGCAAAAACTTGCTCCATTAATCCCAAGCCCACGTATTTAAACATGGTTCAATTATTCAAATGAGTTCGACAAAAGCATAAATAAATAAGCGCTTCAGTGTCATTGTTTATTCATTGTTATTTAGAATCCCATTGTTTTAATGAATAAACAGAACCAAAGTCCGTTCCTAGAACACTTTTGCTAAAATATATAGTCTCTTGGTCCATGGGTGATAACTCGGTCACACATCAATTATTTCTTCAGTTAGCAAAAGTCTACATAAATATCGTGTGCTTTTATATAAACCAAGTTGACTCTGACAATGGAGGCGCAAACCATGTTCAGCCCAGATATTTTTTTGACCTTATTAGTTTGAAAGAGCAAGTATTTACAAACAACATTTGGTTCGGCACTTGGGCAGATGCGCAAATTTCAGCACGTTATGGGTGCCGCAAGTTCGCAAAAACGCACGAAGTTGAGCTCGCGCTGGGCATTGCCCGGAAAATCGTGCATTTTTGCGAACTTGCGGCGCCCATAACGTGCTGAAATTTGCGCATCTGCCCAAGTGCCGAACCAAATGTTGTTTGTAAATACTTGCTCTTTCAAACTAATAAGGTCAAAAAAATATCTGGGCTGAACATGGTTTGCGCCTCCATTGTGAGTATTTAATGTCAGATCTAAACTGTGCAAATAGTTAATGTTCTATTATAGAACTATTTATAGAACTTCTATAATTAGTCAAAGTATTTAGTTGGGTCGTCAGTTGCAGGAGGTAGTACTGCGTGATCACCTTCTTTCGAGGAATCTGGATTCATCTGTAATAAACATTTATTATAAGTCAAGAAATTGTATTTGATAATATATTGTCCATCGTTTTAGATCTTGTCTCATTGCATGTACACCTTCAATTTATACATGCAGCATTTTTGTCCCTTTTCAATTGTTTCGCATTATAAAATGGTAAGATACTGTGCACCGCTTGTAAAAAACATATTTTAACATCGGTGGCCTATTTCGAACTTGTTACGCAGGCTGTCACTGGGCATATGCGTATTTTCATTCAACTGAAATTTTAAGTGCAATTTTTGCAAATTTTTGTGGACACCAATTTGTATGTGATTTATCTTCCGCCGGTCACTTAATTTTATCTTAATGGAAGTAATCTATTTAGTTGAAGATTTTTGTCCTTAAAGTTGTACGCTCACACTTTATGTATATATACGTATATGTATGTACGTATTTATGTGTATAAGCTGGGTTCATTATAACGCTCCCATTCATGTTTCAAAACCCCAATTTTATCCACATTTGCTTTATTTGTATCTTTTAATTACATAGTGAGTTAACTACCTAGGTACAGCAATAAGATCACTCAAAGATAGTTAACACGTGTAGGATATGAAGGCATTTTTCCTTGTGTATTTTTTCGATAAAAAATCGTTATTAACAGCATTTACCAAACTCCACACGAGTTTTTAAAATGCCAAGTGTTTAAAGTTAATTTTATAAGCTGCTTTAGGTAAAATAGTTTCGTTCGCATCGACCTGATACTATTTGTAACTATCAAGTAATATTGTTTCTCCGTTCTATTCGTCTCAATTAGATTAAGTTGCTCAGTAGAAGCTCCTGAAAAGGCCATAGGAAATTTATATTACTAAACATCTCGTTGAGAAATACATGCGCGTGAGTATTTTTATTTATTTTTTGCTGAAAACATAAAGTTTGATTTTTAGAACTGGATATTCTTCATTTATTTGTTGCAACTTTTCTTCGTATTTTTTTCGTCTTCACATGCTGTCCATTATTTAAAGAAAATATTAACTCGGATCCGTAAAACGAAAGTTTTCACTGGATTGTCAAATAAAAGTGACACCAACTGTTATTATTAGGAATGACCCACTTCTCATGCCTCAAAAATTGTGGAACAAAATATTCTCCATTCTATTTACATAAGTATGTAATCTGTATATTAGACCGGAGCAGGGTCCGGTTTGTTTTCAAGTTCAATTCAAGAGTTAGAAATGTGCAACTCATTTGGTTATGTTGGCTGAAAGCATGCTAATTAAGCTTTTGTAAAGCTAGTAATTTGCAGCAACAGAAAGTGGAGAGCACGTCATTGAATGAGCAAAAACATGCTGCGAAGCAGCTTTCTGAGAATCACGAAATATTTACAAATTAACTGAGGTCATTCTGACGGACGATAAGAAATGGAACTGGTATTCATTCCATTCCATATCCAGCCCGCAAATTCATATTACATGAACTTGTCTAGCCTACAGAACGCTAAAGTTTTATCCATTCATATGTATATAAATATGTATGTATAGTAGTCAGCACATATGCATTTGTAGCGCAAGGTTGCGTTTATTGTTATTGTGTAGCAAAGCTGTATGTACATAATATTGTGCTATATTCGTCTAAACAATGTACATCCTTTGACCACACGTACATACACATTATGCAATTGATGTATGGCATGTCTCGTTCGCAAATTATAATGATCCGTCCACTGTCCAGCGTTGCAAAAAATAGAATGTTGCATGCATTGAAAAATTACAAAGATCAAATGGAAAAGATGAATCTAATCGCCTATTCTACTGCATCATAGAATATTTGACCTTGATGGTAACCAGTTTCAATTGTATCGTCAGTTTAATTTAATGACAAAAACACCTGAGAATTTAGATAGTTTCACCGGATAAATTTAATTATTTCTGTAATGCAGAAGTCTTTACGGTACCAAGTGTAATTATAAATCTATGCATATTTTAATAAAATGATTCTGAAAATGCTACAAGTAGAAGGAATCAGTGGTGATAGAGAAAATTATTGGCACAACTGCTTAGGCACACTTATAGCTTGAATTACTTTAAATAAACGATGTCAAGACGAAGCTGAAGTTGAGTCTTTAAACTGAATTCTAAAATGCAATTTTCCCCATGTTTTGTATGCATGTAAAGTGTATGCAGTTAAACAACTAGAATCCACTTTCTATATTTCTAAACACATTAGACAATCCTTCAAAAGGGAGGATTAATCTGAAGCTATGAATCACGCAGTGCTATATATAACACACGCTTCAGTTCACGTCATAATGCGCATTAATTGATCGGAATGATAGCGCTGACTATGTCCACTTTATTTTCCACCAGCCCCCCAGCGCTGATCATACCACTTGCACGTCTACTTGATTTAATGCAATAATAAGCTTGCACACAGGTACAGTTAGCTTAGTATGCAAGGTACCTGTTCTAGTATTATTGTGGCAGCAATGATGCACATAGACGCTTCGTGTGACGACTAGTTTAGTCTTCGTGGGGATGTGCGAGTATTTGAGCTTGAATCAATAGAATTTGTAGTCTTTCAAGTTCAGTTTACATAAGATTTCGCGAAGTTGTTGTACATTCGCACGGGAATATGTGCACAGCTAATACTTCTAAAAAATAAAACAGCATGGAGATTTAATAAACTTTAATTAATAGTGAGTGCCTAGGTCAATGTGCAGTACTGATTATTTATCCAACCTGTGCAATCATTCGCAAAGAAACAGGAGTCCAGCTTTCATAGCGTACAAAAAAAGTATGAACTGACCAAGATTACAAGCAGTTTCGTTTGTTGTGTGGTTTGTGAATAGGAATTCAGAGTTTGAATAATACAGAATCATTATTAAATAAGGTCCACGCTTGTGTGATATACCGATTGCCTGTCATTTCATCTACATATACATACATACATATGTATATACTGCGTATGCAAATTAGTACAAGACCTTGTGTAACAATAATCTGTCGTTTTTCATTGTTGATGAGTTATTGGCTCGTCATTGATTGTGATTGTGAAAGTCATGTCATGTCATGTGACTGCAGATTTTAATTAATATGTATTGTAAGCATATGGAGAAATAATTTGACTACAAACGGATGAGAATCTTACTTATATAATCATCATCCACTTGCATTCTATGAAACTGGTTAAAAAACGTCCCACCTGTCTTCCCAGAATCACAGGCAGAATAAATTGAACACGGTCTTTAGTTTTTCATTCATCAGTCCGAAACAATGTCTCAGTGACCATTGACCATAGATCTCTCCGACTCCTGCTTAACTCTGAAATTGGGAATTTGAAAACACGTTATGCTAAACTGAATTTGAATTTACAGAATTTTAGAGATTCTCGTACGTGAGATCTACATAATTCAAAATGGCGAGGTAATAATTATTAATTGTTGAATACCCTGTCATTTTATTACACGTGTACTGGAAACCGTGTTATAATTGTACTTGATAATTATTTTCGTCGTAGCAATAAGAGCGGAGTAGAAAACCGAGCTTTCGAGTACGAAATGTCCGAACCTCAAAGGGACATTAAGAAAATCGACAAGAATGCAAACAACAATGAGAAAAATGGCATTACTGCAGACGATTTCGATGATATCAACGAAAGATGTGGTCTTGGTTGCTTCACTCCAGATTGGATCCAGCAATTCGCCACGAAACGAGCATTCATGGTTGTCTTCACCCTGTTGGGCGTCATCCAGGGAATGTCGTGGTCCTACTTTTCTGCAACCATCTCTACGTTGGAAAAAAGATTCAAAATCAGTTCTGAAACTGCTGGTAAAATGTGCACATGCTAACATTTAATAATTTTGTTATGATTATGACACGTTTTAAGGCTTGGATATTTTTATTAGGCATAGTGATGACCGGAAATGAGATGAGCCAAATAATATTTTCCCTGGTCTTGTCCTACTACGGGGGAAAGGGGCACAGACCAAGATGGATAGCCACAGGGGTTCTATTTTCTGCAATGTCCTGTTTTGTCCTTGCATCTCCACATTTCATCTTCGGCTCTGGAAATGATGCCTTGTCACTAACGCAAGAATATTCTCACCTCTCTCTGGATGGTTCCTCCCACTCTTTTGGGACGAATGGCTCTTCCATTTTCGGTGAGAATTTACATTTTAAAATAGAACGTCTAGTGAAAGTAATTATTTTACATCAAACTTTCTTGTCATTGTCTTGAAAAATTCGTACTTTATTAACATGTTCAGGTGGGTACAAGAAGAGTAAGGTCACATTGTGCAACAGGTCTGGAAGTGGAAAAGGAGAATCGTGTGGAAACGAAGAAACGTACATCGCCCCTTTAATCCTAATATTTTTATCTCAATTCGTGGCCGGCATTGGCGTTCTGCTCTTCTTTACCCTCGGAGGTACATCATTTTTGCCGTTCCATTTTACCATCATGACCGCTTTACCAGTTTTCTAGTTTTTTTTGCATGTCAGTTTTCTCATTCCTTTACAGGCCCATACCTCGATGACAATACGAAACGGAAAAATATCCCTATTGTATTTGGTATGTATGTCTATCATAATTTTCTGATCTGACGCAACGCAACCCTTCGTTTTTAACTCGCTCAATTATTCTCTCAAAATTATTACGATGTAAATGACGGTGAAATTTTTCATTCATCATTCTGGACACGAATCTGAATTGACGATGATTCCATGATTATTGTAATTTGTTCATTCATTCACTGCGACGCAGGGATAACAATGAGCTTACGGTTGATCGGGCCAACCATCGGTTATCTAATTGCATCTGGTGCATTGAAGCTTTACGTTAATCCTCTATTGACACCGATTATTAGCCCGGAGGATCCTAGTTGGATTGGAGCGTGGTGGTTAGGTGAGTCATTTTGTACCATTGCGTTCCATGCACGCATGCAAATTTTCATGCAAAATGTTCATTCTTAGTAAATTGAATGCTTACACAATTGTGTGCAGGTTGGGTAATCTTTGGCACATGCATGACTTTATTTTCCTTCCTCATCGCTTTGTTCCCGAGCCAGTTGAGAAAAAAGCAGGGAGGCAAAGATTTCAAAGAACCAGAACCCAAAGCCATTGAAACAGTTCCAAAACTTTCTGGTATGTTTAAATAAAAAATTAATCTAGTCTCTTTTATTAATTTAATATTGAAAATATACTCTGGCAGACATACCGAAAGCCGTGAAGCTGCTGCTTAAAAACAAGTTAAATGTTTTTAATAACTTGGCCGGAGTATTTTACCTGTTTTCTGGAGTTGGGTTTTGGACCTACATGCCGAAATATATGGTAAAATGAATGGCTTTACACATCTTTATGTTTTTTTATGATCTACTGAAAAAAAATACCTAAAGACTGAAAATTCATTCTAGGAAACAATATTTCTCCAGACGGCATCGAACGCGTCTATCATTTCCGGTTAGTGCCAATATGCATACATGCATTGCAAATAAATAATAGCAATCAGCCAAACTTCCTTTGTAACTAAAATGAATGGGGTTTTAGGCCTGGTGGGAATTTTTTCGCAAGCGACGGGAATGTTGATCTCGGGATTTTTAATATCTCGATTTCGGTTCAGCGCTCGAAAGCTGGCAGCCTGGAATGTTGTGACTGCTTTTCTGTACGTGGCCGTTAAAATTTCATTCACTCAGATTGGTTGTGACGTCGGTAAAATTGCCTTCGGGACGGAGATGACTGACGGAACTTGGAACCTGAGTTCAACCTGTAATCAAGATTGTCATTGCAAAACTAGTAAAATCCTTCCCATCTGTCACAAAGAGGAAAATACCGTGTATTACTCTGCATGTCATGCCGGATGCACAGTTTACGAGAACAATACGATCGGCAATTGCTCCTGTATTCCGGATCCAACGGCCACGGTCACTTTGGGCAATTGTTCTCAGAGCTGCACTCAGATTTTTATTATGTTTTTAGCCATCAGCGCTCTAATCAAGTTTGTCGATGCAACAGGAAGGATTGGAAATATGCTTATATCTTACAGGTACATTTATAAGTACCATTTTGGTGAATGCATGTCATTTAACGTCCTAAATTACCCACTTAACAATTTGTTCATTTGCATATAAATAGATGTGTTAGTTTAGAAGAACGCTCCTTATCGATAGGATTACATATCCTACTCCTAAGCGCTCTAGCATTCTTGCCGTCGCCCATTGTATTTGGACGGATTATTGACAGCGTGTGTCTGGTTTGGGGTGGGTCGGGCTGTGGGAAGAAGGAAAACTGCCTCTTGTATGATGGTCAGCAACTGCGATATCTCTTCAATCTGACCGCAGCAAGTAATATCGCCACATTTAATCCAATGAAATGAAATTGCACTGCATAATTTCGAATGACTTTGTTTAACGCAGGCTTTACATTCATTGGCGGATGCTTCGATTTGGTGGTTTGGTACTTGGCCGAAGATTTAGAACTGTACAAGGAACCCGAACCCTTGAAAGATGGGGTCAGTTCAAATCATCCTGAACAAGAAAAGGAGGGGATCATACCTGGGTAACAATAGAACTCAAGAAATCGTGCATTTTATGGATGACAAAACACATGTGATGAAAGTCTGATTCAAGTAAAAATATTTAATATATGTAATTAAAACTTTGCAAAATTCAGTATTATATATTAAATCTTGACAATGCAATAGTAAATGATTTTATGTATGCCAAATAATAAATGAGAAGATTGATTGTGTCAATATTTAGTAGTGCTAAATAAAATCTGCACTAACAAATTCATGAAAATTATGTCATAATTATATGCAAGGTATGACTAATGGAAATGTAAGAATATGAAATACTTGTCTATGTATATGTATGATATGGATGTGGATAATATTCAATTTGCACATTGATAACGAATAATGATTAGTCTGCCCAATGCTCTAAACCTTTTCTTATCAAATCAGCGATAAGTGGTAATCAAACGCTGAGTGTAATTTAGACCAAATAATCGTGTTCACCGCTCATCACACACTCATTACACATGAACACCGCCGGGGTGGTTAATTTTTGCGAAAAGCGATTCTTTGGTATCTACATATTTAGCTACGTATTGCTCATACCTATGAGCAATAACACTCAAACAGACAATTGTACGCATTAGTGCCAATCTTGAAAGGTGTATACAATTGTCTCGAGTACAAAGGGGCAGAATGTGGATGGACGTAATTCAAGAAGGTGACCAAGAAGAGCCTGACGCACTTCGCAGCGATGACGAGGACACCGTGTACGACAGAAATTCGGAGTTTCGGAGAAACCCGTTTGCGGATGAAGTGCCCACGGAGAGAAGAGGAATGTTGGACGAAAGGGACACTCGGTGCGGCGTTTGGAGTTGGCGACCCGAATTTTTACAGCACTTTGCCACACCAAACGCATTTATTGGGGTGTTTATCGTCACGGGTGTTTTAAATGGAGCATGTTGGTCATATTTTACGTCCTCAATTTCCACAATGGAAAAACGATTACAAATCAGCTCAGAAACGACTGGTACTCTTTCATACAAAATAATTCTAATTCCACATTAATAGAATTAATTACTGATTAAATTACCCATAATTATTCTGATTTCAGGAGCCCTGTTAGCCGGAAGTGAGCTGATGCAAGTAATGATCTCAATCGCTTTATCGTACTTTGTCATAAAGTCCAAACGAATGAAGTTTATCACGTTGGGGGCATCTTTGTGGGCATTGTCATGCTACGTTCTTGCCTCCCACCAAATGTTTTTTGGTTCTGGAAAATATGCGCTGAGTATGACCAGACTTCAAAACGAGGAGCCATCAGTCACTTCTGGGGTGGACGCAGGACTAGAAAATAATCAAAGTATGAAAAATCCTTTCCCTTATATGAATGGCAAGTTCTTGTTAAAAACGAATCTTGAGTATTAACGTAGCCCCTGAAAAATTACATTTTGAATTCTTCTCTGGATTTAGCAGACCGTGTCATGTCGTCGGTCCAACTTTGTCTCAGAGATGTTGAGTATGTGAATAAGTCTGACGTGTACGACTGTCCGCTGGGTGAGGGATCATCATTCCCTGTCACGTTTGTTCTGCTGTCCCAACTATTGTCGGGTACAGGGACCATGTTTTTTCTATCCTCTGGTGGACCATACGTTGAAGATATTGTAATGCCGAATCAACTTCCGATTCTTTTTGGTATAATTAGCAAACACCACTTTTTATACGAAAAATTAGTAATTACTAAAATACTGTGGGCATGTCTTGATAACTAATCTTGTGACATATGGGCAGGCATTACGTTGTCGTTACGACTTATCGGACCATTCCTCGGATACATTTTTGGCTCTGTATTTCTAAGAATATTTATTAGCACGGTATCAACTCCGGCAATCACGGAATATGATCCACGCTGGATGGGAGCTTGGTGGTTGGGTAAGTTTTATAAAAGATTACTATCAAATTGCATCGCTCGAATTGAATGCAAATAATTTTATTGTTTAAAAGGATGGCTTGTATTTGCAATACTCACAACCATCGCTGCAGTCACTTTGGGCATATTTCCATCTCAGATGGCTAGAGAAGTGCTTAAAAAACGGTCCATGACCACTGACACTGGTCCACCACTCCTGTCACTTAACTCTGCTGCCTTGCAATTTAACTCTGCTGAACTAAAAATTGCAAATACGCTTCCAGTTTCCCACAGTAAGTTCAATTCAATTGCATATATGCATGCCCATAAAGTAAAGTACTAATTCCTGATTTGTGCAGATTTCATGAAAACTTTCCTCGTATTTTTCAACAACAATTTGAATTTGTACATCACACTCTCCACCATATTTCACATCTTTGTGGGAATCGGTTATTGGACATTTTTTCCAAAATTCTTGGAAGTTGTATTTCATGAGCCAGCCGCTCAGGCGTCTGTCATGACAGGTATGAAAACTCTTGCGAAATATTTCTTGATTGCATAAGGTCATATGCATACGTAATAATGCCTCTTTGTTTCACTTTATGAATTAGCTTGCGTCACTGTGACATTCAACGCGGCAGGATTGCTCATTAGTGGAGTGGCCATTTCGAAAGTTCTACCTGGTGCAGAACAAGTTTCCTTTTGGAATGCAATGGCCACCGTCGTGCAAATTCTAGTGCTGATTATTATCACTCAATTTGGTTGTGATAGTGGGGACCTCGTGTTTTCACGAGACTCGTCCACCGCAGTTACTGCTGGAGTGACCGTCCCTGGATTGACCACTCCGATAGCTTTCTCGGAAACAACCATGTTGACTTCCACTGAGAACTTGCTCAACGGTTCGGACCTTACTACGGAATCTACGGAATGGTCCACGACCCAAATGATTACGACGACAACCGTTCGAAACAAAAGGCTGGTGTACTTGCACAGCAGCAATTGTAGCGCTGGTTGTGACTGCAAATTGGGTCCGATGATGCCATTGTGTGATGAGAGCAGTGGGCGTACATTCTACTCACCTTGTCATGCGGGGTGCCAATCGGTCAATTATGATGGAAATGAGACCGTTTTCAACGATTGTTCTTGTGTCTCAGAAGGGGCAGTAGTGAAAAATGGATTCTGTGAAGGGCACGGAGGTTGCAGGGCTGGTCTGGTCACAACTCTCATATTAACAGCAATCGCTCAGTTTTTGGGCGGCACTGTAGTCATTGGAAAGATGCTCATTTTCTACAGGTGAATAGTCTACAAATTACGCCGCATTTTTACTAAAAAATCCCTAGAAATCAATATTTGTGTGAATGAGTAACTAAATACTTGAATAAATAGGTCTATGGAATCGGAAGGCCGAAGTCTTGTCATCAGCTTGGGAATATTAATAGTCAGCATATTTGCGATGATCCCAGGTCCAATCATATTTGGTACCGTTGTTGGTAAGGACAATGTGTGCACAAACAATTATAACTTGTCTAAAAGAATTTAATGTGATTTGATGAACAGATTCTGCGTGTCATATTTGGGAGCAAACTTGTAGGGGGAATTTTGGGCACTGTTGGCATGTACTAAAAATAGCATAAAATATTTTTTTCCTCCAAGTACGAAAATATTTATAATTGAGTGCTACGTCTTTTGCACAGTACAACAACAAAATACTGCGATATGGATTCAACCTGACGGCTGCAGGTATCATTCAAATTCTATACATTTCTTAGCTCAGCTCTTTCTATGAATTGTAGACGAATGTATTTATAAGAAAAATATTCACATCGTTCAATGGTGGAAGTTAGTCAGACTAGAGACGCCCGACACAAACAACCACCAGCTAATCAACTGGCACATAATAGAAGCATAATTATTATCAATGCAAATGTGACGAAATGTTGCATCCTCGCACTGCAGTAAACAAGTGCATTCAACAACTTTGAAAACATTTTACGTGGTCGTTTTCCACAGTCAGCCTCCATTTGCATTCATAGAATCAATCATCTATTTCATCAAACATGACAATGCGATGCGATGCATTTTATTTGATATGCAACCTTCAACTGCCTCCTGTCTAGCTTTCCGTGGTCTTCAGTACACTGGATTTTTTATACAGAATTTACTTTGCATGTTAAATAATTATTGGAATATATTTAGGATTCTTGCTCTGTGGAGGCATCTTCGATGTGCTTTTGTGGAGGAAAGTCAAAGTGAAGGACGTGCGATTGTACGACGGAGAAATTGACCATATTCCAAAACCTTCAGCTGGACAAGAATTTGAAGATATGCCAAGAGCACGAATAAGTTCTTCTGCGTACACATAAAACGATTCTAAATGAATCATAAGAACATTTCCAAATGATGTGACAAACTTTTTGCTCTAATTAAATTGTTATGAAGCAGTTTAGCATTTTTATAAGTTAATCATAACGAAGCAATTTAGTCGTATTTATTAATACATACGTTTGTATTGTACTCTTGAAGGCTACTCACTTATTAATGCAGACGTAAATAAATATATGCGCTTCTTGACTTGATAATAATTACCTTCCTGAACATTTTTATCAATAGCACAATGATTGGCTAAAGCTTTTTTGTATAATTTTTTGGAGATGTCTTTTAGATGAACGATTAATAAATTGGCCTATAATCACTTACGTCTTTCCGCAATGTTCATACATTTTTGTGTTAAATGACTGCATTTGTATGAATGGACCATATTCGTATTTGTATGCTTGTACTACCAACCAGAGAACCTCAAAGTTTTACCACAAGTTTGATCGACCTTTGTTTTGATGAAATATTTTTATTTTTTTGTCGCATGTTATACTGTGAAACTGCCTTTGAGATAAGTCTGGTTTTGTATTAAGTACATACATATTAATAATAAAGTCAGTTACATAACCATGAATTAAAAGAGGTCATAGGAAGGAAGGTTTGTGTGTGAAAAATGATAAAGTGCACATAATTTCAGCTCTAGTGCGTGTTGCCATTGAACTTTGTAATTCTTTAACATTGTCTTCCCTCTTAAAACACAACAAGCAAAAGTCATATTTTTGCTAAAAACAAACAAGATGATGCATTTTTTAACACGCTTTTATTCAACGTTGACAAATCTGTGCCAAGTGACAAAATCAAAAGACAGTTTTATCATATTCCTACATAAAATAGGCACGGTCATCTTGAGGATTAAAATTATTAATCGTGCAAGTGCAGCAGTACATAAGACGAGACACAAGAATGAAATTAAATGTCTCCTCCTCCATAATGCTTTTTGATTATTCATTCATTATGCAATTGTGATACCACGACTTTATTAGAATGTAAAAATCAAGGAAGATCCTCTACCTGACGACTGTGACCAACGCCAATTACGCTTACCAACGCTAAAAAATCAGCTTATCCCATTGTACATACACACTTTGCAATTGTGACTTTGCTCATGTTGAGAGTTTTATGCAGAATGTTTTTTCCCCTCAGTCTAAGGCTGAGACTGGGAATAGGAATAAATTTCAATGTTGCAGACGCTCATCGTGCATTATCAAAGTGGTCATTGTGTTGTGATGTGATGTCAAGTTTGTGTCGAATAATACTGATTTAAAATATATTCAAGTCAACTGTGGACGTTAATTAGAAATTGATTCAATTTTTGTCAACAAAATGAAATCTACTCGTGGATTGGTGACTATTTTTCTATTTGCTGGCAAGTCTCATGATTTTATCAAACATTAATTACAAAATTTTAAATGTATCATAATTTGCAATATTTGTTCAACAGAATGTATATTCCTGGCGACTTCGGCATCTCTCAATGGAACTGGACCATCTTCCGCCTCCGCCGAAAATGTCGACAGTCCATCAGCAACGGAAGTAGTTTTCGATGACTCTGCATCCGAAGTCTCAAACGACAACTTGGAAGCCACGACGGTGCAGCCGTTATCGGAGAGATTAGAAGAAGCGGATGGAAATGTGTACCAAACCACGTCCATCCCTTGCACTAACGACATTGAGGGTCCAGCTTGCCCATCGGATGCTGTGGCCGGAGACACGGTTCCGTTGTCCGCCACTCTGATCACTTCGAACGACGCCTCTGCCGACGAGGAGAAGGGGACAACCGTTCAACCTTGAAGAGATGCATGACTGCAGACGAATGACGTGAATAATAAGGATAATAAATCTACGGTGACCAACCACAGTCAATTTAAAATGATGCTAATAGTGTATCCTTGCTGCTGTAATAAACCAATTCATAATATTTTGATACAAGAGTTAATACGTGGCTATATTTTATATATTTTGGATTTAGATAATAACACTGATCAAAGTGGACACTTTTATGATTAAATTACATTACGCTGCGCTGCTGTTTGTAACCAACCATTTTGTAAAGTTCCTACGTATTACATTGTGTATAAGAATATAGTTGAATAATATAAAGTACATAACTCTTGATAACCTTCGTAAGTTACAAAAGTCGCAACTTTGTCGATAGAGCGAAATCGAAAGGGCTCAAGCATTTGCCATTTTGGGCTCTTCTTTATTTCATGTCTTGAATTTATAAATAGCAAAATTGCATTTTGCAAATACAAGCTATAGGTTGCTGTTTTATGCATCGTGTTGTAGACATGCACATTCGTACATTTAAGTATTGATATTCACAGCAAATCCAATTTAAAGTTTGCCATGAATTTACGTACAGATAGCTGTTTAAATTGAGGCGAAAATGAGAATAAGTAGTCGAAGTAATAATTTGTTTTCAATACAACAAATGCTCATTCAAGGTTTGAGTGTCACTTGTTAATATTTTCAGTAATATCGTTCAACCAGGCAATCGATATAATGAGACCTCCATTAGAAAAGATAATGAGGAAGTTTCATGATCACTTTAATTGATCAAATGTACACAAAGTCATTTTATCTGGATACCAGAGGAGTTCAAAAAATGCCTCTGGAATCTACTTCCTTTGCTACCTATGGTATTCCTTGATATGAATTAAATTGCGTACACAATACACATGTACATTTAACAGCACCTTCAATCAGATAATTCCTCAAGCTCGGAGGTAAACTGAAGATTTTGTATCAAATTGGCTTAAAATGAGCAATTAGAATTTGATGGACATTTATGATTCATCTACATATATTTTGTTTATGCACATATACTTAATCCGTACATGAAAACACCACATATTCATAGCTATTTGTTTACTTACATACATAGTTTACAACAACGTGGAAATACTTATTTAATATGCATCAATATCCTGTTATTTGATATAAATAAAACCCCTTTCCATTTTTCTTTGCATAAGTATGCAGTTATAAGCATAACCTCGTCTGTGTGTAACCTTTTCTGGTCGGCAAAGTTCATTATTGTCGCATCATTCCCCCTCAATAATAATTATGACCATCGCCTCGATTTTGTCTCAAATCAAATGTCTTGTAAGAACTCAAAAAAGCAAAAGTCAGCTTAATTAACGTCACTCAACAATCAATTGAACGTTAAATGAGTTGCCCCAGATGTCAAAATGTATGAACAATTTGCACTAGATTCGTTATTTAATTGCCGACTTGTAGTTACATATAAAACATAACTTAAACTTTGCAATTAATTTTAGGATCAATTTTGTAGTGCCGTCTTTGAAGTTTTGGATTGATTATTGGTGGTTCTAATATTCTCAAGAGATGCATTATTCCACATACATAAGTACATGCTTCCATTGTTATAGTTGCCGTGATATCCAATAAAATAATATCCAACCCTGCGTAATGGAGAATGGCATAATATAACTACTCGCGACACCAGTTATTATAATGTCAGTGTCACTACTACATACATAGAACTCTGCTCTGCTCTGATAACGAAAATTAGACCATCATCAATAAGATTTTTTTTTCACGTTTCGCATTGGAATTTATCTTTTATCACCATTTATAACTGTGAACATAAAACATTAAAAACCTTCCACTGTTTATTTTCACACTACATTTTAAATAATTTTTGGCACTACATTCGTGTTATCCTTCGCTGGCCGTGGACTGATGACAGTGCATATTATTATATTGCACTTTGTTACTTTTAGTGTTATCGCTCAATTTGGTGGCATGAACGACGCCCTGTAATTATTCGGAAATATTTTACGTACCATCAAAATTACTCACAAAACTAATGAAAATAATAACACTTGTCTTTGGTTTTCCATTGATTTATCCTTTCCGCTGAGCACGTTTATTGTAATTATCATCAATTTTATGTGCTATATAAATATTGCGATGGCATTTTCTACCGAGCTATGCATCACATCAATTCGCAAATATGCAGATATGTATACAGATGAGTATTTGATTAGGGAATAAAAATATTTAGTTTCATATTTGGTTTGTAAACAAGGATCTTGGCCCAGTAAAGTCAATCACTCACGATTCTGATATCGCTAAAATTGTGTGCTTAAACCGCAGGCTATCCCGATATCATTACCAACCGCCTTAATTCTGTATGTGTCCCAATATAGTAAATTGATAAGGAAGATTGATGATCTTCACGCCAAAACGCTATTGTAGTTTACGTTACTCTAAGCTATTTAAGATTTTCTAATCACTTAATTAGCAGATGACTCTAATTATAAACTCGAAATGGAAACATCTCCTCTTATTTAAATTAAGGGTAACTGACGACAAACTGCAAATTAATTCCTTGATTGCTATCAAGAAAGGAGATAAACATTCAGAAGAGTAACATATTTATGTATTTACATACGCATTCTAGATACGTAATAGGCGTACGTAGATATTATGTATTTATCGAATACGTTACATTTATTTAGTTCATGTTGTAATATGTTAGCCCAGCCAGACTCCCTCCATGTAAATGGTACTCGTAATAAGTCAATGTTGGATAGGTTATTGTAGATATTTAACATGACCCAGGAGGAGACAAGTTGAAATCAAAATCCGCATGTAACAACATCTTCCACATATTTATCTACTTTAAATATCGCAAATAAAGCCTATCACGATTATCGATCCTCACGAATCGTCATTATTCAGTGCTCATGGTATCGAGTTACAAAGTTTGACCAAATCAATGACGGCAAATGAAGAAATTATTACGGTCAAGTCTGGCGATTAGAACATGCACTGCAGGCAGGTCAACAATCATCCAACAATGGAATAAATCAGCAGGGATTCGTAAAGTTCATACAAAAGGATCTCATAATAATATGTGTGTGACAGTCGTGTGCGTAACTAGTGAGTCATTCATCATCAATTTCTGCTGTCTTTTTTGTCTAATCTTTGCAAAATCTGTCTCAATTCTCATTCACCAATTCAACATCACATGCTACCGATCGTTTTGCGATTGCCACAAATGCTCTCTGATTACAATAAATACGCTATAAATTGAATATATGGATCATGACACTTGACCCATTGATTGTCGATTAGTTATTTATTTGCTATTGATCCCTCTGTATAATCATCGCCATCGTCCTCATAACGTGCATTTGGTTAAGGGACGAATAACCGGTATGTATGACAATTTCAATTTTGACAACTACCACAAACCACCAACTACCTCGTTTACAATTTACTTGTGTGCACGTATTTTTTAGTGCAATATTTTAACCTCATAAATTAATCCAGATATGAAACAAAAGGAATATGCAAAGTAAAAATACATATTTAAATTGGTTTTCTTTCAGTGTCCTTCAGTGCTCCGTCCTACAGTTCTGCCTGCGTACATATTAAATACTTATGTAAGCATGTAAATGATGCTGTTGTATGCAAAAACTAATTTATGTCTTATTTACCCTTAAAGAAATTAAAATGGGATTTGCGTCGTCTAATTCCAATTCTTACTTCCAAACCAAACTAAGAATGCTTACTGCTTGCACAGATTTATAGGATTTTTCTGTGTTTGAGGCTAAATGTCGGGCGGGGTGCCTTCCTTAATTCTTCTTGGGCAGATAAGCTATGGTGCATTCTTGATTGCTCGTGCTGCTGGTCGTTACATATTGCTTACTGCAAGTTATTCTATTAGCAAGTGATAGTGAACCTTCCATTTGGGCAAGATGTGATATGAACAATAATCAAGGTACGTAGGTAGGTAGGGATAATAATGAGACTTGTAATAAGGGCTTTGTTTACTGTGCTGAATGATAAAATAATATAGGGGGCATAATTCGCCAACTATTTTTCACACTTGTATATAAACCCTGCGATTCTCTTCCAAAAATATCATTCACTTGTCTTTACAAATCTTTGAGCTTTTATCTCTTTCTCAGAAACTAAGAAAACATGAACTCCGTAAGTCCTCATATTTTGCAAATTCTCCGAAAACATTAAAAACGTTACATAAGAAACAAGTTTCTTTTAAACCATTTCATTCAACTCTGTTTAATTAACTTTAATTTGTGGAATTTAGTTCGTCGTCGTTCTTGCCGCCGTGGTCGTGGGTGCTTCCGCTGGAAATATTGGTTACGCTGGAACCTACGGATACCCCGGATATGCCGGAGCTGTAAAGATATACATTTTTACTTTTACAATTAGTAGCAATTTTACCCTGATTCTCAGCGATTGACTAATTTTAATCCCAATTTAATATAGTACGCCGCCCCCGCAGTAGCTTCTTATGCTGCTGCCCCACTCGGCTATGCTCACGGAGCTTATGCTGCCCCAGCCATCCGAACCGTGAGTTTGCATTTATTCTAAAATTCCAGATCTTTTAAAGGATTTCAAGTTTAATTTATTTAAATAGTACGCCACCACCAAGGCCGTCGTTGCTGCCGCCCCAGTCGCTGCTGTAAGTTGTTTTCATGAAATTTTTTCATGGGGTTTCTACAATTTGCAAAAATCCATCTAACAAACGATTAATTCGTTTCTTTAGTACGCTGCTGCCCCAGTTTCTTACGGATACGGTCACGGAATTGCTCACGGTCACGGACTCGCTTACGGTGCCGGACACGGACTCGCTTATGGTCACGGAATCGCCGCCGCCCCAGTCTCATACGGATACGGTCACGGTCACGGTCTTGCTTACGGAGGACTTGCCGGTCACGGAATCGCCGCTGCTCCAGTTGCTTACGGATATGGTCATGGTCACAACCTCGGCTATGCTGGTTTGGCCCACTATTAAATTATTCCCCTAATTTTATAGTATTATTTAGTAAGGTCAGCGTTGTTTGTGAATTTTCAACTCAATTGTCGAGGTATCTCTGTGCATCAGTATTGTGTAAATTGTATGTGAAGAGTGTGTATTTAATTCGAAATAAATTTTTCTCAAAATCAACTTGCGAATTGAATTGAATTATTCTACTCGGGCATTTGAGTCCTTTGCTCTGGGACACTAACAGCTGGAGATGGTGAAATTTACATAAAACCGTTAATAAAATATTGCCACTAAAACTTTTATGTACCAAGATAAAAAAAGATAAAACCTGAAAAATGCAAAATAATGGCCTGTGTGGGGATCGAACCCAAGACCTCCGCGTTATTAGCACGGCGCTCTAACCAACTGAGCTAACAGGCCGACGACTTGTGGGCATGTAACTTTTCGCACAATATGTAAATGACTTCAACTCTTTCTGCCTCAACTTGCCTCATTCATTCATTGTTTGTGCTTATCAGGTTTGTAAAGGCTTTACAGTAAAGCCCACTCAAGTGGAGGAGCTAAGCTTTGTCTGAAAAGAATACCACTTGTGAGTACGCAGAAATATGAATTCTGAACTCGCTGCAAGTTTTGAAAAGTCGGTGATATGGTTAGAAAAATCATTTGAGAGAGATTTGAGACCACATTATTTAGCTGAGTCCTCATCCTCATCTGGATGGATTAATTGAGAACTGCTGAGATTGGTCTTTCCAAAATTCTCACAAATGACTCATTGTGAAAATTTTGGTCCTTGAGATTTGTGCCGATCATTAGTAAGAGTATGGTTATGTTGGAGTTTATGAGGCTGGAAATTAAAATGGGAGGTCGTGATTATCAATCTGATATAAGACTTCTTTGATTGTTCATGGAAAATACTATTGAAACATTGTTCGAATGGATAACCTGTTTCTACCCAATAAACTAATTTAATGAGCTTAGTTTGCGTTTTTAATTGACAGAAGTAATTGGAGCTTACTCAGCCACAATTTTCCAAGTGAACTCAAATGATAAAAGTCGAGTGTGAAGAAACATGGATCATGGAATGGAGTTAATGATGGGAAAAGTTTGCACGGTTGGCCACAAGATCACGGCATTATAATTGTTTCCAGTTGTTGGTTATATAAAAAGCCTCTCCTTTTTCGTGTATGTTTATGAAATTTGCGTTTATCCTCTATAATTTTAGTTCATTATAACTTTCATGCTACTAATAAAACTACTGTTTTCTTCATCATTCCAGGTCCGATCTGTGTTACAGATTTCATTTACTGAAGTGACTGATCCCCATTTTCCTTGCTTAATTGTAATCTAATAGAAGAAGAGCAGAAAATCCTAGGAGGAGTACTTATCATCAGGAAACAAAACCTGGCAACATGTTCTGTAGTCCTCCCTGCTGAATGTGCTGACTGGTTCATACTGACACTACTTAAGATGTGCTTAGGCAATAGTTCGTACAAAACTTCTTATAATAATGACTGATAAAATAAATCACAATAGTCGCTGACAGATAGGAATGGAGGGAGAATGACCTTTCTGGTGTTTCAATCCCTTTAGTTTCTCCGTTAGTTCTGGCCCATATTGCGGAACTATAAAAGGATGGGAAGTGCATATACATATGTACGCAAAATGTATATATATCAGTTGACTATTATGTATGTTGCGAAGTGAATAATCTGTAATCTCATGTTTCGAATCTCTGTTTGCTCTGGTTGGCTTGCAACAAGAGAAAATTAAGCCTTCTGGCTCTAGGTTTACCTACTTGGATTTCCACCCAGATAACTTTCTCCAGCAACTCCAGCACATTCACATGCACTCTTCTTGCCAACAGAACTTCTGCATGTCTGCACTTTCACAGCAAGTCAACTTCCTCGCCTCACAACAAAGACTACAAGACGAAGGGTGAAGAATGCAAAATAGATTTTTGTGTACTCTTCCTTAACACTTTGGAATATCTAATTTGCTAAAAATGGAATATTAATGCTCGTCAAGTATTATGCCTGCTTGGATCGTATTACATAGTCTCAACAAACTTTTATTTATAATTCATATCTCATGGACAAGAAAATGTCATAAGTTTAACATCAAAACATTTTATGTCAAAAAAACTTGTTTATAGCTTATCTCGAAATACATAGAAGAAAGGAAAAGAGCCCAACTAATATATTGGGAGTAATATTACCCGATTTGTATATATTGTAGAATGTGCAGAATTTTTATCTACTGTTCTTTAGATCGCAAGTTCCATACTCTCGTAATTTTATTTTATGTAATAAAGGGTAGAAAAACCCCATAGGAAAAAGTGCATAATAAACAATATTTTTCCAGTATTCTAGAAGTGCAATTGTTTCATTACGTCCTAACTTTTGTGCCCCCATACTCCTTAACTAATTGGTCTCTGCCAATATCGCTAAATACGATGTGGTCCCACTCGTCCCTGTTGTTGTTGTAGACTTTCAAGGCTTCTCGAGTCTGCGGGCTCATGATGGGTCGGATCAGGTTCAATATCACTTCAAATACTTGAGGAGTGTTCAAAAGCATGATCTATGATTTCGCCAAATTGAAAAATGAAATGTACATAGTTTCGCGACATGCATTTTGCATCGTGCTTGCACCGATAGTTTGGGATGTAGTAAAATTACCTTATCACAACTGCCAGGGTAATGTGATTCATAATTGGCTACGAAAGTTGTGTAAATTGGAAGACCTGTAATTCAATAAAATTTCCATTAGTTAAAGTTTACAGTGGTTGTGGTAGCAGGCGTATCATGTAGAAGTTGTTTGTGTTTGATGTGCACGTAACTTTTAGCCACTCAATCTACAACTATCCCAATAATATCTTTGTTATACAATAACATATAAATACGATACATCTATGTAGGTATGCATATATAGTAGATAAATGACTTTGTATTTCAATTTCTATTGTGCATGATCATTAAGTAGCGTCAACTGCTTTATGCTATCGTTTTGCCCGTCTGCCCGTCTGTCTGTGGGCAGGATATATCGAGAACGCTTCTACATAGTCAAACGCGGTTTTCACCATTGTGCTTCTAATTTTTAATTCTCGGTCGAGTTCGATAATGGGATCAATCTGACCACCCCCACATTCCCAGAGGGTGTGGCCCAAAATTAAGATCTAACCTTAATGTTCATATGGGGTGTCATTTTAAAGGAAATTTCACCAAGAATTCAACGTCGTGAATAATTTTGACGTACCATAACCCGTGTAGATGAGGCTAAACGTCGAAAATGTCGAAATTTAAGTTTCGACTGTTTTCGACGTAGTTTGGGGCGGGGATGTCAGAAATTGGCATAGTTTTGACGTACAGTGACCTCGTGACCATGTAGACGAGGTCAGAAAATACATTATTGTCATATACGGTGTCATTTACAAGGAAATTTCAATCGTTTTTTGACGCTACTTGTTTATATGAATTTGCAAGGGTCTATGTTTTATAAAAATTGTTTCAAATCACTTACATTGGATACAACCATGCTGGACAAGGTTGAAATTGTTCATATTTATTATAAAATCCCTGGTCAAGGTCAAGGTCAAGGGTCCCGGAAAAAATAACAAATTATTATAATTATTATCCAATTATTAACCATTTTAATTAATTATTAATGGTATTTAATATAATGACATGCCATTGCGTCACGTTTTTCCCTTCAGCCTGAAGTTCTCGAACACGCCTAAAAATATATTCATTTGTAGATCCAAAATTTACGATCCAGTGATTAGAATTGTAAGCTCACCTAACTCCAGACTCTTGCGCGTATGTCATCCATCGCATTATGCGTTGCAATTTTCCAGCAACAACTCCTTTCCTTAAATCCCACTCGTCATAATTTGCAGTGAGAACTATCAACATTTAAATCACACGTTACCATAATTATTACATGAGCAAGAAATAGGTTATCAGCAGCATACTGGGTTTTCCTTCATTATCGTATCCATCCATGAACCAGGGGAATTCTTCCTCCATGTCCGACCAATCTTCGGTGTGTATATTATCCATCTTTTCTGCCCTCCTCCACTTCAAGTCCTAAGTCCATTTGCAGACAGAGACAAACAGTAAAAAATATACTTCATGACTGGACACTTTTTTGTACAATTGCATTTAAGATTTATATCGGTTTTTATGTAAGCATAGAGGTGTCGAAATTCGTTCTAGCAAGTCATCCTATCGCTTATTTAATCACGTTTCATTGTGAAAACTTTTAATAAATTTTCCTTGACTATATGGACAAGCCTTATTATTAGTCAGCATAAATAGACCCTGTCCATATTTGCATACAAGTAAGTAAGTAATAAAACAGCACTCACAGACATTAGCATCTCTTCGGCAGCTCTCACATTGAAGTTTTTCGCTGTGATATGTAATCAACAAAAATTTATAAGAACTTACGTAAATAATGGGCATAGCATGTTACCTAATCAATTATCACCACGTGCAGATTTTTAAAGGTATAGAGCTTCAAGAAAAAATTTTAGGTTCTCGATTCGAATACCTTAAAAATTTATCCACGTAAAGCTTGTTAATCTAGTTTTTCATGGACAAGTATCGGCGTAATAAAACAACACCGTACCATTAATTTGTGTTGCTTATGTATAGTAAAGAATTTGTAGAAAAATGTAAGTTTATTGCTTAAGGATAGTAAAATATGCACACTATTTTGTGGCATAATGTCGCTTTATGTATATGCACGAAAGATTTTTGTTGAGACAAAAAACTACTTTAGTCAAGTTCATGCAATGACGCCTTCTGCAAATTGATTTAGTGAGCATTTTCTCTCCCCTTTCTCAATGAGTGTCATCCTCGAGAGAATTTTAGCACATCTTATTTTCGTACTTTTCTAGACATTTAAAATCGCAAGTGATTCACTTATGTAGTACGAAATAAGGTTAGAAAGAGCTTTGAAATGTCAAAGAAAGTGTATGCAAAGACAGCAAAAAATGATGCTACGTTTAATATTTATATATGTCTTATGTTCTACTAACCTCGGAGCCATCGGATGAGATAAATGTCAGACTTTTGATAATCCTTAGTCAGCTTTGGTAACACATTGGCCTTAAACTACAATGTAATGATTTTATCAAATTTAAAAATAAAATGTAGTCTCGCAACATGCAGCTCTGAATGTGCTAAAATTACCTTATCCAACGCTTCCTTTTGCGATTTTGTAAGAGTTAAGTCTTGATTCAAACTAACACCATTGCAATCAGTAGCTAAAAATGTTAGTAACACGGCGAACGAAACCAGCGATAATTTTAACATTTCCATTTTCTTTTAATAGGAAACCTGGACACCTTCTTCGACCTGTGTGGAAGCTTAATCCTTAATGAATAAAATCTGCCATTCAGTTTCCCTTATATTGTTATTATGCAATTTGGCTTGAAGAAGAATATGCAGATATGTATGCATGGTTTTATTCTATGACTAAGCGATATAAAAAGTTGCACAAAAAATGTATACACCTCACAATGCGTGTAGTGTTGCTCTCAGATTTTGATTAATTCTAGTTTCGTCATATATTAAAGACAATATTTTTTAATTTCTTTAAGTATACATATTTTTATTTGATATTTTTAAATACATTTAAGCATACGTATCGAGGATGGGAAATTTCGGACACTACTATTTGCATGTATTTTTTATTGAATCCAGCACATCGTTTTGATAATCTATGCTTACTAACTTTCTAACCAGACATAAAATCCGGGAAGTTATATTATTTCGAAATGTAGAATTTTCGCATAGTTTTTCATAGTTTTTTTAAGCACAAAAAATTAAAGTTACACCTCCAATGTCTGAGAGTTACACTTTACTTTCTCACTGTTTGGTTTTAATTGAGCTCGCCATCAGCTACAGAGCAGGTAGTAGCAGGTAAACAGCATGGTAATGGGTTAACTAGTAATACTGCAAATAATAAAGTCGCTTGGAGTACGAAGAAAGACATTAAGGACAACTTTATCAAGTAATCAAAAACTTTTTTATATTTTTTTGGGTACAATGGTACCCAAATCCAGAATTTTAAAAGTTTTTTGCATACCAATATTACGCAGCTGTGTATATTTCATAGTTGATGAATGCATACGTATGAATTTTGGTAACTTTCCTCGTCTGATTTGTAAATCAAAACCGCAACGTCATTACGAGGAGGAAAGTTTCGAAAGAGAAATAGTACAATGAACAGTGATTTGCAAAAAGTGTCTTAATTTTCACTTCAAGATAAAGTTCAAGGGCAGCATATCTCTGTTATGACTGAATCACCAAGAATACCTATGTACCTATGTATACCTATGTCGTATGTACATATGTACATACATAAATATGTGCAATCACCAATTCAAGGTGTCCTTGCCATTATTTCATCTCAAGTTGACAAACCATTTTGCCAACTGGTTCACAATTAATTAGTCAACTATGTATGTATGTGATGAAATACACCTCCTTCATTCATATTATTTTTTGGGTTATATTTGGTACCATACATGTTCAGAAAATATTTATTCACTCAAAGTTCATTCATTCAAAGCCTCGAAAAATATTTATTCCTTATTCACTCATTCATAATTTGTAAAAAAAATATTCACTAATTATTAAAACATTTATTCATTATTCACCATTCCTTCATTATTCATGTTATTCAAAATTAACAATATTAGATAAATTTCTCAACTTTCCCTATGTATTAAGCATTGAGCTAGAAATGAATGATGAAAAAAATATTCATTCATTATTCATTCACACGAATTTAATAGATATTCACTAAATATTCATTTATTCAAAAATCAGAATAAAATATTCATTCAATATTCATTCAAAATTTTTGAATATTGCATGAATAATTTATTCATTCATCATTAAATGAATGAATGTGAACATATATGTTTGGTACTGTGCCTGAGCAACTGTGTGACCGGCTGAAACAGAGAGGGGTCAAAGCAAAATTGGTTAGGCAGTGTGAGGTACCATGTTACGAAAAATTTGAAACTTTGTCATTTTTTATTTTTGTATATGTCGTTCATGGGGGTATTCTACAATCGATAAGACTATGTTAACCTGGTGGGTGTGCCGAACTCCGTTTCCGGCCACATTTAAGGTTTTGGAGGAATGTGAGACAATGCTATAATGACTAGGGAACATGACTGGAAACATTTTTGAAGGGGTGTGGCGACCCCCCACAGTTCGGGGTATCGCTAGTTGCTCTGGAATAGTCCCTAGAAAATTATATATGAATGAAGGAGTTGTATCACATATATACTCGTAGTTCGCTAATTAATTTTGAACCAATTGACAAAATTGTTTATCAACTTGGCCCCTCTTTGTTTTTGCCAGGCACAGAGTTGCTCAAGCACAGTATGCAGCAGTAGTAATTGTTTGCGAATAATTATTAATTGTCAACCAATGCCAAAAATTAATTTGTTGTGGTGCTCCTAAGATGCGCTGCATATCTTTCTTACGTACTGTGATAGCACTAGACGGTGGTTGGTTATATATGAAACCTCAATTGTTTGTGCTGTGTGATTCGAATTCAAGGTTTCAAACCTGTCAGCTTGGTTTGCACTTGCAAATTATATGCCTTTACGTAACCCATCACTTTTGACAAGCTACCCAGACAAATACAGCAGATTGACGTTGGGTATGGTACACGTGCGTGCATCGCATAATTTAATATAATATTTTGGACAACGAGTACTAGATATGCTGCATTAATTATTTGTGGTTTCCACCTCCACTCCACTTGTGCGTCAACAAAAGTGTTGATCTAGGGAAATTTGATTGTCTTATTTACATTGAAGAGAAATGTAAGAATTACCGTGAGCTAAGAATCAGGAACTGCTAAGAAAGCAATTCACAATACTTCGTAGATGAAGTAGGTAGGAAATCAAGATCAAAGTTCGCATAATATGTGCATATGTATGTACATGTTCTTCAACAATTGAAAATCTTGCTTGTCATTTCTTAAATTATTTGGGTTTCTTATGTGAATAAAAAAATTAACAAGTAACCATCCAGCTTTGGGTTTTGAGTTTTGCACTATTTGTCCCAAGTTATACTGTGATTTCAAAGAAAAATTTAAATAGTTTTACAATGTACGTATTTAGTGCTGAACTTTAGGCTGAACTGGGCACAGTTTGCAAAACTGTCTTTTCCCTAAATATTACGCACGGATAAACTTCTGTTTCTGACAAGTTCTTTGAGATGGAACAAGTTTTGTTTTCCAAGAGGAACTCGTTCTGTGTCATCGTACTTCTTCATCGTCGTACAATGTTACGTGTTGTTTGCGGCATTCGTGGAAAACGTGAGCGAGAGAAACTCATAAAGATTTCTCGGTCTCTCTGTCTTCATAAATGGTTAAAGGTTATGAATGAATACGACAGGGAATGATGTGTTCAATTCCGATGGGATTTAGTTCACTAGCTCGCCCGGGTTTAACCATCATGGTTTAACCACGAAACAAAATATTTTGATCGTTTCAATAACAACAGTGCGTGCGGAATGCTGCACAACAACCGTGAGAATTTTTATGTTGTCCTTTTGTCATTGTTTATTCCGACATCATCCACAGTTGCTTCTGTCATCTCCAGAATTGTTCCGCCAAAAAAGTGACATGTCACATCGTCTCCCAACAACTTTAAATTACAATGACGTGTGGTCCACTTCAGGTTATGTCCAGGCATGCGTATGCACGTGGATTTATGTATGGTCGCAGGCTTAACCTTCTGATTGGAACCAATTTTGCGGAAACTAATGGATCGGTGTGTGTAAGCAAGTGTGAGAAGTGGTTTCGAGGCTGTTCTGTCTGTGCACAGAATTTGTATTTGTAAAAAATATGACATTTTCACATCCAGATGTAAAAACATCAATTTCGCAGCATTGTAGTACCCACTCAAAGATCATTATGCAGACTACTCGGGAAAAGACGCAGGAGAATTGGTCTAGTGTGTGATTGATGAGATGGGATCAATCCTCTTCATGAACTCTTGACTTGTGCTCATCTCTGCCCGGAATCCCATTGCTTAGATTGAAGATGATAACTCACATCCATGTACCAACCATTTGTCCTTCCACTCACATTACTTACTTGGCTTCCAATTCCTGCCATCTTGAGCTTCTCAACCCAAATAATCCGAGTCCACTCATGTCACGACGAGATTTAAGGTGATTTGCTCCTGCAAGGACACGCAGAAGGTCGATGTCATTCTTGACTCAATTTAATATCGCTGTGCTGCGTACGTAGGCATGTGTCTGTACATAAACTAAATGATTTCGTTACGACGACTCCACGATAACAACTCCACGTAAACAGGTAAAACATAACTAATTCAGAATGGCTTAGATTCATAAGTCATCCGTGCATACATGGGGGCAATCAATCCCTAGAGGTTAGTTGGATAAGAATAGCAGTTCCGTTGGGATGTGAGGAATGGTGATGTAAGAGATGATGAAAAAGAGGAAGAAAGCAATGGGCAAGAAGTCGGGACTTCTTCCCCATCTAGACCGGGCAAAACCTACAGTCGACCATGTACATACATATTACATCATATCTGCAATGAGAATCTATCCTTTGTCACGTCACAAAGACCTTTTGTGAACCATGAGCAGTCCCAACCCCCGAGGAACTGATCGCTTTATTACATCGGATGATGACTAGTGTCCAGTCGCTGCATTAAAATATTCCGATGATGCGGTTCCAAGATAAATCAATAATTCTGTGCAAAGAGAGACAAATGTGCACACACGGAGATCCATGGTTTTCAAGACTCTGAGAAGTCAGACATACATTTCAATACAATTCATACCAGTGGTACCCAAATATTCCATCAAGATTACGTACGAGCAATTCGGAACAACTTTAACATGTGCATAAATAGAATAGGCAAAGACCATGGTTGCTTCAGAGATAGATGATTAGCAAAACTTAATTTGTGAGATATTTGATTCGTCTAGAAATCAAATCAATTTAATACGGATGAATAATGACGTAAATACTAATATGTACTTGTTCTTGGGGATGAAATTAATTGTGCGTACAACAATGTCACCGCATTTGCAGGACCACATACGTTTCACTCTGACTGATTTCCATTCATCCTAATCCCATTGTTTATGCTCGCATTCGAACCACTAGTTTCGGTTCTAATTACAATTCTGCTTTATTGTGTGTAGGTGTTGGATGGTTTTAGAGTATTGTTTAGTATCGTGCAAGATTTCGTTCTTTGAATCTTTTAATGGCGTCCAAATAATGTACTCATATTTCGGTTTCTGAACCTTTCAAATGGATTGTGCTTCCATATTTAAAAGCGGCACATCATATGTGCACACCGGATGTGCCTTTCCCTCCC